AGTGTCAGGTTTTTACAAAGAATAGTGAGCCTCTGTATGGGTATTTCTGACAAAATCAGAGTCACTAATACCACTGCCATTGATGAAGCAATGATCTTTGCAATGCCATTTCAAACAATATTGACAAAGTAAGAAACACAATGACAGTGAAAAGAAACCTGCAAAGAGTTGTGCTGTATGTTTACAGTTTTTGTATTGCTTATTTTTCATTTCTGTTGATGTTACGGATACGCTGAACTTGCTAGTAGCGTTACCACGCAAAACAATATTTTTGATATGCAACGATTTTACTTGAAAAACCAACAATTTGATGGAATACGCACAATGAAATTGACTCGACAGATACCCATACAGAGGCTCAATAGTGTTATTTTATCAGTGGTTAACCTTTACCTGTGACCATTTTCTCTGCTGGCCGAGCCCTTCAGGCCATGCTTTAAGGTGGAGAATTGTTGCAATCAGTCTTTTTAGGGGACTGTTAAAAGAAAAAAAATAACTCTGGTGTTCAAGCACAAGTCACTAAAATATTTTCTTACGCAAAAATTCCTCGAATTTGTTGCTGACTAATTGGAAAACAATAATGAAAAACAATCTTTTTAAATCAAAATCTTACATTGAAACTATGTGAGCACAAGGTTGCATTTGAAGCAAAACTAAATATCTTTACAGAGGAACTACACAACATTAACAGCACTTGTAGTTAGTCTTACAGCAAGGAGCCCAAAAGTGTGACTGCTTTTGATCTATTTACATTCTTTCGTACAGACTTAATCCAATCAGAAGACAGCTGGAAACCGTCTTCGACTTCTGATTGGTTAATGTCTGCATGAAAGAATGTGAGTTAATGAAGGGGCCATTGACATATTCACTTTTTCCCCACTTAACGTTAACTGGCTGTTTAGGTCAGACCCCAACCCCCCCAACCTCCTGCCATTCTTAACATCCTCTTGAGATTTTGCTGCCCTAAGGTCACTGCATTCCAGAAGGAATACTGACATGCACTTTAATTTATTAGTACTGCTTGCTCTTGAAAAATGTCACGAGCAACATTCTACACATGATGCAAAATTTATGAAAATGTGTGGTTCCAGAAAATATCCATACCCCCCCCACGGAGGGTCACGGAATTTCCTAGGGGTAGGGGGGTCTAAGAGAGACAAATTTCTGAAGGGGAGGGGGGTACATAAAGAGTTTTTCTTTCCAGAGGGTTTGAAATGCGATCAAATGAACACTTACGTATTTTTCCAATTGATTCGGGGTAGCCAAGAAAAACCAAAAGTTCTATGCGTGGAAATAGACGTAGGATTCCTTGTCATATATTTTCTATTATTATCCCGGCGCCAGATGACACGTACAGCTCCGAGGCACACCTCTGAGCACGTTCGACGTCGAGTCAAACAATTTCCCGCGAATTTCAAAGCTTCAATAACTAGATTATCGCATAGTTTTATCGTTTTTCTGTGTAGTTACGAGTTTGGAAGCGTTAGCAAAGTCGACACGATGCCATTTGTTTTAAGCATAATTTTTTTGTAACCGTGAACAGCGATGAGAGACGGCGAAGATTTCATTTCGTTGTTTAGTTACCGGAATGAACTTGAAAAGTACGTTTTACACATGAAATTAAAAAGTTAAAAAAAAAACTGTAAGGCGTGAAATTTACTATCATTTACAAACTACAGAGATAAAGCGTACAACTGTATTGAAGTATTCCTGTTGAAAGAGCGAACTTAAGTTTTTAAAAAACATGTTGCGTGACGGATTATGATTCCCGCTGATAAGCGAAGTCACTTCACGGCTCCACACAGGAAAACAACATTTGTTAGCAGTACTGTTCGCACATTATACTACATGTAGATAAAATTACACCTGCAAAGTACAAAAAATATCATGGAGATTAGCATCGAAGTCAATTCCTGAGTTTTGCTTTGACAGCAAAAACAAGAATGATGTAATATTATAGTCATTTCGTGTTTAAAGTAATTCGACACGTTGTTTCGTCTATGCATAAATTACAAACTTCGACTAGGTTACAAAAGCGTTGATGATACCGTCAACTTTCAGTACTTTCTTAGATATTTTTGAATGAAATCTTCTGTCAATTAAGCAGGCGAAAGGTCAGCTGCCAGAACTATAGTGTTAATAAGCTCAGTTGTTAGAGTTTGAACATTTCAAAATAGAGGAAGCGAGAGGCGCGTCTATTCATACGTCTAGAATTTTCCACGGTCATTTTTAAGAAAATTAAATCTCATAGCCTCCTCCAGCAATTTTGTACCTTACCTAGCGAACATCTCCATAAATAATGTTCCATGAAATAGCAAGTGTGCTATGGCCAAATCGCTTATGTGAAAATTATGCCGCTTTACGTCTTCATCTGAATTGTAACTATAATCGGCTGCGGCTAAATTTTATTTCGGCACTAAGTAGACCAAAATAAATCAATGAAGTCTTTTTATTTGTGGATTTGGAATTTCCTAGGGGTAGGGGCGACCAAGTGAAAAAATCATGGAAATTCCAGGGGGTAGGGGGGAGCAACCTGAAGCCCTCTGGAACGGAAAATCCGGGGGGGTGGGGGCTCAAACTGTAAACAACCCTCCGTGGGGGGGGTATGGATATTTTCTGGAACTACACAATGCATCAGTTTGCTTTTGTCCTTAACCCCGCTCCCTGTCTAAACGTCCAGTTGACGTTAACCCTCTAAGTCCCAATAGTGACCAACAGCAACTTTCTCCTAATGATATCCATACATTATCATCAGATGAGGTTATGAGAATTAATTAAATGATCACCTAAGAGAAAATACTTTTATCTTTTATCAAATTCTCTCAACTCATTCTTTAAGGAAATGTATAGGGATCAGTTTGGAGAATTTGTATGTGGATATTTGGGCTTAAAGGGTTAATAAATATGTCGACCGCTATTTTTGGGCTCCTTGCTGCAAAACTAAATGCGAGAAGTGATCTGATCATGATCCCGCAGCTAAAAAAGGTAAAGAACAGCCTCGAATATATTCCATATGGTGGACAATTATTAGAAATGATAAAAAACATTCGCTCAATCTTTCGCTTGTAGAATGTGAGGAGCAGCAGACCTTTAAGCTTATAAAATCACATGATTTAAAAGCACTCCTCGCGCGCGGACAAAAGCCTTCGAAACTTTAGAAAGAAATAAACTAGATCATGATTTTGGTAAAAAGGATCAATATAATAATTATTAAGGAAAGCAGCTCTTGTTCGGGCAGAAACGTGATACCTTGGAGAACACAGTTCGCTCGAGGCTGCAAGCCTGGCTTGAAATACTTGCACGCAACAAACTTATTTAGACAACTGGATGAAAATTTTACATTGAGCTGCAGCATAACAAAATTTCAAAAATACTTCAACAAAAGTACTGCCGAAATTTAAATCAAGACAATTCTCAAAAAAGCTTACCGTACCTGTTTTGCCGGGCTGTCCCCGTTACCTTCCCGCGCAATCTATATGCTCCCAGAGTGCACTGCCGCCCAGCCGACAGCAGTTTTTTGTGGTCAGCGTTGAGCCAATAGGTACATTATGTAATTTCAATAAATTGTATAACAACTGTTGATTGACTTGATTGTTAGAAGAGGTGCAAAAAAGCCGGTAGTCGGGGGTCTCAACAGTGTTGTCGGCGAATATCAGCGAGCTTAAGCAACAAGAACATTGTTATCTGCTGGTATGGCGAAAATAATCTTTGTCTCTCCCCCAGGGTCTGACTTGATCCCAGATCTGGGGAGTGAGGGGGCACTCCCCTATTAAAGCCATACGGGTATGTGCCGTCCCAAAGGGTAGGGTTTTTGCACCATTTTGGTCTGAAAGAGGGTATTGATTTTGCTCATTTTGGTCTGGAATCGGGTATGATTTTCAAGGATTCAAAATGGATTTTAGAAAATATCTTTTTTGCTGCTAGGCTGTTCTAATCTAAGTAATGATGACATAATTTCTTAAAAGGCTAGGTCTGAGAATGGGTATTGATTTTGGAGGCCAGGTCTGAAAACGGGTGTGAAAAATGACAGTTTTTGGTCTGAAATGGGGTCAGGATTTGGAGAACCGGGCAGCACACCCCTGCAAAGAATTCTCAGGAGTACCACCCTGGGGACTTCATAAACCAGAAATGTCACACAATAGGAGTAAAATCTGTCCAAAAGCTTTCAAACTAGTTGTGTCAGGCAGTAGTCTGCTCCAGGAGCTCAGATAGTAGAGCAGGGCGGTCAGTGGGTAGCGAGTTAAATTGTACACTGGCAAAACAGGAGTGGGGGACGAGGTTCCCTCCCCCTTTCCCCCTCTAGTCTCCCCTCGTCTTTTTTTCTTCATGAATTTTTCTCCAGCACTCTACTATCTGAACGTCTGGAACAGGCTAGTCAGGCAGGAGCATTCCAACAAATGAAAAACCAAACTCCAGGCTCAGGTTGCCATAGGCCTTTTCAAAGATACACTTAGCTGGGGTATATAGGAATATATGGAGAGTCTCTGCCCAAACCCTTACCAATTTATATTGACCAAAAAGGTACCATTTTCATAAACCTTTTAAGTATTAACAAATGGTACCCGTTTCATAGTTAAGATTCAACGCTCTTTTAAATATGAATAAATCACTAAACCAGAATAGCAATCCCACCAGTTATGCAGGCTAATTCAGCAGATGAAAACAGGGGACACTACTCAGAAAATATTTCAGAGTGTATGGGTGGGATCAGTTGTCAGGAAAGGCTGAAAAGGTAATGGTGGCTTTAAGAGAAAAAAGTGCCAAATAAAGCAAGACCAAATTAATAATCACACAAGACAATATACAAATTTTTTTATTCTTTCAATTTTGAACAGTATACAATCAAGCAAACAAGCAATAGCTAGACCACTTGTTAGAGGCTTTAGCAAAACCTGATCAGACCAGATGGGATCAACCCCTGTATTTCATTAAATGACAAAAGGTTAAGGATAGTGCTTCAGGGGTTGATCCGATCTGGTCCAATCCAAATATTGTCAATGGCCAATAACTATTAGCTATGTGTTTTAAATAACTGAATAACTTTTTGAATATCAATGAAATTCACTGAGTTATTCAATTCATTTTTTGTCTTCAGAGCAAAATCAAACATCTTTCTAGACAATATTTCAGTACAACAAAGATGAATCTACATTAATGTATAGTTTACAGTTAACATAGGAATTAATGAAAGAACTGGTATTAAAAAAGTAACAACATTTCCACATGGCTAAGCCTTTAAAAAATAACAATCCTAATTGTTATTCAAGGAAACAGTTCATGTAAACATCCATCCAAAGTCTTAAAGTCACTGTTGTTTGGTGCTCTGGAAATGTTGTTTTATCGAGCAGTTGGGTCAGCTCTTGCAACAGCTTACAGTCAGGAGGGAAAGTCTAATTATAGTAAAGCTCCAAGTTCATTCCATCATGAATTTCATCTGAGATAGTTATGATCAAGGAATAAATAAGGCAAACACCAACAAAGGTGACTAAACTACAAGATTGTTAGAACTGCAAAATTATTAATCAGTTATGTATTTATGCAAAGTATCTGGTAACTTGCAAATGTAGATAAGTGATCTTTTTCTGCAACTCCAAGCATTACATCCATCTTTCAACCCTTTAAGAAGGATTATTTAAATACTGAAGAAGTGCAAGCAGAAAAGCCATAAATGATTATCAATAACATGCCCCAAATAATTCTCTGTTGTCTTACAAGGTAACATAGGACAATTAGGAAGGAGGATCTAGTAGCCTGTCAGAAATCACATTTTTTCAAAAACTCATAAATTAAGGTTGAGTGAAATGATTTTTAAAACTTTGAAAGACCCAATCCCTGGAAAAGACCCTCAGCTCTAACATTTCAGCTGGTTGCCAAGCAGGCCATCAAACATCAATCTCTTCATTAAATCCTACTTGACACACTTAACCATTAAAGTCCCAAGAGTGGCCAACATCAATTTTCTCTTAACAACATTAACATGATCACCTAAATGAAAACACTTGATCTTTAACCAAATTCTCCAAACTTATCTTAAAAGGGAGGTATAGAGATCAGCCTGGAGAATTTGAATGTGGACCTTGGAGCTTAAAGGGTTAATAGTAACCACAGTGGCGGATCCAGGGGTGGGGCCAAAATGAGGCCATGAAGGGCCGAAAAAAAATTTTTGGGAGACCCCCCCCCCCCCTCTGGATGACCGTACCCCACCCCCTTATCTGAAGGTTTGGATCTGCCACTGTAGCAGATTGATGGAGTTGATAAATTTCATATGGGAACATTATCAAAAGATACAATCCTCAAGTGTTATATGGTCCTTAAATATGGTGTACCTGCAAGAAAGCAAGACAAGGGACAAAATAATGGACTTATTTATGCTACTTTGTTTATCTAATTAACAGGCTCAGCAAACTGAACTATCTTGGTAACCAGAACACATACCATTTTTTCAGTATTATTCTGTCCCATTTTGTTCCGGTCTGAGCTGCAATCAGTTTTTTCAAATCTCCCACTGTGTCATCTGGACTAGATTATGAGTCAAGAATTATCAGAAACCTGTTGCACATGTAGTTGAACTTGTAACATTGAATAGTTCAACCAGTAACTGTAAAATAAAATTAATGACAGCCTGATGCATTTCAGACAGCTAGGGTGTGTTTTGAGAGGAAAGTCTGCAACACATATTCTTTTTTTGAAGCAGCATGAAATCAGAGAAAATTATCATTATATATCACTCAGCATAATTATCTCAGGGATAGAGAGGACTACCTTTCAAGACAGGTTCCTTTACATTGTTTTAAAGAATCATTTTGTGTTGTCATTACTGATCTTAGACTAAAACCTGAATCAATCATTTTATACACTCCGGTTACATGTTCCCGGACAAAAACATTTTCTTAAAATCTAGCTTAAACCTGGGTTTAAACTTGACTATCTATCAAGCCTTTTGGGGAACCTGGTCCTCACCTGGACTGCAAATAACTTCATAACTTATTTCCTCGAATAAGCAGCTAAGCACACAGCACACACTCTAATAAGCCTCCTCAACCCCTCGAATAAGTGCCAACCCACTAGGCCAAAACTATATCACACAGGACTCGAGCCCCCTCTCCTATCACTTTCTTGAATAGTAGGAATACAAGGAAAACTTGTTTCTATTGCAACTTCATTGATAACTGTTTAAGCTTCAACTCATAAATATTCAACATTTATACCAATTACATCTGTATAAAAACCAGCATTTTCTCATAAAATCTTGTTAAAAAACATACCATTGATCAACGCAATTTAAGGGCTGTCTGGATAATAAAAAACTCATTGACTAGTACAATAAAAGATTAAAGGCCGGGCTGGTAAGTAAAAGGATACTTGCACTTCACTCGCACTTTCTTTCCAAGCCGATCATTACAAGTGATTTCAATCATTGTTGAATTTCGACCTAAGTTGGATCAAATACAAATAGCAAACATTAATATATTGACAATTAAACAATAAAAATGGGGTTACTTAGTATAGTACAGCAAGTCACTATTAATTTGCTTAAAAAACATAAAAAGACTGGCTTTTTCCCATGCAACTTAACTTGACATTATATTTAAAAGAGGAAAGAATACCCTAAGATGCATTGAGCCTAGACATTTTCTCCTGTGTGACATAATTTTCAAAATGAATTTCTGCTTTTATTTAAGTGTATAACGCTAGGCTTACGTTTAGACCATGTTTGCTCTATAAATTTGACGACGTAAAAAGGATTTTAAAAGGGGTTAAACGTGCATAGAGAACTTTTAAAAATTTAAATTAAAAATCTTTCGCTCATTTTGTGTATTCGTTAACTTACTTTCTTACTGAACGTATTCACCAGTACTGGGCTTCGACTTTCCACTTCTTGAATGTCGTCCAACTGAATCTGTTGTGTAAGCGTTAATGCAGTGTCCTTCCTTCAAGTAACGTGCCATTTTGTGCTCTCATATACCACGTACCTTATTTCCAGGAATGTCCGCTGGACAGCTATAATGAAGCGCAACAAAGAAATCAAAATGGCATCGTCATTCGGAGCAAGTTTACACAGTGGATACAATCACCCTGCTACAAGGAGCTGGCAAAGCACGAACACGGAAATTACCAGCAGTAATTTAATCTACCCTCTCTTTATTTCGTAAGTACAATGAAATCGTGTCCATTTATTTAATAAAATTCACGTACAGGCCAATCGAGGCAAGACAGCACATGCACAATGCATGACAATGCAAAATCACGCTCTGTCACGAAAAGTCGTGTAGACGGAGGAGGTATGGAAATTCCTTGGGCATGCCAGATATATACTTAGAGATCAGCCGTTAGTAATATTATTATGTATATTGCGTACCAAAAGTTGGAAGTATAGTAATTGCACAACTGCAATAATAAATTTACAATGAAACTTACTGTTCTTATAGAGACGATGCTGACGCACATGAAGCAATCTCAAGTCTTCCCGGGCAATTTAGGTATCTGATATATTTTTACTTCATTCACTTTCTCCGCGTTTTAAGAAATTATTCCCAACTTTTCGTTCATTATGGCTTCCAAGTGGTGATGGCTCGGATGATCAGGGCAACCCCATCCCACATATTGACGTAAATAAATTGTTTGATTGATTGATTGATTGAGTTGGAGAGAATTCCAGTTCATTTTTTCTTAGTGTGAAATAAAGAAAGATTAAAGATTCCTCCTTCTTCCAGCCCATCATGAATATTTTTGAAGTGCTTACAGCGTAGGATCTGGCCACATTGGTGGTAATAGATTTCAGCCCAGACTGAAACTGGTAAACCAAAGCATTATTCAGCGAGGTTTTTCAAACCAATACGTACTGATAGTTTGTGTGAATGAGGTATCGACATGGTCTGATGATTCTGAGGTCATCAAAACATTTTTTCTCTATACAAAAAATGACCAGAATTTGTTCATGCTCTCAACCCTGAATTGCTCAAAATAGCCATACCCTCTGGTAAGCATGTACATCTGGCCCCAGTTGTTCAAAAGCTGGATAGCGCTATCCACCGAATAAATCTGTATCCAGTGGATAACTATTAGGGAAACCAATTACGCTATCCACTGGATAGTGATTTATACGGTGGATAGAGCTATCCACCTTTCGAACAACTGGGGTAGCTTATGGAAGAACATTCTCCCTGGGCATAGTTTGAGCTAGCCTTAAAATACCACTACTGGTTTCCTTCCAGAAATTGAGTAATTTTAATTTTCAGTGGACAAAAACCTTCTAACAGAATAATGTAAACAATATTGCATTCTTTAAAATTTTTCAAGGGCTATAGATGTAATTAGTTATCTGTATTTAACAACAAAGAAAATTTATTTTGAGAGTCCAGAAAACTAAATGTCATATTTCACAAAATGACTTCTTACACATGAATTTTTTAGAATTTTACCTGTGTTTTCACAATTCTTGTGAAATTTGACTTTCATTTTCTCGTGCTCCAGGGGGGAATAGTCTTTGGTGTTATTACAGATATTATTATATCTATAGCCCTTGAAAAAAATGTGAAAAAGAATGCAATATTGTTTAAATTATTCTGGTACAAGGTTTTTGTCCACTGAAAATTGAAATTACTCAATTTCCTGATGGATTCTGACTTAAATTCATGTTTTAAAACATGGCTTTTTTGTTGCTGAAAGAATATAAGTTCTCACAGACCATGTTAGTTTTAAATGCATTTCCAGCCATTTCAGAGGACTTCAATTTAAAAATTTTCCGGGGGAGAATATCCCCAGACCCCCCTAGTTGACTCATGCTCACGCATTCGAAGTAGGCCTCCTTATTGCAAACTTTCTGCTCAGGCCCCGGTACTGCTTCTTATATTGTTTGAAACAGATTTCCCTAGTGGAACAATCAAACAGACGCTCTACCCAGATCTAGGTGGTGACACATGATCAGTGTGGAATTCATTTTCTGTGAGTTTTTGTCAGATGTCATTGTGCGCGGAAGTCAGTGATGGGGTCATGAAATATATTTGTTAGCTCAGGCTTGGGTTTGAGCTGGGATTTTCCCAATTGATGTTTTCAAGTTTTTGAGCTTCGCAAATTTCCACTATTGTTGTTCATATCCACCTCCTCTTTGGCTGTCAAAGTTGTCAGATATCCTATCACTTAATAGATAATTAGATGGTTTGGAAAACCTTGTTATGTTCTGACACTAATCCTAATAACAGTTAATAAATGTGAGTTTCAATTTTTGATTTCAGAATAGGTGTTAACAACATAGAGAAGGTAGTTTCACCAGTGGTAGAGAAAGGGCTCAAATCTGTGTTATTATTTGGAGTTGTCACAAAACTAGACAAGGTACATTGCTGCTTAAAGGAGCTGTGTCACGAAATTCAGACAAATTAGGTAATTACAAAATGCCCGTTAAATTAAGAGAAACATAAAAATAACCGCTGAAAACATTAAAGGAAGTTTAAAAATAACACAACAGAAACAGCAGATTCGGACGGATGGGCAAAACTGAAGAAGATTGAAATGGATTGAAATTAGGGTTTTTGAAAAACTGTTCAGCCTAACTGTTTTTCAAAGTTGATCCCTGCTGCTTGCAACTTCAAAAATAATGCTCAGGAGACATATTTGTTTGTCGCGGATCTCTGATTTTGTCATTTACATGTAATGTCTTTGCTTATACTTTAAGTTCCATAGCAATTGAGGGCAAGTAATTGGTAAATTAAACAAAATAAACTGGACTGCCATGACACAGCCCCTTTAATTGTTATTCTTGTAGAAACCTGCTCCTGGAATGAAACTTAAATTATTTCTTTCATAGCTGCACAAGTAACATTAAGGGTTATCTATCTCCTTCAGAGTGAGACTGGTCATAACGCAGACAGTGATGTATGTCCTGTTATCCTAGCCACAAAAAAGCTGCATTCATTGTACGCTGATCTACTTATCTGTTGTGATGTGTGTCTCTGTCCATACACAAATCATGGCCATTGTGGTATGTTCACAGGAGATGTTTTCAATATAACTTCATATTGCCTTTTATTTTAAAGGAAAAGTGATATTTTCTGCAAAGTTTTCAAGGTTGATTCTTCCTTATTTTATATTTTCACCAGGCATTCTTAACAAAGACGGATCTATCAACAATCCAGAAAGTATCAAGAGACTTGCTGAAGTATCTTTGGCTTATGCCAAAGCAGGTATGAAGATTTTGCAAGACACTTAATTACTTTTTGTGGTTAACATATTTATTCCATGTCATTTTCTGAAACTCTTTATCTTCTGTAAGTCTTTTAAGCATTTTTCTTTGCTTCCCATACAATCTTTAATCATTGTTTCATATAAAATTAAATATTTCCAGCGCATAAATTGACTGGCCCACCAAGATTAGCTCTAGCTACCTTCAGGCCAGTGCACACTTGTAAAACTCAATAAGGGAAATAAAATGTTTTTGTTGTTGCTGTTTTTGTTTGTTATAAGCAGAATGCAGCATCTAGACTAGTAACCAGAAGGGCATTGGTTCCACTCCTATTACGATTACTCACATTTTTTTCTTCCGAGCCATCTGCAGCATTGACTGAAAAACATCTTTCTTATGTCCTGTTTGTTTTACTGTACACTGTAGGTTGCCATGTAATAGCACCATCTGACATGATGGACAATAGAATAGCTTCCATAAAAGACCTTTTACATAAGAATGGCTTTGGAGGCAAGGTATGTTTGTCAGTAGCATCCTTTACCTAGAACCAAAGTCTTCAAGTTATTCAAATTATTTTTTTCAGCCAGCCATTTTAAGAAGGGTCAGATTACCAATATTGTTGTTTTAGAATAGCATGTTGCATAAGGCAATTTATCAGCTTGAGCCTCTACTAACTCGAACACTGAAAGGGAGACGAAAAACAGTTCTAGTTAGTAAGGAATTCGAGTTATTGGGGTAAATTTCAGTGAAATTTTGATCAAGGGAAAGGAAAGTTAGTTCAAGTTACCAGGGAATTCGAGTTATCTGTGTCCGAATTGTCGAGGCTCTACTTTACGATTAACACTGCTTAGTGCTATTGTAACATTGCCAAGAGGTTATTCTATTTTGTTGTAAATCACTGGTCAGTAAATTGTTTTGGTTTCATAGGTTGCAGTAATGAGCTACAGTGCAAAGTTTGCCTCCAGTTTTTATGGTCCTTTTAGGTAGGTTACAAAATGTATATATTATTAATCAATAAGTATTATCATGTAATAATACTATTATTATTAAATGAATGGGGAAACAAGCTGCACAGAATGTGCCTAATATTATGTTGCAGGATTTGAATGAGGCCGTTTTTCAGCTTCTGTGCTCTTCCCATAGAAATGAATATCCATTTATGCAACTTTCATCAGTCACCATACAATCCCACATACACAGACTTAGTATCATCTGAAAAAAGAGTTCCACTTCCTTCTATCATCTCACCTGTAACTATCTATCGTCTTGACATTTTAATGACTGTTAAAGCAGTCATTTTCATTTCCACAGTTACTGTAGTATAGCTAGGATAGTCAGTAACTATAAAGAACATGTTTATACTATAAAAAAGTAGGCATAACCTGTTTTGAATTATTGTCTTGTTGTGTTTGTGTTGTTACCATAATAATCAAGTCTCAGTACGTACTCAGTTTCATACACTGTAGTTCTGGTTACTTCTAGAGATGCGGCTAAGAGTGCACCAGCCTTTGGTGACAGAAGATGCTATCAGCTGCCTCCAGGAGCTAAGGGCCTTGCAGCTAGAGCTGTGGTAAGTTCTAGTAGGTAATTGCATTTAAAGTATCTACACAAACACGTCATTCAACCACCCCATCCAATCCCCCAGTTATCCTAACAGTATACAGGACACATCTATGCGAAACTTGTACTGTAAATAACCAAACTCATCAGGAGTTCTCAGTAACCAGTACTAAGTGGCCAAAGATCTTAATGGTGTACAGAAAGTCATAGGTTCAGCTTCCTTCAGGACACAGCTTATTTGTTTCTCTTTCACTTGTGACAAGCTGAATAGTCCATCCTTTTGTTTCATGATCAAGCTCAAGGTTTACATCCTTCTGTCTTGTTTTACTCATATTTTATTGGTCAATCAATTTCTGTTAATCCGTATCAAGTTTCAAGCATTGTTGGAGATTTGATTTTCTTCAACTTACATAAAGCATAGCCTCGACGTTCTTGTTACCAGAAGCATATCACCCCTTAAATGCTTCTGCTTGTTACCAATATGGTTGTTTAGGAGCGGGATGTTCAAGAAGGTGCAGATATGGTCATGGTGAAACCTGGGATGGCATATCTTGACATCGTGAGGCAGACGAAAGATAAGGTACCATGAAGCTTCTATATTATTGATTGCCAATGAGAACTGTTTCCTTCAGAGATCCCAGGGGTTTTGATAACTTTGTCATCAACTTTACTATCATCATCAGTGGTTCAAGATTAATGCCAATTTTTAGTGACTGGGTTCCCTCTAAATACAGTGTATAATTATGGAAACCTAAATTTCTGAGGAGTTGGAGTCCTAAAAGAAAACGTAGTGTCATACAACCCAGCTGTGAACACCTCAGATATTTGAAAAATGTTTATTGCACTATGAAAAATTACAACAAAGGTCAGGACACACAAACTACCATCAAAACCACAAGCTAATTAACGTTGTTGCTTGTGGTTTAGTCTTCCCACATGTGATTGGCTTTTTCCTTGTAACACAATAACATTCCACAGATATTACTGGTGTTTATGGTTGTTTGTTTCACTGGGTAACACGTGTTTAGTTGCTATTGAAAACTATTCCTTTAGAAGACCTTTCTTGTATTCTTGCAGACGACATCACCAACTCAAATCTTGGGTTGAGAATGTACTGTGAATTTTGCTCAACCCTATTTCATTGCGTTTGCTCGCTAGAGTAGAATACGGGAAAGGTCTTTTGGGTCTTCAGATTGAGGTCTTTTGTTTAGTTACTTTTTTGTTTGTTTTGATGTGCAGTATTATTATTTGTATCTATTATCATATTAATAATTATATTATATTATATTCAAAATTATTATTTTCTTTTTTAACTTCCATTTCTCTATAGTTTCCTGATATACCTCTAGCAATCTATCAGGTGTGTAGACAGTACTTTTATAGGTCATTAATAACATTAACAATGGCCAGTCCTTTCTATACATTGTAGGTCAGGCCCCAGTTGTTCAAAAGTTGGATAGCGCTATCCACTGGATAAATCACTATCCCACGGATAAGTGTTAGGGAAACCAATTGCGCTATCCAGTGGATTGTCTTATCCACCTTTTGAACAACTGGGGCCAGATGACCACATAAAACTGAATGGCTGCTACCAGTATTATTATGTATAAAACATGGCATTTTCAGTAACAAATTAAAGTGAAGCTTTTGTGATGCTCTATGCACAAAGATAATTTTCTCTGACTCAAGGGCGATATCAGAAATGAGAATATAGTAAGGTCTATAGCCTGTGGGAAATCACCTGAATCCCCGTTTTTTATAAACCCACTGTTATGGACAAAAGAAGATGGCATGGGAAACATTGAAGACATCTGCAAGTAGTCCTCCATTAAAGTACCCCTTACTTTTTACATTCTAGACACCATCCCCTCAGTAACACCCCTTTTGCCAACTAAATTGATAAACCTCCATTACTTTTATGTTTCACCTTTAACATGGATTTGCACGAGTGTAAAACTTGATATTGTTTTGATGCAAGATGATTGAACTGTCGCAGGTTTCAGGGGAGTATGCTATGCTGTACCATGGAAGCAAAGCTGGAGCATTTGATTTAAAAACAATAGTGATGGAATGTCTTACATCAATGAGAAGAGCAGGTAAATCTATGTGCAAACGGACGCAACAACTCCCAAACATTGTTGCACCAACAATGTTGAAAGTCGTTGTGTACGTTTTGGCAGTGGTGTGCAAACGGATGCAACAACTCCCAACAATGTTGGGACCTGCAGTGCATTGTGGAAAGGATACAACCCATAAGACTTTGCAAACCATGTGTAATGCGCGTGCGTGGCCCCAACAATGTTGCAAGAGCTGTGCAAACAGATCCAAAAGAAATGTTGGGAGTTGTTGGCTGAAAAGTTTGACCAGTTTCAAACTTTGCGCAACAACATGCAACAGAGTGTGCAAAGAGACGCAACATGGAACATCCAACAATATTGGGAGTTGTTGGCTAACAATGTTTTGTCCGTTTGCACATAGCCAAAGTCTTAATAAAAAGATGATTCTATTTTATGCAATAAAGGGTTTGAAGCAAAGGTATCTGAGAGGGATGATTAGTGAGCTTTCCATTGAGGAGGGGAAGATTGTCTCAGCACTCCACAGAGTTCTGTCCTTCACTGGCTCTGCTCTCATACAATACAAACGGTAGAGCAGGGCCAAGGCCATTTAAGAGATTAAGAATAGTGCCAAAAATAATATACTTTTTTGGAAACATCAAAAGTACCATTACATGGTGAATACACCTTCAAATGTGATCTCTTTTTTTTACTTTTTAGGTGCAGATATCATCATCACCTATTTTGTTCCTCAACTGCTGGACTGGTTAAGTGAAAACTGAGGATCAGCTGGGCAAATGGAAAACAGATAATGGTCATGTCAGCTTGGCACCACAAGATACACTCACATAACTCACCTTTCTAACATAAAAAATTAGTAGTTAGGCTGTAATAATGATATTTGTATAAGTAATAGCCTGATTTGTAGTGATATTTGGCATAAATGCCATGAGTGATATTTTGAAATTGTTATATGTAATTTCACGAGCCGTTAGGCGAGTGAAACTTGAGACAATTTTTAAATACCAGGAGTGGTATTTATGCCACATATCACTAGAAATCATGCTATTATTTGTTTATACTACTTCCCACACAAGGTTTGTAATTTTCACATGTAGGTATTTCAAAATTAAGCTGAAATACCACGGCTCTAAGCCAATCAATTGAAGAAATTTTTCATGTAGTAGTATAATGATGATAATTTCTTTTTTAACAATTGTGTTAAATAGTTCTCATTAATTTATTATTTTTGGATCAGTTGATAATTTATGGAATTGTGCATGTAGCTAAATAATTTTGCTTGGCACAATAAAATAAATGAATGTTATTTTGTTCGTTGTAAATCATAGTTAATTATTTGGACAGCAGAGAATGAAAGACATTCCTTGCCTTGGCCATGGATTGCAGTGCCCAGTCTGTAGTGAATATTATTATTTGCGTTCAAGAGAAAATACATACAAGGGTAAAAATTTGCACTTTATTTAATAGTAAACTGTAATATTTCTTAGAAGTTATAAAGGTAATATTAGGTTAGCAATACTAGGCAGGCTGGAAGTATATGAATCACTTCCTAGTAAGCTGAAATATGTATGGCAAATGAAATTTCCTTACATTTCTAGCTAGAGGATATCAATTTAATATCAGTTACCTATGTTCTAGTATTTAAGTGCCCTGCTTTTTTCTCTCCCATCCTCAGAGGCCCAGAGGCAGCTAAAAGGTTAAAATTATTGGTATTGGATATTTATTTTAAAAAATTGCTACATGCAAAGTTTGCAAAAACAATGAAAGGGATATTTTCTGGCCAAATAAACTCATACTACTGAGTTTCACCAGTTTTATCTGGTTTCATCTACAGGAGAAAAGTCAAAACTACCAACAATTCATGGTAGTAGAAACTGAGGATACAAGGGATAACTATAATTTGCTAATTTGTTGTCAGCAGATATTTTATATTTTACTAAAAGTAACAAAAATAAAATAAATTTTGCAATTGAACACTTTATTTGCTTGTACAATCATATTTTATCAGCCCTCAAAATGGTATCTAAGTAGCATTCCAATATTATACAGAGCTTAACCAAGTTTACTACGTCACTCTCGCTCTCATGCAAGGATACTGTAACTTGAGTCATCTGACACCAAGTCCCTCATAAGACAAGTCTATCTCTTGAAGAGAATCACACTATTTTAACTGCTCAATACATCAGGCAGTGAAGATCATCAGTAAGAATTTGAACCCAAACGAAGATTAGCAGAAAGTGAAAGTGAAAATATTGTACCAGTAATTCACACATTTTACATGAAAATAAAAAGGAAAGTTATTATAATGCAAGGGCTCTATGCAAAAATGTCCCCTGACCCACTGATTTCCTTTCTGGACGAGATGTTCTTGTACGAAGCACTTTTTTTAAAGTTGCAAAGATGTGTAAGTCAAAAAAAGAAGTGCAACTAGTTTTTCCAGTGTTTAGTGGTAACATTCTTTAACATTAATTATTAGTTGTTTGTTTTGACACAAATACTTGTGTCCCTGATAATATTATTTACAAATTATTTTTTTTTTAAAAAATCTGTTATTTTTCAAAGAAGTAAAACCACCCTTTAAAACACTCAACAGGGCCCCTTAAATATTATTGCTCTTTCAAAATAAATATTTTCAGCTTGAAGCTGTAAATATATCTTGGTAAAATTTTTCACATTTTAATAATACTGCGTTTGATAAAAATCTCCAATGAAAATTTCATGAATTCTCATATCTTTTTGTTAATAATCCTTTCACTGCTGAACTTTCTGCAACATCCACAGGTAAACAGCCATCATTGTCAGCAATTGAACAATCTGCACGAGATTCTAAGAGTTCTTCTACTATTGTCAGAAAGTCACATGTGGCAGCTGTAATTTACAAAACAAAGTTCTTTAGCAAGTACTTAAAACCCAACAGTACTCTACAGCAAAGTTAAGGAAGAATTTTTTCTTTTTGTTTTGAAAATACATTACAACAAAGAGATGAAATGAAAGGATACTGAAGACAAAACACCATAGGATTTCATCCACCGACTCACAAGTTTAGGCAACATGCTAAATGAATAGTACCATGCAAAATTACTGCTCACGGAGCTTCATTTGAATGGCCATGTCATGAAATTTTTCTTTAGCAGATTAAAAAGGAAGGACTACATACTAAATAAATACAACCATCACCATGAAGTACAGCTAAAGAGGTTACTTTTAAATAAATAATTTATTGTCTTTTCTTATGGCTGGATTTGAGAGGGGGCAAGATAAAACAAATTCTGTTTTCTGATTGGCTACCAGAGCGGCAGGATGAGGAGCAAGGCGAGCCTATCTTGCCCTCCCTGGATTACCCTCTTTGTTCCGCAAAAGCAGATTTTGTTTTGGCCATATAATCAATCCTTTACTGACCAAACTTGTTTGGTCGAGATGTCCAAATATTACCCATGTATTTTCATTGACCTCAGCTTGATCTCAGTACATAAAAATGCAAAAGGGACCTGGCCAACAACCAGCTATCTTGACCTCACACTTGGTCAATAATGCATAAATAACATAAATTAAACATAAATTAATTTTACTGCATATTTTCAAACTTTCTTTTTAACTTTTTATTTTTCAAGCAGCCTCACTATTTTACCATTGATTATTATTTAGAAATGGAACACTCTCAAGACTACTACAAATTATATAAACAAAGAACAAAAATGTACTCACCATAATGCAGTGGTGTTTGTCCATCTAAATCCTATTTTTTTCAAAAAAGGTATCTGTTAGAAACTATCTGAAAATGAAGTTTGGCATATACGCTTCGCTGATAATTTCAGGTTATGTTATAGGTCTTTGTTTTGTAGTGCAATAATTCAAGTTCACTAGCAATGAGAAAGAAAGGCAAAAAGAAAAGGGAGAGAGTTTTAAGTTTTGCATACATGTTTCAACAGTCACTACTGCCCTTATTCAGGAGGAGAGATATACCTAGCAAATATTTATTGCCAGAATGAAGACAAAAGGAAGAAATTAAGGGAGAAAGAAAAACCACTTGTTCTAATTTTTCTCCTTTCAAAATTTTCTTTTGTCTACATCACCAAAATTAAGAAGCGGCATATTTCCTTATGCAACAAAAGCAAATGTGGCAAATGTAAAATCGCACACAAAGTCTTGGACAGTTTTCCTGTTTTTGTCCAGATTTCACCAGAAAACAGCTTGAGTATTGTATAATAATGTTTTTGAGTGTGTGTGCGTGTCAGTGGCCTAGAAGTTGATTAACGGCTGACATCGTTAAGGGTGCTGTAAAACTCCTGAGAGGGCACTTAATGCATTTAATGCAAAGTTTACATGAACGTTCCTACCTACCTGTGTGTTTATTCTTGCTTTGTTTTTGATAAGATATCTCACTACATCCTTATGGCCTCTGTCACAGGCCCAGTGAAGCAGGGTCATTCCCTAGGATATAGAAGATAAAGATTTTGAATATACAATCACCCAATATCTCTGGAGTGCCCTATAATTTATGGACAAATGCTTGTTATCCTGGCATCATTCCCTCTCTATGAAACAAAAATGCCTGATTTCGGATTAGCAGTGGCCACAACCTATTTGTTAGTTATGTTTTTTATTTGCGTTTTTCAGAATGAACAATTCAAGCGATTTCTCAGATTTTTGGCATCCTAAATATATAATAACGGAACTTTAAGAAAATGTCATTTATTTTAGTTTAAAAGATAAAAAAACATAACAAAAATGCATATAAACAGGTTCAGGCCACCTTAAGTGGAGTTAAATGATCCCTAACAATCACAATCTGGTCCAACAGAGAATAGAAACATGTCAGATTTCGACGCAATACTCAAAATTTGCTTTAAAATTTAAATTTAGAATTTAAATTAAAATTCCATATTAAGAATAAAAATCAAAGCTAACTATTAATAACGAGTTAACAAATGTTTTTTTTAATTACCTGGTCATCTTGAGCATTGATGTCTTCTCCTCTTGTTAACAAAAGATCCAATTTCTTGACATTTCCCTCCTTACACCAATCAAACACCGTCTTGTTAGCATCACTGTATAAATAAATCAGAGAGGTTATTCTTCATTTTCTCTTAAACAATTGACCTATCATTTTTTCTATTTTTTGATGAGCAATAACTTTCTTTATCTAAAATTAATAACAAATATTACTTATTCCCTATGCAGAAAAAGAATCAATCAGCAGAGACATGTGCAAAGCATGTGCTGATAAATTTTATTGAATTAGTATTTTAGGGAATCATTGCATTTTTACATGTATATATACAAGTTGCTCCTGCTCCTAAATAAGTATGGGAACCCCTCAGTTTTATTTGAAAATTCAATTTTCTAGAACACAAACAACCAATCGGAAAAGTTTGACAAAACTCTCACACACTGCCTGGGATGGCCAGGGGATTCCAGACACTAGACTGGCTGGTGCTGCTCAGCTATAAGTCCTCATGCAAGTAACCAAGTACCTGTCATACAGACTAGGCATTTGGGAGCAAGAAAACCAGAGCAAAACAGCACAAATAATGAACATTTCAGTGCATTTTATCAGAGGAACAATCAAAACCACTAGTACTGCCCTTCTGTAGGAGGAGTCAAGCTATCAGAAGTTAAAAGGGATAAAACATTATGCTGTTGCTGATGACCATAGCTTGCTGACCAATGATAATGTTATCAATTATCATTATCATCATCAGACATTTGTTTGGTAACCTCATGCTAGGATCAACTGAGTGACATCCATGAAAGTTAAGGTGATAAAAGTTGATGGACATTGTTGTCAGCCACCTCAACTTACCTGATAATTTCATCATTGCCACCATCTTGTCCTCTTAATGTACTGACTGCAAGACCCATTGTTTGTTTTTGAACGGGCTTTTCATCTTCTTTTACAGTCTATGAATAAAATTGAAAAGAGGTTTAAATTTCTTTTCAAATTAAAATCTTGATCTACAACAAACTTTGACTCTAGTTTTACGCTTTCATGGATGTTTTTCAGTAACTGAGATTGATTTGTGCAAAAGATAAATGCAATTCAGGAGCAAAAACTACCAGTCCTGAGTTTTCGTTCCATTTTCTCATACTGTCAATCAACTAGCTTGCCCATGCAAATGATAAAAAAACTATGGAGATCAAATTTTGTCCAGTACCAGCATTCCTATTCATCTTCATGTAAACCTATCTTACCAAGTCATCAGTTACAGCATATTTTGCCTCCCATTCTGGGTCAGTTTCAAATAGCTCTTGGATGTAAAGCTCCACGGCTTGTTGTTGAGGCATATCTCCAAGCTTTTTCCACGAGTCCCTGTTGTTTTGAAAATATAACAAGTTGAGAACACACCACCTCTCCAAGATACTTTCATTTTGCTTTGTTAATTAACAATTAATGAATGAGGCTGAGTATCTTATGAAGAATTATGGAGATAGAGGAGGGTGTTATCCGTCGATGCCGTAGGCCAAGGCGAATAACACCCTCTGAGATCTCCATAATTCTTCATATGATACGAAAGCCAAATTCAATAATTGTTTTATTATTCATTCAAAATAATTCCTAGTTTAAAAATAACACTAAAACATGCTTACCTCCATCGATGTTAAGTTCACCTTTGATAGTGCACATTTAGGGTTGTTCAGCTCCGCAAATATTCTCCAAAAAGCAGATATCGCCCTTCAAGTTGTGTTCTTGCTATTCTTGCCATGTTTTTAGAATGCCAGTAAGCATAAATTGTCTACGGTACTTATAGAGAATGCGGCGAAACTTGTAAGTTTTGTCATGCACGTTTTTAACATTTTGATTCAACTCAAATGATTGAATTACCATTATGGGACACAGTAATCATGAACTTAGCACAATACACATGATGTACTACCTAAAAAATGTCTCATTTTACACCCCTGCCTCCTTATGAAAGCCACCCTCTCCATAACAGCCACTTTCTTCTGTTCCCAGGATGGCCTTTGTGGAGAGGTTCGACTGCAGTGGCTGGTGCACAGTATACCAAGTGAATAGCAAGAGCAAGTCTCGACTTACATCACAAAGAACACAACAATGATCCCTAGCCCTTACATACGGTGGCTCATAAGGGACATAAAAACCCAGCTATTTATTTTGGTAAATTTGAATAGTAAAACTTATTATTTTAGGTTTGCGGTTCTATTTTCATACCTGCAATATTTTCCTTTGTTAAAGCCCAAGTTTTTCCTTTTGAAATTAATTTTTTTTAAAAACTCAGATTTTTTCAAAACTCAGGTTTTTTTTAAACTCAGATTTTTTTAAAAGAACTCAGATGTTTTCAAAACTCAGATTTTTTTTCAAAACTCAGGGGTTTTTTTCAGAACTCAGGTTTTTTTAAAAAAAACTGAGTTTTTTCTTCAAAATCCAGTTTAAACAATGCGCATGTCATATACCTGTTGACCACGATTGCTGGTTCAAAGAAAATGAACAAAATGGCGTTGATGATCAATGGTTTTATCTGTTTTCCATTTCATTTTGTGCCTTTCACGTGGAACGAGCATAATGCCTCCGTACATTCCTGTGACATCCGGGAATTGTCACCGTAATTTTTTGATTGAATGTTGCTTCAATCTTGATTGATTAACCGCCGCCTGGTAAGCTCAGTCAGTTGATAGATCGCAGGTCCGCGGAGGGGAAGGTCGCGGGTTCAAACCCCGGCCGGACCAACACTCAGGATCTTTAAATAAATGAGACGAAAGTGCTGCCTTTGTAATGACATCTGCGAACGGTTAGACTTTCTAGTTTTCTCGGATGAGGACGAAAAACCGCAGGTCCGGTCTCACAGCACTTTCTGGCACTGATCAGTTCATGTGGAACGTAAAAGAACACACGCCACTGCTCGAAAAAAATTAGGGGACGTAGACCCCAGTGGTGTGGCCAACCTCTTGACAGGTTGTGGGATTGGGTAGGGATGGCACCTTGCATGGGACCTATGAGTCCCGTTCGTGCCCATTCCCTTTGGGCCATGACCTTTGTCCAGAAAAGCTAGTAGAACTAAAAACTAAAAACTAAGACTACTCAGAAATCCTAGACTGGCTATGATTTCTTCTCCTACATAACCCTTTTGAAAAAAGTACCCTTTTCAACTGACGAATACTGAGTTGTATCGCGTGTACAAGAAGAAGGAAGCGTAGGATTTCTTAGAACTCCAGGTTTGAAGTATTGAAGTAATATTCAATCAAAGAATTACGGTCAGAATTCCCTGATCTCACAAGAAAGTACGAAATCATTATGCTCGTTCCACATGAAGGGCATAAAATGAAACAGAACTGAAATTTATTTCTGAAAGAAATAAATAGTTTTATGCTTAATGTGACTGATCAATGTGTCATTTCTCCAGCTACCAGTGAGGGGGCGTTCCTGCCATCCTGAACATCATGTGTATGTTTATAAGACATGAAAGCGAGGCACAAAGCCTCTCTCCTCACTACAACAAGAAAGTTGGAAAACATTTTTCCATCCCTTCAGTTCCCTCCCCTTTTGCACCACTTTCATCTCCCGGATGGCGGGTGTGCTCTCACCTTTGCTGGGATAATCTTCTTGAGTATCCCGATTTTCCTAGCTTGATATGCTTAAAGGAAATAAACGGCCACTATTGTGGACAAATTGATCCCAAACCGGAATTGTCATTATTTGTTATCCCAACTAATAGAGCCCACACAAAGAGAAACTCCGCCAAAAGCAATACGCGACTTAATAATGACTATCCAATGGGACATGAAGCATAAAACAGATAACAACCATTTTGATCATCAATGCCATTTTGTTCATTTTCTTTGAGCCAGCAATCGTGGTCAGCAGATATATGACATGCGCATTGTTCAAGACAATCAAAAACTTGGTTTTCAAAAAAAAAGCCTGACTTGGAAAAAAAATCTGAGTTTTGAAAAAAATCTGAGTTTAAAAAACAAGCTGAGTTTTGAAAACATCTGAGTTTTTTTTAAAAAAACCCTGAGTTTTGAAAAAAATCTGAGTTAAAAAAAAAACGTGAATTTTGAAAAAACGGGCAGAGTTTTAAAAAATGTTTTAAAATAAAAAAGAAATTGGGCTTTAACAAAGGAAAAAATTATAGGTATGAAAATAAAACCCCAAACCTGAAATAATAAGTTTTACCATTCAAATTTCCCAAAATAAATAGCTGGGTTTTTATGTCCCTTATGGGCCACCGTACTTACACAATAACACAACAAACTTCACACGATAGAACGAGATAAAATAGTGCATATATTGACTTGGTATATTGAGCATCACCCACTGTAGTAGTGTAAATAACAACTCTTACCACTTTGCTCTTCCCACTACATCCCAAAACCCTGGTCTAGATGTGTGACATGGTCCTTCTTTTGCCTTTCAAATAACAAGAACAAAGATGAAAAATATAAAAGTGTTGATCAATCGCTTCATAACTAAGCGGAGTAAAGACAACTTCAACAGGTTGGGGCACATAAGACCTTATATGTTACAGGTCAAATTTGATTTCAGGCTAAAATTTTTCAGCCTAGGTTTATTCTCAATTTCCTTTGCCTTCTAGGGCTAGGAAACATTGGAAATGAGAATGAACAAAAGGTCAAATCAAAATTAACCTGAAATCAAATTTGGCCGGTGACATATTTTGCAGCTTATGCATGCCCGTGAATACGGTTAGGTTGTAACGGTTAATCACATTTTCATCGTGTCCGGGAGAAATCCACGAAAGTAGAACCCACACTTTTATTTTCCTATTTAGTATCAACATATGTTGAAGGGAAAGTGCTTATCTGTAAAATTCATCTACTCTGGAGCGAAATTAAAGACGAAATATTTTGAACCAAACTTAAGCTTAAGCTTAATTGAGCTTACATGACGTGAGCAAACGTACACAAGGTTATAAGAAAACAAACCTGCTTAAAGAGAGCGTAAAAAGTAAGTCTCTTTTCATCGCTCAAGTTTTTCATAGTCCTAACAAACTCTGTTGCTGCTTGAAAGAGCTTCTCTAGGTCGTCTGCGTCGAGCACAACTTCGTCTTCAAAATACTCAGCAGCCGCCATGTTGGATTCCGGTACTTATTGAGACTGCTGAGATATGGTGGGCTCATTGAAGGGTCACGCCATCTCTGGCAAGTTTGCGGAAATGACTGCAGAACTATTATATCAGCTCGATATCATCATTGTCATTTCCAGCATCAATCACTGATCAGTCTATCATAATATTCTCCATTGCTGTCTTTGTGTTTTTTTTTTCCGATGTAGTTTATTCCAAATTTTAGTTTAGTTTTTATTTTGTTACCTATAGCTAGGGAGTTTGGTTCGAGCAAGCGCGTGCAAAAAGGGGACAACATCGTCATAATGAACAAGTGCCAATTTACCATGGAAACCTGTTGTCTGCATAGAAACTGACAGATGTACAAAGGCTTGCCATTTATTATATGCTGGGATTTTTTAAAATGTATATATTCAATAAAGCGTTTGATAGATCAATGGCGTTAGACGAAAATAATATGAAACTGAAGAGTGGACATCGCTTGAAAAAACGGCCGCGTTTAGAGGAACGCAGAAAAACGACAGAAAGTAAACTTGGAGAAAAGAAAAATGAGAAGGGTCAAGCACTTGAGATGGTAAGTTGGCTACCGACGAAGCAAGTGGGAAATGTTTACATAGTTGTCCCTTTCAACTATGAAAATTCGATTAAGAATCATGAAAAAAGCTAGTATGCAGTTAAAAAAGGGTCAGTAGGGTTGGGCGTATGTAAATAGTAGTATTACAAGGGTGGGAGTTGGTTCATTACATTCCGGCCGTGACGTGGTGAGATTAGGTAGTCAGCAAATTAAAAATGCAATTCTCGGAAACTTTGAAAAAAAGTTTCCATTCCATACTACAGCTATGCCTTGTCAAGAGGATCGCTTGGCTGTGGTGAGTATTGAAAAAAAGACAGATGAGTTTAAATAATGAACATTCGTGTAAAATCGCGCCCACACTGCTTAGTTTTTCCCTCGCAAGCATGTGTAAAGCAAAGGCTACCTTATATTTTTAAAGAGATTAAAAAAATCATTTTTGAGCAATGAAAACATTTAGCACAAAGCCATAAAACTCCACAGTCCATAAAATATTACAACCGGTCTTTTGTAAAACCTTTGGATAAAAGCTTACCTACTTTGTACTTCTTCATTCGTTGTACTGCATTTCAAGAATCGTCAAGAGCTATAACTTGTGCTTGTTAAACAGGAAAATATTCATCTTTTCTGTTATAAGCAACTTGCGAAAAATGGCGGACAATGATCTGTCAATCAACCGCCATCACTTGCATTAATCACTCGCGTCATCACTAGCGGAATCACATTTATCAACGTCGTTCCCAGGGCATCTCTACCATTCTCGCAAGTCCTATGTTATCGATTCTTGGCCTCGGTACTGTTAAGCTCCTAGTAAAGAGTCCTTTCCATTGAACAAACATTTATGGTTTTTCCTTTTTTCTATCTATTAAGGAAATAAACTGGATCGATGGAATTAGTAGCTCGAATTCATCTATACCTAAGGCAAGAGAAGACAACCGCTCAGAGAGGCAGCTTCAGTCCAACGAAGATGGTAATAGTGTCGGTTTTTTATTATAATTATTATTATCATGACTCTTTTCATTTTAAGAGTTTTTCCTTCAATGTGTAACTTTTCTATATTACACAACTATACATGTAGAGCATATTAAGAAACGCCTGGCCTCGTTGACTCGGTCCACAGTTTAAGTTACGGATGCTTGTTTTTCCCATTGAATTGGGCCAAGACACTCTAAGGGGGTAGCCTTTTACAGTATCTTGTCCAAGCGAAAAGCGCACCGGTGGAAGTAAATCTTGAGGGAAAAAAATGAGAATTCATAGCTCACAGGACCAAGAAAAACATCGCGGGGTGGGGGGCGCATAATCGGGGGCGAGGGAAGGAAAACTTTCAAATTTAGCAGGATAGTTAACTCTGGTTAACTCTGCTTATGATCTGTTGTAAAAATTCTTCTTTTTTTATTTTTTTTGTGTCTAATTTTTGTGATCTTCAGATAAACTTGACTGCTACACTCTGGGAGATGTGATTGGCCGTGGTTCATTTGGTAAAGTCATTGCAGCCACGCGTAAGGCTGACAAACGTCCGGTAAGAAATAGCGATAGTTAAACGCTTTCTTGGGTGAAAAAAAAAATGTTAAAATAAAAGTGTCAAATCTTCCAAAAATAAACAAAAATTACTGGAAAACATCATATACAATAGAAGGCGAAGAAAACCATGTTACCATTTTCATACCATTAATGTTAGGCCCAGGCCAAGCGTCGAACTTTTCATGAGACGAACCAGTTCCTTCATGAAATTTCGACGTATGGCTCAGTTAAGTTCGTGTGAATGAATTTGGATTGTCCAACCAGCAGCGTAGCGTCGATATTTGCACATATGCCTCTGCATGCAGCTGAAATCTGGAAAAAAATGTATTTTATATTTCCTGAAAGCATTTTTATCGTTAAATGGGAATGACATAAATTTTTCGCATTGTATTGGTGTCCTTACCCATCTGAAGGTTAGACGTCTCGCTCTTTGTTGTAACCTCCTTAATGGCGTCACTCTTTTACACTTTTTTAAACCGTAAACGCTGATAACTCTAGGGATGGGTAAATAAACAACTAAGTACTGCATTTTCCTTCGTTTTTATTTGCTGAAGATGACCTTCGGAAAACTCGAGAAATGGCATTTCCGGGACCCTAAATTTAAGACCCCCCTGGTTTGGAGGGCCCTCCACGCTTTAACGCTCAGTTCCCGTTCCCAGTTACAGTTTTGCTTTTTGGTCTGATTCAGTTGATTGGTTCAACGCGTACATGTATAACGATGTCCTCGATATAACGAACAATTTTCTATACCCCAGGAACAGTAAAATATATGAAAAAGAAACTCATTATAGCAACAAATTTTGCCAGTCCCTTGGCCCTTCGTTATGACGAGGTTCCATTTTACCAAGTTCGACGTCTGACCCAAGAGAAGATCTTAACTTAAATTAGGTTGACCCAAATAAAAGTTGGCTCGTCTCATGAAATGTTCGACGTTTGCCCTTGGCCTTAGTGTGTTTATGTCACTGTCAGCGTGAGGATGAGTCCTTTTTCCTTGAGGGCAAACTTAAGAAATCTTCGTTTTATTTGTTGCCGGTGGATTCTTGCGTACTAGTATGGTCATCTCGGCAGTTAACCGTAAATGTCATCTTTAACCATCCCTATCCGGTTTGTACTAATAGATTACGAGATAAAAAAAACTACGCTTCTTAAGCGTAAGAGAATGTAGTAATAAATAAATTGATAGTGACTGATTTACCACTTTTTATCATTTTTCCTTCTCAGGTGGCTATTAAATTTGTCAGAAAACATTCCGTAAAGGAGTTTAAAGAGGTTAGTCCGTGAACGTAATGGGAAAGACATCTGAAAAACACACTCCCCTAATCACAGTGACACAGTTTTAATACTGGTGTTTTTGAAATCACCAAGGTACATTTGGAGATAGGTTTAACCACTTCATTGTCCTCTTTTGCTTCAGCTTAATGGTAAACAAGTTCCACCCGAAGTTTATCTGCTGAACAAGGTTCAACATAACAACGTCATCAAGATTTACGATTTCTTTGCAACAGAAGACTATTACGTCTACGTTATGGAAAGACCACATATTTGCGAAGATTTGAGTCGCTTTTTAGTTAAGAGAACACTCAGCGAGGATGAAGCAAGAAGCTACTTCTCACAGATTGTAGAGGCCAACGTCAGCTGCGAGGAGAATGGGGTCGTTCACAGAGATCTCAAACCCTCGAATATCCTGGTTGATTTGGAGACTGATGACGTCAAATTAATTGACTTTGGTTTAGCTTCTGAGATTCAATATGAGCCTTACAACCTGTTCAGAGGTAGGCCACAAGGAGAGGTTCAGCAATCAGAGCAATGCAGACTAGCGGGAGGGTAAAGTTGTAATCAGTAGCGCAGAGGGTTATGATCTGCTGAAAAAAGCGTTTCGCTGATCTCTTACCACCTGCTAATAAAAACCAGTTCGTCCCGCAGTCGCAAGTAAAACGCGTTTGGAGGGAGCATTGTCATTGGTTATTCTTGTGCTTCAGTTAAGGACTGCTGTAATGTGGTTTTCATTAGATCACAAGCAATGGAGTTACGTTATGATCCTTACTTCTCCGATTTCTCTAAGTCATGAATCTGCTTGCTTAAAAAAATACTTGTATCATAAATAACATTAACACTGATGGAATATTATTTTAATGAAGCGTTTTACATGTTTCAGGTACAAGGGCTTATATGGCGCCGGAATACTTCCGATTCGGTTGGTATGATGGCTGCCAGTCAACAGTCTGGGCTCTGGGGATGATCTTAGTGGAAATGCTCTCCCCATATATGGCGTTCAACAGACCTGAGCAGGCTTTCAAAATGCCGCTCAGAATCCCCAAACATCTTTCAGCAGGTAATACATGGTAATATTAACCAATTCGTCTGACCAAAGCTGTCTGTCCTATACCTACATCGTAGCTTATTTGTGTATGGTTAGATGGTAATTTTCGTCTGAGGTAAGATGATATTAGCCGCGGAGTCGACAACAGTATTGGATATCCCAATCGAAATCGTTAGGAGTATTTGTAGTTCTTTCACGACCTTTCAATCTTGATTTTTATTGTTCAATCCAACAGAGGCCAAGAACTTGATCAGTTCGATGCTAAATGTTGTGTCAATAAATCGGCCATCGCTCAGACAGGTTTTAAGACATCCTTGGTTTTCAATGCGGGGTAGGTACACGAGCTACTACACTATTTATTACCCATGATTTTCAGAGGCTTTGGAACCTGGAAACGAGCCATACTGAGGTTGCCCGTAAGACTGGGTCGGTATAAGGTCGTATTGCACTATGGGACTGTTATAGGGACGACGTCGCTTCGCATTCCACTACAGTGCCGTGGGCTCGGATGGACAATTTCATACAAATGACTATATTTTGTCCCACCCAAACCTCATGTTTGTGCCTCCGTTTATAGGAATACGGGAAACGGTCTATTGTGCTACTCAAAAGATCGGTCGGCAAAACCTACAAAACAGTCAATAACAAAGTAAGCCGAACCATGGTCAAAATTTTAACCCATGACCATTAATTAAACTAAGAATTATTTTCAGTATTTGCCTAAGATTATACTTTTTCATGATTCATGTAATTTTCGCAGGATCCGGGGAAGATTCATCTTTAAGTGACGACTTCACTACTTTGACGTAAGTTCGTATCCTTGACAAATTCTATGTTCGGGTATTTTCTTGGTGATTTAATTTACTCTAAAGGCACGATGGAAATTCGAAGAGAGCAAACGAAAGTCACTATCAAAGAAAAGCGCAAGTATGAGATAACGGCATGAAAGTCCATCGTTAAAGAGGATAATTATCTCACATTAGCTCGCTTGTTAAAACACAGGCCAGATTCCAGGTAATAAAAATGTAACAGTTTTCTAGTATCTTTTAATATACTTATATTTCCAAATCTTGCAATTTCTGTAAAACGATGCAAACTTGTCTAGCTTCTCCGCTGAGACGTCATCTTAAAACATTTTTCCCAAAAGTTCACAAGACATTTTACTGCTAAAAGCGGTTTCACTGCATGAAATTAAACACGTTATATTCTTCTAAACTTTAGTGAGGATAAACTCTGTGAAAAACGACGAGAAATCCCGTCAGGAAGTCTGATTGGTTCAAGCTTATCCCTTGAACAAGATGAAGAAGAAGAAGAAGAAGAAGCTGAGACGGGTATGTTTTTCACTTCCATTAAGCGGATTTCCCTTTAGTAAACGGTTGTTAACATTTTTAAGACATTAAGAACATTGTGAAAAAATTATTGATAGCGTTTCTAATAACATGTATTACGTCTTCTATGACTGACGACCTGGTTACCAACGACGCGTAAAAAGGAAAATAGGTAACCCCGTTCCCCGGTTACGGTTGAGGCAAGAGAACTGAAGGTCCCTGGGGTAGAGGTTAGAAACATAGATTTCGCCAATACTGTTCAATACCCAGCTTTTTTTGTGTTGCTAACCCTCAGTTTTTCTTGATCCAGATTCACAGATGTACTCCTATCACACGCCCAGTTTATCATCATCCAGTAACACCCTTGTTCGGTGAGTTGGTTATACATCGAGAACCTGTTTAAAATTAAGGCAGCCAAACATTGATGCTTGATTCTTCGTAGATATTGCAAAGAGCCGGCTAGGGAAGAGGAGCTACACCCCTATATAAAAATGAGTTGTCATTGGGTCTAAAAAATGATAGGACAAATTACACGATACTAAAAGACCACGTCATTTAGTGCGCCTTGATGGCGGACAGAATAATGCATGTTTATAGGCTAGGCACAGGCAATCCACTGGTGTGCCAACTGCACAGTCGCCGTTGGCTTCTACATTAAGAATAACCCTGTTTGTTGTCACAGTAGGCTCGATAGGGCCTCTAATTCATAGTACTACGAAACTAATGAGACAGATTTTTCGTATAATCAACAGGGAAACAACTTCTGATACATCCAAGGCAAAATCGTATGTGGAAATGCAAGCAAAGACAAGAATTATACGGGACGTTCATTTTGATTCCATTGGAGTAAGGAACTCCAAAAAAGTATTGTCGACTGTAATAAACGGGGATTCTTGGGAATCTAACGATCTGCGTGAATCTTGTGACTTGCCTGGAGTACGACGCTTTGTTAACAGAATTAAGCTTACGAAAAAGAATAAATGTCAACAGAAACCTGACAACAAAAACTATGATTGCAGAGGATGTAAGAGGAAGAGACATGTGCGTATTACAAAGGAAACAAGTGTTGGAAGCACAAAGAAACTTTCAACTGTGGAACGATCGCTGTTTGGTGGTCAATCAAGCTTTTCTGAAGAAAAGCAACCTACAAAGTTTTTAAATGTAGCTATTTGCGTTGTTCGGCGTGATCTCAGTGATATGAAAAGCTCACTGTTTCGTGGCCTGAAGTTTGGGGAAAAAATTCAACACCAACAGAAGTTTGGAAAAAAAGGCCCTGTTTGCAATCAGGGTAGAGGTATAAACGGTAGCAGATCTGTTGTACACAAACCCTCAAAGTCCCCGATGCTAGATGTCCGCACGCTACTAATTTGTAGTCTGTCTTTAATTTTGAATAAAGTATTCAGAGTGGCACTTTTCACCTTATTTACTTTTACATACACAAAGGGCCATCCGTCAGGGGACGAGACCTCCCGCCACTGACGGGGTGCCACCCTTAGTCCCGGAGGCCGAAGCCCCTCTCAGCGGCCTCTCTCAGACAAGTTTACCATTCGCCTAAGTAACATCACTAAAGGCAAGGGCGTTTTCAAGGCGGCGTTTAACTTTACAGGTTGTGTGAGGTCTTATAAATTTATGGATCAACTCTACTATGACGTCTCTTTTGGAGTGGATGCTAGATCACGTATAACTTTTAAGTTATACTGAAGCACTTGTTTTAGGGAAAAATAAAAAAGTAAGTTCCGTTATAAGCATTTTACAAGGAATGACCTACAATGATCTACAGTGACCTACAATTACCTACAGTAAGCTACAATGACCAAAAATAATGTGACGATCCCTGCAATGAGCTAAAGTAATGTTACGTCAACGCGACTGCGACGAGAATTGGGCGGCAATCAAAGGGACCCCAATCAAAGCAGCTATTGACTTGCTCAACTGCGATTAGTGATGTGACTCTTTTTTAATTTGTTTATTGACTGCTGCCTTATTGGGAAAGTATTAAAATATGACCAGTAAGGATGAGAGGTTAACTCATGATTGAACATAACACCACAAAAAAGCCACAATAATGAAGGTATCTTTATTCTCATTTCAAATACCACTGATTTTTTTTCTGTTTATTATATCATTGTAAAATTGCAAAATCGCCTATAAACTATAAATAGGCCGTTTGCACGATGACGTCATTTTATTACTACGATCAGAATCCTTCAGGGTTTTTCTTTCTTGTGCAAATTAAGGCTTTTGTTATTCAAAGCTCACTGGGATTACCACCTTTAAACGTTTGGCACGAAGCTATACAGAAATTTATAGTCTTCAAAAATCTAAGATCTTTTTAAGCACTTTCATGTAATATTTAAGGTGAGGCAGGAAATGGAAATATTAATTTCCTTGATTCTTTCTTTGACAACTTTAATAGTCGTGAATCGTGCAAAGACCCGATCCTTTTTATAGCGACCTTCCAACCGGCAGGGGCGGATCTAGGGGGAGGGTGCAGGGGGTGCACCCCTCCCCCCAAACTCACACACCAGAGATGACCTGCGCCTTTCTAATACAACTGGACTTCTGTATTAAATTTGTTTACGTCACCAGTCAGTTACCCCATTCCTTTGTGGTGCACCCCTCTCCTCATAAGTAAAATCCTGGATCCGCCCCTGAACCGCGTAACCACAATCTTTTTTCCTGTTTCAAGCGTTGTGCCATTTTGTCTGTATGTATTGTTCAATTCTTATAAGAATCTCTTTCCGGATGGAACAGTGAAAAGCACTGGTGAATCATTCAGAACATACTCCAAATATAACGCTATATTAGTACCAAACTTGGTAATGTCAACTTTATACAACATCAGAATGAAATTTTAAAATTTACAATACCACTGGAAATCAAGGAATTTGACTTCAAGAAGTCGGATAAATAAATAACAGGAACAGTCACCAATAGTTCCAATAGTTGATGACTTATAAATAATCATAAAAAACTAGTTTAAACTATTTGCACTACTTAAAAATAATCCTTAGGATTAAATTTTCTTTGAGACACTGTTGTCGCCCACGTTCAAAATTGACATTTCTTCAACAATCGCGGTTTGCCTTCATGCGAATCCAGGACGCATTGAAATACACCCATATTTGTCGTGGAAATACACAAACTGAAACAAAAACGGTTTAATATTGAGATATATTCTAGTTCATTTTCATAGTATGAAATAGTGTAAGTTTACAAACGCTTGTTGCGTGAGTTTAGAACGATTTAAACCTAAAAGAACTTCCTATCACCTCTCGTGCAGAGGAAAGGAATCCTCCGGGAAAGGTTAGTCCGCGAGTGGGTTGACTTGTACGAGTTCGGGAAAAATCTGGGCGGCGGAGCTGCTATAGGTCAACTTTAAATTCAGTTTAAAATTTCTGACCCTAGGTTGATTCTAAATTTCCTTTGTCTCCTATCCCTAATTCATGAATAATTAGGATTAGGACACAAAAGGAAACTGAGAATCAACCTAGCATAAAAAATTTTAACCTGAATATAATTTTGACTGGTAACAGAGCCACCAGGTTCGAAACAATAGGGCTTTTCCTCGCCCTATTCCTCTGTCTTCGGTACCTCGTGCCAAAATCCCCCCCGAAATTCGCACAAGTGAGCCTCCTCGCAGGCTAGGTGTTATAAGGACATACCTTCCATCATCCCATGCACAGATGTCGGTCAATGGCCCCGAACCAGAGAAGTCAAGAGACGCAACACACTCTGCAAATATCAAAAAATACGGCACTGTGTTAAGAGACGGCAAACACTTGTAACGAGGCCTACCCTTTTCAGGTCAGTGGATTAATTTACTTAGCATAATTGCCTACATGTTCTTTTTGTCAAGCGGACAAAAAATGCTAGATACTATTTTAAGGGCCAGAGAAGGGAATTATTTGACTTTATTATCGCGGTCAGTTAGCTCCGATAATAGAGCGCCAGTTTGACCACAACCCAGGCTCCTCTTTGAAATAAACTTTAAGATCATGCTGGCTGTGATGGGGTCATTGGACAGTGACATTAAGCCGTTGGTCCTGTCTCTTTCACCCCTTCTTGTCCACTGTATGTCGGGTACATTAGGGAGCTTAAGCAATTCGTCCCAATGTTGGCGAATTTGAATTCAAACGGACTATATCGTAGTTCAGGAAACGAAGAAAGTAGCTGTCGTTTGCCCACGTCCTCAACAAAACGCAGAATTAAGCACTTTCAAGTCGTAGTCGTGCAGATACGGCAAGAGATGTACAAAAACGGGTGATGCACGTGCAGAGTTGTCGTTTGCTAAACAAACCTATTGCTTTTTTGCCGTTTTCGTTACCGTCGCCGTCGTCGTTGCTGGAGCTCCCTATTAAAGAACTCACACAGATTCTGGAAAAGGAGCAGGGGACGTTGACCCGAGTGGGTAACAGAGTGATCGCAGATAGGCTAATACACGTACTGGAAACTAGACACAAGTGGACGAGAACAAGAGAAATCTGAGAACGAGAGCCAGTGTTCCATCCAGGCTTACATCCAGGCAGGGCCACTTTCTTTGTAGTCTGTTCATAGACCCGTCTCTCCTCTTTCCTCGCCACAAGAGAGACACGGCTGTATTTGCAGGCCATTTTCTTTGCGGATGTTTTACCTCATTAAAAATATGCATTTTTTTTAATGGACAAGTGTGTAGCCCACCAATTCATCTGCAACTGGGAACTTTGATGCAAGGACATCACATTGAATAGATGCAGAAACTCATAAGTTTCTGATAAATGTTAATCACGGTAACCGGTCATTACGCCCCGGTTACTTCTCCCCCTATTTTCGAGTCATTAGCGCGTTCCAAATGTATTATTATTCCTCGTTCTATAAACCATAAATCAAAACAAAAAATAGGAGACTAAGTAACCGGGGCGACATGACCGTAAAGCTTGATCATCGTACCTCTTCCTTCTCGCTCCCAAATTCTCAAAGATGAATCATGTGACACAGTAGCTATTCTAAAAACAGAAATCAAATTTACAATTGGCACTATTACAAGTCAACGACCATCGGCTCTAAAGGGGACAGAGTGAAATGTAAGTTATTTCACCGGTTTAAACGGTATGCCATTGTCATCGCTACACGACATGACAATCTTAGCCCGATCTTTCTACATAAAGGATAAACAGCCAAGCCAAGTACGTACTTGAAATAACATTATTTCCACTGAACTATCCAGTATTAAATCCATAACTGTTTCATTCATTAAATTAAAGTTATTCTACCAAAACCTTGCTGTAATTAGTTAGTTAATCGCTAGAAATATCTCTTCTAACAAAAGGTACACCTCCCGTTCACGGAGCTGGGCCTACGGTGCCCACAGTGCAGGCGTACTGATTAGGAACTTTACGATGCCACGACGGCGACGACAAAGAGAACGTAAAAAACAATAAGTTAAATAGGCAAAACAACAACTCTGCACGTGTTTTTTGTACATTTTTTTGCCGTCACTTCACGAACGACGGGAAAATGCCTAATTTCACGTTTTATGGAGGAGGTAAAAAAGCGACGGCTACATTTTCTTTCTCTTTCTGAACTTGAATATGGTTCTTGGGAATTCAGCTCAAAAAGAGTTCGCTTGCATTTGACATTAAATGAGTTGGAGTATTCAGGATGGAGATTGAAAGAACACAAATTCACTTTTCAAGCGACGTTTTCGTGGCCGTAGCCGTCGTGGTATCTTAAACAACCTATTGCCTCTTAAGGATCGTATACAATCCGCCACAGAATTCTGATCAATTCTTCTACTCGCTAACAAACCCCAAGAAACAAAGGCTAGCAAAGTAGTAAAATATTATAAGATTTCAGGCGATCTGCCTTTTAACTTTAAGTTGATGATGTACTAAAACATTTAGTAAAGTGTAATAAACGACTGAACAAAGTTAATAAAGAGTCTCTCATTTTTTAGGGCAAAAGCAATGATTCTGTTGTGGCACACTACTCACAGCTTGTTACAAAATGCAAGGCTCATATGAGAACCTTATTGTCTTCCTTTTTTTTAAATATAAGACACGATTACTTAACACTAAAAAAGTAACTGTTACAGGAAACAGTTTTAAACTTTAGGGAGTGCAAATACTTACAAATCTTTAGATGAAACATGTTCCAAGCGAGGTAGAAAAATACAAGCAGAGGAGGTCTGGTAATGACCCACATATCTACAAATCATCTGCTGTGCCCTCACATCCCACAGCTGTCAATCAAGTTCAGACAAGTGAAAGGGCAAAAATGAGAACGTAGGCAACCACTTACAGTAAAAACCAGTGACTTATAAGAACCTGGTTTTAAAATCTGTTAGGCTAAAATTTGCAAGTTATGCCCTCTGTATACAAGAATCTGTTAAGCCTAAAATTTGAAAAAGGTTCTTCTTGTCTAAAATCTGTAAAAACATTCTGTAAACTTGGCCAAATAAGATAAGTCAGCATTCAGGATCCTCTCTAAAGACATAGGTGGTTATCACTCCAGCTGCAATATACTGTATATGTAATGGTATACAGGTTTTACCTAAGGAATGAGCTGAATACCACTACATGTAAATACTCTTAGGGAAAGTTCATTTAATATGAAGCTTGAAATTTTAGTTTCCACCCCCCTCCTCCTTCAATTCCTTTGCTCCCCTGAAAAAGATCGCTAGAACAATGGTTTATACTATGACAAACTTGAGATCATCATTTTTGGGATCATTAATGAGACTACAATATCTGTAAACTAGTATGATATAGCTGAGTTGCACAGGTCATTAAATTGTTGAGTTGAAAACCATCCGATCTGTATGATGATGTCATGTGTTGGTTTTGAAGTATACAAATTTTCACCCCCCCCTTGCAACAATTTCTTCGGGAGTCTAAAATTTTCGGAGCCCCCTCAATATCTTCATCCCCCTTGTCATATTAAATGAACTTTCCCTTAGCTACAATGTATATTTAACGGTATTATTATCATCATCATCATTATTAAAATCACTAGTATGATTAGTGTGAGTTTTCTCATAATTTCATACTATCACTTACAGTTGCTTCACATCCTTTTCCATTGAATCCATTGCTACATGTCACAATAAAATGACCATCTCTTGAGCAATCACAGTACGTCTTCAATAGAAACAAGCAATAAAGGAGGTTAAATTTTATTTTATTTTTTTTTTATTTTAAAAACCTTTCTCTGCCTCTTCTTTAGCAAGCACCGCCATGCTACCCTGGGTTCCAGAGGTTTTTTCTCACTTGCGGCTGGATGCTTTGGTGTCAGCCACAAAAGTTGAGAAAATGTACAAAGACGTTACACAAACATCAATCATCTTACTTGCAAAATAGGAAATAACTGGTCTGTTGTTAAGTAACACAACACATACATATGTTATTTACCTGCTGGGCAGTCCATATGGTAAAAAACTGCGACTGAGGTCTTGGAAAATGGTACCCAAGGCCACATAACGGCACAGTAATGAATTCTGAAATCAGGGCCCAGTTGCTCGAAGCATGGTTACCTTTCACCATTGGTTAAGCAGTATCAAAACCAATACATTGTCAAGGTATTAAATGCTGGTTAACGCTAACCATGCTTCGAGCAACTGGGCCCTGACTGGCTCTTTACGCAGTCCGTGTTTCCCTATCGCTGCTCGCAGGTATGGTAAAGCTTAAGTTGGTTATTTGTCCTTTTGTTTACAAAGTCTTAAAAAAAGTTTTCAAAAGTTTTCTATTTCTGTTCAGTAATAATAATAATAATCATATTAAAGGTTTATTGATGACTTTCCTACTGAGTAGCTCTTCACTCATCAAAACTACCTAACTAATGAAATATATTTATACATGTGTAATACGGATAAAAATTGAAAGAATATAAAATAGGTATATCAAATATATATCGCTACCAATTCACAAAAGCAATACGTCAAAATGAACAAAAAAAAAAATTACCTGATTTAAAATCAAAATAATCAATGGATTTGTCCGCCCTAGTTTGACCAAAAACTTGTCGGTCATGTTGAACGGTCACACAGACTCCTATTCTTGAACAAACAGCCAAAAACTCACCTGTAAATCTTAGATTCTGTCTTTTTGTAAAAGTGCAATCATGTTCATTAATAGAAAATAACACAAGGATTAGTTCACTTTTTTCTTTTTTCTTTTTTTCTTTGCTCGGTCATTGTGTCCGGCCATTGTCCAAAATTATTTTAAGCCGTAATTTATAAACTCAACCAATACATAGAACTAAGGGTCTTTCATCCTGTCATCCTGACCCAAAGTTTTGCTCAATTCCGTAATCCCTATAGTTGTTATTGGCCACATCAAACACATATTGTCCATACTTTCAATCCCAAAACCTCATCCTCATTTTGCTTTAAAATCCTGAGTCATGGCCTACAAATCAGACAGATTTGTAGGCCATGACTGGGGACCCTCAGAACATTGGAATCTGATTTTGAAGTGATGTAAAATACCTGGAAGTACTGCTGGGCAGGGAAAGTGAATGCTGGTTGCATATTTCTTGTATCCCAAACTCTGTTATAAACAGAGAATATATACACAGCATTAATTTCATAGCTAAACATGTTGGCATTCATTGCTGAGCCTTAGCAATACTACTTCACTTCATTAGACCACGAGGACGGTATATTTAATGGACATTTTAGGACCAGACAAACAGGCCGAAAGGCAGAAAAGTATTCTTCCAGCTCTGCTACAAAACCATGGGTTAATAAACAATAATGGTTTTTGTAAACCAAATAAACATGTTTTTTTAAACTATTGTAAATTACTACACATTACCACCGACTTAGCCATCCTGCATACCTTAGCATTTTGTCTTCTCCAGTTTGAGCAACTTGACACTGGGTTCCAGGAATCCATTTTACACAACTTACCTAGTTAAAAGAAACACACACACAATGGGAATCACAGCCATTTTTTTTCGTTCCACTTCGGTAATATTATTATAACTTGTTTGCTCTTCAAGTTAATTATCAGGGTGAGGGTAGTTAGGTGGTGGGCAGTGACCTGGTTTCTATGAATACCACATGGCCTTTTGAGATGACCCCTCCTCAAAGTATCAATAATTTGTACTGAGTGATGATAAGTTGAAGTATTCTGTAAGTACTTCATACCAAATTTCTTGAGACTTCTCTTTCACTAATGCTTGTTGGCCTAGTAACATCCCACAGTCTCACACAATTATCTCTAGATCCAGAAAATAACAGGCTTCCATCTACACAAAAAGAGATATAAACATCATTAACAACATATCAATAAATATTATTCATTTCAAAAAGAGGATTCAATACTGAAAGAATGGCATTCTGACATTTGCAGCAAACTTTGTAAATGTAAAATGTCACATTTAAAACCTGCTTACAATCCTAAATGGACGGTAATGCATCCCTTCTTAGGGATGGTATACCAATTTTGCATTCTGATTGGTTGAGCTACTACTAGGCTATTGAGCCCAGTTTGCCAGCAATTTTCAAAAAATGATTAACTGTAGCTTTAGCTAGCTAAAAGTTGTTTTGTCTCTTTTTGACCAACTAGTTGACACTAAATGGACAGGTAAGAGCTAAGTGTCTGTATATTTATAGCCTGAGAAAGGGTCTACAATGCTTACATAGTATCTTGGTCAACAACAAAACTGTCCATAATAGAGAAGTGTCTGTGAGGGGAAGTTTAACTGCACATGAACTAGGTACCATATATAAGTAGCAAATACCGTAAACTAGTACTGCTGCTTATAAACCCTGGGCTTATACCTCTTTGTAAGACGTATTAGGAGGGCTTATAAATAGAGGGGCTTATAGCTGAGAGGGATTATAACCAGAATAAAAAAGTGCTTTGAAATTAAAAAGCTAATACAGCAGTGCTGATCAAAACACATTAATTTTTGCATAAACTAGCTAGTTCATATTTATTAACCCTTTAAGCCCTAAGAGTGATCAGCATCAAATTTCTCCTTGTAATATCAATGCTTTGTAAAACAGAGACGGTCATGAGAATTAGGGACATGATCACACAAGATGAATTTGATTGATATTTTATCAACTTCTCCCCACTACTTCTGTAGGAAATTAATAGGAGCAACAAATGAGAATTCAAATTTTGATCTTAGGGTTTAAAGGGTTAAGCTGGAAAAAGTCATAATAAATCAAGTTTATTTTGATACAAGCTAGAAGGCGGGGGGAGAGGGGGCCTCAATGTACCACTAATGTTTGTTTACAGGTAGATCGGCCTCTAACTGGGGGTGCTTATAAGCAACAGTTTATGGTATTAGACTGTACTTTTACATCAGATATCACTAGTGTCTCAAGCAACTTTGATGTACAATGTGATTCAGAGTGAAAACAAAATAAAGTTATACCACACCTTCATTTAAATCAATAGCTGTTACAACTAATCTGTGTCCTTCAAATGTCAGTGATGGATCATTCTTGCCTGGATTTGTCTGCCACGCCTTTATTGTCTTATCTCTTGAGGAGCTATAAACAGTTGTACCTATGTGTTTTACCTGTGGACAAAATCATTTCCCTTATTACGGTAGTTATGATGTGCTGTTCCGACACACAATCCAGGGATGTTACCAAGATTTCAAGTTTCCAGGTAAATACGAGTACAAAAAGTAAGTGGGAAATCAAACTGCTACGGATTTCTTTTGGTTCTATTTTTCTTCTATTTTCCTATGAAAGTAGCCAGGGTCTGCATTCAAAACAGCCAGGGGAAATACTACCTGGACCCCAGCTCTCAAGGACAGCCCTGCAATCCCTCCTACTTTGAATCCCCTACCCATCTATGAATATTCCAGTTTACCTTTACATTTTCCTTTAAACATCTTGGCTTTTAAGATACTCTTCCCTCTCAGAAGTAGCTTTGCAAGCATTCTGATAACAATGGCTTTGGTTAGCTTTATATTTACTGGAGGTCTATCCTCAATAAAGTATGTATGCTCAAGAGGAATATTACTTTCATTTTATAAACATGGACATATGATGGGAAAATATTGTAATAGGGTCCTTAACATGACATGTTTTGCACAAAACATTTGAAGTTTGACAGTTGTTAAGCAACCTGTTGTGCTGTAGGTTGACTGTTGATATGTTTTTGGGAACAGGTGGCTTTATAACAGCTAAAATTCCATTTTGAAATTAAAAAGCAACAAATGTTGATTACTAACAAACTGTAAGCCAAAGACAAAAATTCACACCCGAAAGACAAAACTGTTGTTATCTGTTGGCTTCAGTGACCCATGCTATTTAATGTGGTAGACATTTCTTCCTTAAATTTGCAGCCAACCATTTCTTGTTCAGAAACAGCACACTTAGCTTGCTTTTAAGAATTATCCTGTAGAGTATTTTAAACGTAAAGATACTTCTTAACATTGAAAAAAAACTTGCATGGAATATTTTGGTGAACAAACAAAACTCAGATAAAATGCTTGAAGCCACCACCCAGTCATTCACTCATCATCTATGCTCTATAAAATTCAAATGTTTCCCAGCAAAACATATTATGTTCTACATTAATTTTATTTAGAACATGTTTTTCTGTCACATGACCACACTAAGATGCAAATAATAGCATAAAACAAGAAATTTGTGTCAGTTTGCTTACTTATCTACACCATAGTAACAAAAACTACTTTTTATTTAGATCACTGTGCATTACTTTAGTGATGTCTCTTGTATGACCATTCCATCGATGCAGCAAAGCACCTTGTTTCCAGTCAAACAAAGCCACAGACTGAGGAAAGGAAAAAATTGAGCTCAGGTTTACAAAAAATTGGGCCCAGGTTTAATAAATGCAATTCAATGTATAATCATAACTATAACAAAATTGTCAAATTTATTGGCTATCAACTGCCCATTTCAGCCTTAATTGGACAGTTGAGGACTTAACAAAGTGAGCACAAAACCTTATGTAAAATTAATAAATGCAATTCAATGTATAATCATAACTATAACAAAATTGTCAAATCTGATTGGCTATCAACTGCCCTGATTTCAGCCTTAATTGGACAGTTAAATAGGTCAGTACGCATCATACCATTACTAATCATAACTGGACAAAATTGTCAAACTGCGCCATCACTGCCCTGATTTCAGCCTTAATTGGACAGTTTAATAGGTCAGTACGCATCATGCCTAAGTAACTGGACAGTACGCGCCATCACGCGCGCACTTAAATGGCTTTTTTTTTTTTACTGCTAGCAAAAAAAATCTCGAAATTTCTTGGTTTTTTTATTAAAAAAAGAGCCTAATATATCACAAATTTTGTTAAAGTTATGATTAATCGGTAATTTTGCCTTATGGAATTTTTTGATGATTTTAGGCTCAAAAAAAAAAATCCAAGAGGCAGACATCACAGCTAAACGTCTATGTTATGAATGCCATATAAAGACATCCATTTTTTCAGAGTCACGCTAGGTTGAATATTAATGAATTAGAAGTGGAACATGTAGGCACACGGCAAGGGTTGAAGGAGCCTGATCCCCTCACTCCTCCCCCTAGCTTTGAAATCAAATTTAAAAATCCTTTATCGCCATACTTATTACTCATCAAAATTTCTTCTTCAAAACTGTTAAAAATTACAGACACCAAGGTACCAAGTTTATGGCAAAATGTCATGGTTTCTAAGTTACCAGGGAGTTGTTTAAAGTAACAGCAACGGAAAGCAAACCATTTCATTAAATTGTTAACCGATTTCCTAACAAGCTAGGTACAGTATTTCAGCTACTAAAATGCAAAACTCACGTTGTCTTTACTTCCTGTTACACAAGTTCCCAGGGCAAAAGGATCAACACAAGTTACAGAATCGCTATGAACCGAGTTGTGTTCCGTTACGTACACTGAGGAGGTGTTTTGGGTCGCTGTCACTTCGCCGCTGGTGTTAACATCATCATAACCTGCAAATCGCCGGGGCTTGGACTTTCTTAAACCCATACACAAACTTTCAAAACAGTGGAAGCAACCCGGCTGCATGGACTTTCCACAAAAAGCATAAAATTGTAACGCTGAAACTCCTACCAGGTTTCACCTCGGCGTCTCGGTAAAATTGTATGAGGCCTTGAAACTCCTGAACGGAGGTGCACGGGGTTTCACCTAGACCAAACCCGGCGTCTCGGGATTCCAAACGCACCCCGTTCATGTAAAATTGAGACCTTGATTTTTAATTCTAGAATCCGCCCTAAAACTAACACCCCGTTCTGAAATGGGCCAATTTTTATACTCCGTTCTAGGGTGCAACAAGAGTACAACGGTTTGCTTGTTAACGCACTGAACCGTATTTTTAAAAGCAATCTGTCCTTGAAGGCTTTCAAATGGCTGCTTACAAAAGTGGAATTTCATGCGTTCGAAATATTATACCCCGTTCTAGAAACCGCGTCTGAAATGGATACCCCGTTCTAAACCAGGACTTCAAAACCGACCCCTTTGGGCGGCTTAAACCCACCCCGGGGACCAAACCACGGCTTAAACCCACGGCCTGGCCAGTACCTCAAGCATGCGCATTTGACCATATCAGCCGGGTAGTGGCAGCCATGGACAGCTGTTTCACCCTTATTGGGGCTCATCAGCATGGCATATGGTCAACCCGCCGCGTGTCTCCTTTTCTCGCGTGGGGTGATTTTCACGCGCGCTCCCGCTTCGCTCGCTCTATTATCCCTGAGGAAAAATGGGGGACTACTCGTAGTCTAATAAATGAAGGTCATCAGTATTAAAAAAAAGTATAAATATTGTTACTTGGTGTCGTTGTTTGTTCTTTCTAGGATTTTTCGTCGCATCAGGTAACAATATTTATACCGTTTTTTTTTTGCTCACATCTCTGCGCCGTCTCGTTATCTGAACGCCTACACAGGTTACCACTCCCTTTGACGAAGCAACAATAATTTTATCCGTATAGGGAATAATGTATCACTTCAGGTCGGGCATGGAAGAAATTTTAAGAAAGCAGAAGAATTAAATAAGAAAGAAAACGCTCAAAAAAACAAAAAAGGAAAAGAAAAAAAAAGTACCGGTAAAAAAAAGATCAAAGAAAAGAAAGGAACGATCTACAACACACCTGGTCAGGCGCTCACAAAACAAAAACAATTGAAAACAGAAAGGTTCTTTCAGCAGCTTGTTATAGATTAGGTTGTGTTTGATCTAATCGATCCGTTAACGTGACGACCTAGATACGTAACGGAAGTCGAGTTCAGTCCTTTCCGGGCGCTTTGACGTTGTGCTGTCTTTTCTAGACTGGAGACAGATGACAGAATAAATAACAACAAGAAGTTCTCTTGTATGACGACAGTTGTTTATCAGGCCGTCAACACACATTACTTTTTGTTGGAGAATTTCTTCTCCGATTTCCTTTCACTATAAAAGTTTTCAAACAGTTATTTACCCAATGCTTCATATTTATTTATTTGTTATTTTGCTTGATGCGAGGTAGGTTTTTCCAGGGGCACCCAACGCGAATATAGTTCAAAACCACTCAAACACAACATTGTTTAAGGTATTTTAGTATATAAAGGGTAGATAAAGGCATATTTTTTTCCCCTAAAAATTTTGCATCTGTTCTGATTTCCTAGCTGAAAGTCTAGTAATCCGAAAATTATAGGGATCAAAACTTACCTTTTCGAAAATTTCAGCCATAAAAAGGCTCCCGAAAATTCTTGATGACCTTTCAAAGGGTAAAAATCCGTTAAAAATGGGTAATTATACCATTTCTTGGATGTTCGAAAATCCTTGGAGAGACAGGCAAGCAATAAATTTTACAACAAATGTTCCGAAAATTCTAGATCTCAAATCATCTTCCGAACAGATATTTCCTGAAAATTGACGTTGGGTGCCCCTGTGTTTCAGTTTTCGCGCCATTCGTCCCATAACAATCGGGCTCATTTTATCTGCAATTTCTGAAGGTGTTTTGAGCGGCAAAAAAATCATATATATTGGGTAAAAATTATCTGCTAAGAGCGTTTCCTCAGTTGGTTAAGCTTCGACCCACTGAATGACAACAAATAATTTAAACATGTAGATTCAATGAGTTCAGTTTCAGTGCGACAGGTTGTTAGGGCATGGAATTCGTTAGTTTGCTTGAAGGTCAGTATATTAAATTTGTTCGAATAATCGCGGAAATAAAATTTAGAAACTGAGGACTAACATCGACGTTTTCAATAAGAAAAAAGCGACAAATAGAAAGTTGAGTAATGAAGCCTGATAGATGTGGGGTCATGTGGCGAGGCTCCACTCGGATGCATTCTACATCCGTCAAATTAAGAAGTCGCGGATATGTTACGCTTTAGACCGTCGCTTTAAAATAATGAATCCTTGTTCTTGGCAGCTGGCGGCTAAAGTGCAGATCCTGTCAGATATTTCTTTGAAGTCTTCCCTTAAGTTGTTTGTATCCTCCTGAATTAGCTCTAGCTGTACTCGGACGTTTTCAAGTCTTGAAAGTGTTAGCTGCGATTGAAACATCAGCGGCAATAAGAACTTGTGCCTTGTTTGTTTCTGTAAGAGCTTCCTTCATGCTGTGTTTAGGCCAGGTGATAGCCAGTTTTTTTCCAGTTTGCTTGTAAATAAAGCCAAGTGAAATCGCTTCAATAAGGTCTTTTTGAGAAAAAGCAATGAGTTACGGTAAAGCAAAAGTAATTTTTTCGTCTCAAGACGACCGTCAAACCGAAAAGTGGAACGAAAATGACTGCTAATTTTCTTCCCGATATAGTTCGCAAAAGCGTCCCATGGAGTTACAACAATAAACAATTCATAAGACTACACTGCTCAAAACGTGTGTAATGAAGACACCTGCTCGCTTCACTATGCTTTTATACTGTTAAAATTTGCATAGCCCTCGCTCAGTGAAACTTAGCCTATATGTCCTTTTGATTCGTTATAATCATATTCATATAGATCTAATTTCCTCGGTGAGAGTCTTTCACTAAAAAGTTCTTACTTCGGCTAGTGGGATTTTTTATTTGTCTCTTTGCAAATGCTTTGAATCCTTAAACTGCGGTGCTCTTTGATTTTTTAACACTCACTTCGGATTTTATATTGCACGTTTTAGGTGTTTCAAACTAAAAAGTCCGTGGAAGGACTACAAAGTGACAACGACTGCCAGAAGGCTGGCCAACAAAGAAAAAAAAAAGAGAAAAAGAGTGAGAAACAAACAAGCTTACTAAATTACAAGAAAATTTATACACGTTCTCCATCAAATATACTCAGCAACTAAAAAATAGCAAACGCGACACTACCTCCACCTGCTCCATACTCAGACCTGTTTCGCCTCAAACCTTTTTCTTTTCTTAATCAAAGTGCTCTTTTTAGCGCAGATGTATTTTGACAAATAAGTTTTGATAAATGTTTACTCTATACTTCTGCCCTCGCTTTTCAAGAATAGAGAGAAACCTTCTGAATCTTTACTACGCCAATGTCTGTATAGTTGTTTAGTCTGTGTAAAACCTCTTTCATGAAAACATGAAGCAATATTTCTGTGAAAAAATAGTATTTTTTCCTGTGAGTACTTTAGCTGGCTCAATAGGACGTTTAGACGCAGCCAGACGGATACTTAGTTACCTACTAGGAGTGTAAATTATTTTTCATTGTGGTTCTTTAGTCCAACGTAAACTAGTTCGGTTTTTTCAATTGTGCAATCAGATTATAAACCTCTTAATAGACACTTTTCATTGTTCAAACCTATTGTCAATTTTAGAAGCTCAAAGTTTTGTTCTCGGGCTATTCAGAAACTTTTTTTTATTTGAATGTTTATATTTTGCCCACTTGGAGTAGCAGGTATCTTACATCGTCTTATGCAGAGCTACTGAAAATAAATATTTTATTAAAGTAAGTTGTAAGAGCTGTTTGCACCAGAGAAGGTATGTTAAATGATGAATTTCTCAAATTTTCTATTACAAGACTTTCTTTACCATCGCTTTATTCTTTGGTTTGTTTTAAAACGTGTCAAATCCTAAGTTGGTGGAAGCCGTGAACATTTGGACATGATGTATGGTTTTAAAAATCTTTTACCTCTAGTGTCGCCTTGACATCGTACGACCTCCATCGGAAAATTTATATATTAACTTATATTGTCGACTATATTCGTTTCGTTTTTGATGGTATTTTTTGTCGCTTTTGGTAAGCTTTGTACTCTATTCACAAGGTTTCCAACAGTTTTGCAATTCTAATTCAAAAACACATACTTATCACTTTTACCATCACATACATGTGAAGTTTATACATCGTCTCAAAAAAAATATTTAGCTGTTATTGGTTGTTTTGGCGATGCCGGGAATAAAATATTATCACGGATAATTTCTTTAAATACCTATAAACTCAAAAGTTCGTTTTGGAGCTCGTTAAGACTTAAAATCTACTCTCTTGAATCCTACCAATCTTTCTTTAGTTGCCTCGATTCTACGCGAAATGCAAGTCAATCAGATGCAACTTTCCACTGACAGTTAATGATCCAAACCCAGTTTGCGATGAAAATATACAACAATCAAGTTATTGTCAAGCTCATTGTGTTGTTGACTGCCGTATTTTGGAAGGCAGTCGAGACACAATCCACAGGTAAGTTGCATTTGGGCTAAAACTAATATGCACAGATCTACTTTGAATGAGTGGAAAACTTTGTAAGGGCAAACACAAAGATTTGGGGTCTATCAGCTGAGCTCCATAAGTAGAGAAGTTGGTCACTAACTACTCGACATACGAAACTTAGCATTACTGTGTAATTAGAACGATAAATTTTCACACTAATAAGCATGAAAGTCTCCACACAAGAATCATTTAAAAGTATAGTCGAACCTCTTCAGAACTGCCACATTGAGAAAAAAGAAAATGGCCGTTATGGGCAGGTAGGGGTGTAATATGACAATTTCTTTTTGTGGAGAGTACAACATGTTTATTGTTCCAAGTTCATGCTTTCGACATGCTTACACACTTTTTAGAAGATTTCTTTGACATCCACTGCAAAAGGAGGTCGTGAAACATTCCAAATGCGACGTTTTGAGGATTTGAACACACGATGACGAATTTTCCTTTTTTTTTTTGAAAATATTTTATTTCTTTGTATTCTCATTTCCGAAATTGTGAAGTCGAATCTGACGTTTACAGTTTGCCGGGAAATATATTCTTATACTACTCTGAGGGCGATTGTAAAATCGTTTCCAATTTCTATGATTCATTTTTTAGATTCTCCACGGAGTTGTATACCTGGAAGAGCTTCGTTTAATGTAACGTTAACTGAAGGGACTCAAGCAGGGATGTTCAGATATCTGGGGAAGAATTTCAACATTAGCGAATGCATTACTCACGCTTGTGCACTCGGATACGGGGATTATGTTTACATGATAGAAGATATTTGCTTCGTTGTTGAGTGTTATCCAGAGAAAAAGTGTGACTTGAAAAACTCACCAGAGTCTACAGACATCGCAGTGCGTCTCAAGTGGTCAGGTAAAACTGGTAACTGAAAAACAGTTGAACGCAAGCAAAATCACCAGTGCGCATTTTCGCTTAATTCAGCTTCGTTCTCAGAGGCTGCCATACTTTTGGTCAGCTGCTAAGGTTTGTTTTACCTTTAACTTCAGCAACATCCAGCAACATATCTTTAATTGTTAGCTGAAGTTCTGCTCCTGGAATGTTTGGTGGGCAGGTACCTAAGTCCATAGTAGACTGTTGAAAAGTTGTTTCCTGTGGGCTCTACAATGCATTGGGAAATTTAACAAGTCTCGTACGGGACTTTATGAAACGATTGCTGGTTAAACAATGTGGTGCAATATTATTGTAACGTGGCATTTTTCTTTTGATAGGACCACTTGTAACAACTATATTTCCGGTAGACTCTACAATTACCACGACACCAACATCTTTCACGAGACATCCCGGCGATATCAGTTCCACTCATCAATCAAAAAGAGGTATCTTGACTTTATAACATATACGAGTGAAGACAATTTTGCGTTGGTGACTCGCAAGAGGATAATAATGAATCATTTCGTTGTTTTTATACCTGTTGCTGTGTACACAGAAAAGACTTTGTATATGCGAGTATAAACACGTATTTGCAATAATGATGTGATGGTAATCTTGCATGAGTTGGAATCTTATGTCATCAAGGGGAAAGAGGGTGAGATTCCAGGGTGTGTACGTGCGTGAGAAAGAAGTAGGTTAATTACCGTCGCAGATGATCCTAGGGACTCACAAGGCAAAAGTGTATTCTGATTCTTTAACATGAAGCATTGAGGCTGTCTCATCCCCAGTCGCTTGCGATCACTTTTTGGGGGTTATTAGAGTTATCTATTAAGGAAAACGGGGACGAAAGGAGTGATTGGATTGGGAGAAAAAGCGAAGCTTTTCCCTTTCTCTCTTTTTCTTTCCCATTACTCCCCGCTTGCGCTTCTTGCTTGTCTAGGCCTTAGGAAAGCTTGTGGAGCAGGCAGGCATTTATCAGCCTTTTTGTGTTGGTTGCCCTGAATCCTTTGTTGGGCTTATCTACGGAGGGAAATTTGCGTTTCCAAATCGATTGGGCTAGCCTTACAAATTCTTTGTTTTACTTTGTATTTGAGGGTAATTTCCAAGTACAAGCCCCCTGAGGGGCTTATATTTGGAGGGGCGATTTAACGGAGGTTTTTCTGCGTTACGAGTTTGGGAGGCTTATATTTGGAGGTGCTTATACATGGAGGGGCTTATTTTCGGAATTTTACGGTATTAGATTCACAGAACATACTAGTACAAGTAAAAGACAATAGAAAAACAACAGCGAGCAGAAATTGTCTTTTCTCCTAGTAAAAGTAGGTGAAGAAGGTCCAGATGAAAAAATTGCCAAGACGGTAGAACACCGGCTCCTACAGGATTTGATTTACAGCAAGAGTTACAGCAGAGAAGTCAGACCAGCTCTGCACAACAGCGATGTGTTGAGAGTTCAGTTTTCTATGAGCCTTGTCCAGATCGTGGACGTGGTAAGTTTTAAAAAGTACAAAAAAGTAAATAATTTCAGGAGATAGGGTTTTTCTTCAAGATCTCATTCCCTCTGAGGCAATCGGAAGGAGCTTCTCGCCACGAAGAAGACTCACGGAGATCAATCTTGATCACCGTTATGTAACCATGTCGGAAACTAGTGAGTTCTCGGTTCCTGTGAAAATTTTTACGGAGTTCACGTCTAGCATACAAGTCGAGGGATAACTGCTCACTTCCTTTCCAGATCCCTAGCTCAGCTCGACGTTTGTCGTTGATACGTTCGTCTGCTTGACTATCAAGACTTACTGTACGCACTCTAAGTTTCCCTCGAAACGTTGTATACACAATATCATTTCTGTCTTATTTACGCGAAGCCTCAAGATGTCCAATTGAGCATATAGTTTCACTTGACGTGCAACATGCTGCAACATTTGTTTGCAACATGTGCAGGCGGAACGGCCTTAATTCAGCTTTTGGCCATCAAATAGTTTTGAATCTAAGATTTGCTTGGTTGAAGATTCAAAGTTGCGTCACGCTATTGTATTTAATGTGTCAGACTAAGTTTTAAGTGAGTAGAAGATTTAACTACGGCTGCCCCGACTATTTTTGGGGTTGACACACTCTATTATTTAACCACTCTACATAATTTTACAGCTTGTGTTTCTGCCGTTATCGTTACCTAGCATAACGTTTTTATTATTTTATTGCTGATTACTTAGCTCTTTTCGTTTTAAATTTCATAATTCAACTTTTGATACTTAAAGGATGAAAAAGCAGAGACACTGAAAGTCAATGCGTGGACAACACAGGTAAGTGTTTATCAATTAGATACAGCTACAACACTGAATATGCTACCTTTACAAAAACTTTGAATGAGAAATATATTACTGCACATGCAACTCGGCTAAAAGAAGCTATGTTCAATGCCATGATTAAAAATTTTATCCCCCTATACGACAAAAAATTATGCCCGTTAGTAAGTAGCTGCTAATCTTCCTCTATTCAACAACAGCCATCATCATGCAACCAGGGAAGAAAGGAAGCTCGTGATGAACGTTGGGAAGAGGAAGAAAAGTAGAAAAGTTTGCTATCAATCGTTCTATGCGCCCTTAATTTTGATTTCTGTTCCATCCAGTCTAGTCTCTTTCTTCATAGAGTGGATACTTTCCCCAAAGTGCACATAGTGAAAAAAATAAATGGAATAAAAAAATAAGCATATTGACATAGCGACAATTCAGTGCTTTTCTAAAATTGTATCATCGATGTTTTAGGAGTGGAAGGATCCTTTCCTTACATGGGATCCAAATTATTATGACGGGATCACAGAAATCAACGTTGAACCAGATATGGTTTGGTTACCAGTCATTATCCTTTACAACAAGTAAGGAAACATCAAACCTGTCACAAATGAATAACGAGGTTAACAAATTAAAGGGTTACTATCATAAAACAGAGACTTAAGTTATTACAGTTCTTGTAATTGTGTTTACAACTGATGTCTTCTAGAAGTCATCTTTCCGTTCTATGTGCTAAATTGGCAGCATAAATAACGTCACATCTTCTATAAATCGAACAACGTCATTGTAACTCGACCTAGAGATAATCTATTGACAGTGGGTCGACGCAACTGACAAATGATAGTTCAAACTATTTTGCCGTTATATCCATAGAAAATATAAGGAGGAAATAGAAGTGATTATTTTTCAAAATTAAAGCACTTGGATATTGAAAAGTGACTTAGAAGTAGCTTTGGGTTGTACAACTTTGCTCTGTGATTACGCCGATTAAAAGAAGAAGAAAGCAGAAGACAATTCTCAAAACAGGAAATGAGCAGGATGAACAGCTCAAAACAATTCTTATGGATAGAATTGGCGTGAATCTCCTGATTCCTCTGTAGTTATAATGACCAGTGGGGACAAGTAAAGGGAAAACATGGTCAAGTGGTACAAACTCACCTGTGTCGTTTGCCATAGACACGACTCTAAATCTCTCTTTTCCCTAATCCCTGTACGGCGTCTTCCCAGGCCTTCTCGGTCAATACATTCGGTGACGTATCCGAGACGAACAGCCGCACCACTTGACCACGTGACCCGAAATGAGGCCTAGGGCCCAGGCAAAGGCAGACAGACGGACAGACAAAGAGACAAGTAGACAGAGAGACAGACAGGTAGACTAAAACAAACAGACAATGATAAAAAAAGATCCTTAGCAACATCGATTGATATGTGAAATACAACACAATTATGGATTAAAATTTCTTAATATTTTGGTTTTACAGCGCCGCTAAGGGTTTTACCGGAGGTCTGGAAAAGTATAAGACCAAAGTGGTGATTGACAACAACGGTACAGTCACGTGGTTTGCTGCCACTCAGTTTATCTCCTCGTGTAAACAGAACATTCGTTTCTTCCCTTATGACGAGCAGCACTGTTTCTTAAAATTCGGGTGAGTATAATTAGTTATGTAGGAAACATTTCCAGCCAACAGTTTTTATAACACTGATACCCAGTCCTAATCTATTTGTGTTTGAAGTGAGAAGAGATTGGATACAAGTAACAGCAATCTTTTCAACGACACGATTAGTGCTTTAACTGAATTCACTCGATTGAAAACAAAGAAGAAGTCTTCCCCAAATCCCAGCTTTTATATTTGCTTGCACTTTTGTGCTCTGAAAGGGGAAACCTGAATTTCTTGTAATGGCAGTTTTTGTCCCACGAAGGAACCTGAAGCTGAAGCTGATATTAAGGTCAATTACGTCTTTTGAAAGTTGCCCGTAAAACAACGAATTTAAATACCTGTGTCAGTTAAACTTTGCCAGGAGTCAGTTGAACCCCATCTAGACTTTCCGCTATAATCAAGGCATAGAGCGCACAGCTTGTTACCACGTTTAGAGAATCTTTATATTTTATCTGCAGATCTTGGACCTATAGTACAAAGTTCCTGGACATGTATAAAACCCAACAGAAAGCTGACATGTCCAACTACATAAAAAACGGCGAGTGGGAAGTATTGGATGTCCCCGTGACAGAAAATAAACTTTACTATCACTGCTGTCCGGATCCGTACTCCGATATAACTTTCACCATCCACATGAAGCGCAAGGTTCTCTACTATCTGTTTAACCTGATCATTCCCACAACTATCATTGTTACTTTTATTCTTGTCGGGTTCTGCCTTCCACCAATCACTGGCGAAAGAGTCACGCTCAACATTACAGTGCTTCTTACCATGACGGTGTTCTTAAACATCGCCTCCAATACACTGCCATCCACATCCGATAGTATACCCCTGCTGGGTGACTACTACCTGATTCTGATGATTCAGAACTGCTTCGCCATTTTAGCCACGGTCATTGTCCTGCGGTACTACTACGCTGGCCCAACGCGCATGCCCGAACGCTTGCGCGTGATAATTAACGAGTGGATAGCCTCTTGTCTGTTTTTTGTCATTACCCAGAAGCCCAAGGGGAAGGGAATCAGTCGCTGGTGTGGGAAACAAACCGAAGAAACCTGCTTCGACTGTGACGACACAGGCGAGTCCTTCATCGTTCATAACGGGAACAACACAACCGGGGAACGAATTGCTTTGATCGAACTTGGGCCAAAGAGCCCAATCCCAAGGGCAAATGGAATATTACACAAAGCACGAAAAACTTCGGGCAGTGGATCACCGACCAAATCAAAGAGCGAACCAGCCATCAATGCCCTCGTCGGTGAACACTCAGGTGCATCAGAGAGGCGGATGAGAAGGAGGAAGTTGCCCATTATTCCAAAACGGAGCAACACTCTGAACACACTGCAGAACAGAGTTTTAGAGGGCACCGGTGTACTTACCCGGCGAGTCAAAGACGAAAACCAACAAGCGGAAATTGCAGATGAGTGGGAGTTCGCGGCCATTGTTCTTGATCGGTTATTTTTTGTGCTATTTTTCCTGTCAAGTTTAGCTCCTCTCATGGTTTTCTTCATGTCTGCTCCAACTCCCATTCCAAGTTTGGTGGAATCACAATAATTGTACATGACTATTGATATGATTTGTGACATGCTCACAATTTTGGGATAAGTTCTTTGGTCATTGATTGTGATTCGGTGCAAAACATCTCTAACAGTACACTGTTAGTTTACTTTTCAAAACAACTGCGTTTATTCGCCAGCTCACTGGTCGAATAGACAATGGAAATGTCGTCATTATGGCACAATTTGTATTTTCTCTATCTTTCCACTTCACTTTTGATTATAATGACGTCAATTATACATAAAAAATGTAGGTGGATTTGTTTGGTAACGATTCCTAACAAAGCACACCATAGCGCTACTGAGGAATAGATAGCTTTGAGTCAAGGCACGTTAAGGCTCTGCCTTTTCATCCCACGCCTGAAGCGAGCCCTTGAAAAGCGCATTGAAACATGAGAAAGTTGAAGGAAGAGAAGCCTTGCTCTTCGCTGGCAGAAACTGGGCATGCGCGGATGGACAACTAAGAGGACGACTGGCGCACCCATGAGGGAACGCTTTAGCTACTTTGAACAATGGTAACTAACGTACAGAATCAAGTCCATCGAATAATAATTGTTTATTAGAAGAAGCCTCTTTCGGTGTAAATATATATTACTATTGTTATAAATAATTATTACACTATATTGGTATGAAATCATGCACGTTACAAAAATAACAATAAACTTGCGTCAGTCTGTAAATGTTCTTTAAAAAGCAATTAGAAAATTAAAAAAGTAGTAGAGAAATAATAGTCCCTGATACTCTTAAAAATAACTCAGAAAATTTTCATAAAAATAAACTGTATTTAACCAAATGTACAGCACGCACAACACTAAAGGTCAGTTATTTAAACGGAGTTTATCCAGTGTTTAAGAAAACCGCGTTCTAAGCCATTTTCAGTTTGCCCAACGCTTTTACGTAAACACCAATTATCGTGAACAGTTTTATGAAAGCATGTGGCGTAGACTAGAAAAGCATTTGTTTTCTTAAAATGACCCACTAAGGAGGAGACCTGGAGGTCCAAAGATTTCCTAAACCGCGGTCCTGATTAGAATTCGTTTAAACAATCGACCCTAATAGTGATAAAAAAAAATCTGTATTGTTCAGTCTGTTCAGTGATAATTTATCAGTTGAGCTAAAATGAATTTTCAAAGATTACGGAAAGACGAGGGATGTATACACTGTTTTCGTCTTCCTGTTCGGTCACACCGATTTTATACAAGGAAGACTGGATTCAAATAAGTCAGAGCACGCTTGTTCCAACAAGAAAAAGAATGGAACTTTTTTTCTCGCATCATAATACGCGAGTAGCACTACTTATCTTCTTTCTATGTACACTCAGTTTTGTATTAAAAATATACGGCTGACTATCTTAGATAATACAGCAAATTTTCAGTTTCAGTTGTCCACTTTAGCAGTTACTCAATTAAGTGCCTGCTTTGGGCGATGGTCTTAAAAATATAACAGCTCCAATAAGAAATAAAAGTAAAAATGGAAGTTATAACGGAGGAGACAGTAACGTGATAACCCAAAAGCGACAGTAATGGTAACCATATCAGGTCTCTGTAGAACGCATGGTCACATATCCACTTATTATGCATTACGCACTAGATGTTATAAAAAGTAGTTACAATTAATTTACTTTAGAAGATAGGTAGAACTCCTCATGGGGTTCTACTGGTTGAGATCTCAGATTCGTTTTCACTGTCTCCTCAAAAGGATACGACAGCAGCACCTCACTCTATCCTCAACGTTGCATAAATTCTCCTCAATCTCTAAACGTCTTTGTATAACAACTACAGGGGCGGATCCAGGATTTTTTTTAGGAGGGGGTGCACTCGTCTATTGCTCTACTTCAACACCAATCAACGACATAGTTTTTTTTTTGGCAGAATACCAGTTGTATTAGAAAACCGCAGGTCATTTCAGGGGTGCACCACCTGCCCCCTAGCTCCGCCCCTGAACTACGTAGGGACAGGCTCTAACTAGTCCCCAGTCGTTTTCTGTTTAACGCGACTTGTGATCGGCTGGGATGAGTAAGCATAAGAAACTTCTTAAGTCATATTAGCCGTTCGTCCTTCTCCACATTCGTCATAGGAAAGACTCCGTCCCTAAACTCCTCATCTGATGGGTAATACTTGCCGCTCATTTTGCTCATTTGTTTTTTACGGTACAAGAACAATAACACAGCCGCTACCAGTACTACAAGCAGCACAAGTCCGATTGACAATCCAAGTTCCATTCCACTAGAGCGTTTTTGAGCGGCAGCTGTAGGTTCAATAACAGTGGCTAGCATGTTTTCGCATAAAATGCCAGTGAAACCAACTTCACAAGTGCAGTTGTATCCGCCGTAGTTGTCTACGCATTGGCCGCCATTTTTGCAAGCGTGTTCACCGGTTGTGCATTCATCGACATTTATATCACAGCGAAATCCTTCAAAACCTGTCCCAATGCAATCGCAATAAAAACCATCCACTGCATCAACGCATCGGCCATTATGAATGCAGGGACTACTGGAGCATTCGTCAAAGTTTACATCACACGTTTTCCCTAGAAAACCTGCAACGCATGCGCAGTAGTAAGAACCATCCGTATTTTGACACGTTCCTCCATTCAAGCAAGGCGTTGACAAGGTGACACATTCGTTAATATCAACTTCACAAAGCTTTCCGGTGTATCCAGTCCCCAAGCATTCACAGGCATAAGAGCCCACGGTGTTGTTGCAAGTGCCGTGTTTGCAAGGAGTCAAAGCGCACTCGTCAATGTCGAGCTCGCACCGAGATCCGTTAAATCCAGTTCCTTCGCAGTTGCAGCGATAGTTGTTGATCCCATCCGAGCAAATACCAGTGTTGCGACAAGGATTTGGCGAACAATCATCAACATTGATCTCGCACTGCCTACCAGTGTAGCCAGGAACACAGGCGCACGTATAATTGTCGATCTTGTCATGACATGCAGCACCATGTAAACAAGGATAGGAATTGCACTCGTTTATATCAGTGGAGCAGTCTTTTCCAGTGTAACCGGGTAGACAACTGCAGGAAAAATCTGCTACCAGATTTGTACACTTAGCTTCATTTTTGCAGGGGCTTGAGGTGCATTCATTAATATCCACTTCACAGTTTTTTCCCGTGTAACCATGGGCACAGTTACAACTATAATTGGCTACAGCGTCCACACAAGTGGCACCATGTTTACACGGGTTTTGCGCACACTCATCAATGTCAGTCTCACAACTTTTCCCCGTATAACCAGGCAAACAAGCACAGCTGAAATCTGCTATCAAATCTGAACAAGTTCCGCCGTTCTTGCATGTCTCTGGAGAACAGTCATCTATGTTCACACCACATGTTCTTCCTTTAAAGCCTAGTAGACAGTGGCAACTATAGTTACCCACAAGATCCGTACATGTAGCATTATTCATACATGGACGAGGAGCGCATTCGTCAATGTCATGTTCACAGTTTCTCCCCGTGTAACCAAACGAACAACTACAGCTATAATATCCAACTAGATCGGAACATGTGGCATAATTTTGACAAGGATTTGGATAACACTCATCGATATCAATCTCACAGTTTCTTCCAGTATATCCCAGGGCACAATTGCAGCTGTAATTTCCAATTAGATCGGAACACGTTGCTTGATTTTGACAAGGGTGCGGAGAGCACTCGTCAATTTCAATCTCACAGTTTCGTCCAGTGTAACCCAAGGCACAATTGCAGCTGTAATTTCCAATCAGATCAGAGCACGTGGCCTGATTTTGACAACGGTTTGGAGAACACTCGTCAATGTCGATCTCACAGTTTCGTCCAGTGTAACCCAAGGCACAATTGCAGCTGTAATTCCCAATCAGATCGGAACATGTGGCCTGATTTTGACAACGGTTTGGAGAACACTCGTCAATGTCGATCTCACAGTTTCGTCCAGTGTAACCCAAGGCACAACTGCAGCTGTAATTTCCAATCAGATCAGAGCACGTGGCCTGATTTTGACAACGGTTTGGAGAACATTCGTCAATGTCGATCTCACAGTTTCGTCCCGTGTAACCCAAGGCACAATTACAGCTGTAATTTCCAATCAGATCGGAACACGTGGCCTGATTTTGACAACGGTTTGGAGAGCACTCGTCAATGTCGATCTCACAGTTTCGTCCCGTATAACCCAAGGCACAATTGCAGCTGTAATTTCCAATCAGATCGGAACATGTGGCCTGATTTTGACAACGGTTTGGAGAACACTCGTCAATGTCTATCTCACAGTTTCGTCCCGTGTAACCCAAGGCACAATTGCAGCTGTAATTTCCAATCAGATCGGAACATGTGGCCTGATTTTGACAACGGTTTGGAGAACACTCGTCAATGTCGATCTCACAGTTTCGTCCCGTGTAACCCAAGGCACAATTGCAGCTGTAATTTCCAATGAGATCGGAACATGTGGCCTGATTTTGACAACGGTTTGGAGAACACTCGTCAATGTCGATCTCACAGTTTCGTCCAGTGTAACCCAAGGCACAACTGCAGCTGTAATTTCCAATCAGATCAGAGCACGTGGCCTGATTTTGACAACGGTTTGGAGAACACTCGTCAATGTCGATCTCACAGTTTCGTCCCGTGTAACCCAAGGCACAATTGCAGCTGTAATTTCCAATCAGATCAGAACATGTGGCCTGATTTTGACAACGGTTTGGAGAGCACTCGTCAATGTCGATCTCACAGTTTCGTCCCGTGTAACCCAAGGCACAACTGCAGCTGTAATTTCCAATCAAATCGGTGCATGTGGCCTGATTTTGACATAGGTTTGGAGAACATTCGTCAATGTCGATCTCACAGTTTCGCCCAGTGTATCCCAAGACGCAATGGCAGCTGTAATTTCCAATCAGATCGGAACATGTGGCCTGATTTTGACAACGGTTTGGAGAACACTCGTCAATGTCGACCTCACAGTTTCGTCCCGTGTAACCCAAGGCACAATTGCAGCTGTAATTTCCAATCAGATCGGAACATGTGGCCTGATTTTGACAACGGTTTGGAGAACACTCGTCAATGTCGATCTCACAGTTTCGTCCAGTGTAACCCAAGGCACAACTGCAGCTGTAATTTCCAATCAGATCGGCGCATGTGGCCTGATTTTGACATAGGTTTGGAGAACATTCGTCAATGTCGATCTCACAGTTTCGCCCAGTGTATCCCAAGACGCAATGGCAGCTGTAATTTCCAATCAGATCGGAACACGTGGCCTGATTTTGACAACGGTTTGGAGAACACTCGTCAATGTCGACCTCACAGTTTCTTCCGGTGTAACCCAAGGCACAATTGCAGCTGTAATTTCCAATCAGATCGGAACAGGTACCAAAGTTAACACAGGGATTTGGAGAACATTCGTCGATGTTAACTCCACAATTTCTCCCAGTAAAACCACGCGAACAATGACAACTGTAATCGGCAATTAAATCAGAGCAAGAAGCGTTGTTCAAGCAAGGATTTGGGGAACATTCGTCAATGTTAACTTCACAATTTCTACCCGTGTAACCTGAAGCACAACGACAGGTATAATTGGCTACTGAATCTAGACAAGTTCCTTGATTTAAACACGGATTTGGTGAGCACTCGTCTACGTTCAATTGACAATCTCTTCCTGAAAAACCGGCAGGGCAATGACAAGAGTAGTTTCCTGGTAGATCAGAACACGTTCCGTTATTCTGACATGGTTTGGCCTCACATTCGTCGATATCAGTCTCACAGGTTTGGCCAGTGAATCCTTTAAGACATTCACATCTGAAGCCTCCTGTTATTTCACGGCAGGTAGCATTGTTACGACATGGGCCTGACAGGCAATAATCCAACTTATTCTCACAATACTGACCCGAATATCCGCGAGCACACACGCATATAAAGCCGTGTGAAACATTTACACATGTTGCTCCATTTGTACAGTTATTCACCGTGCAGTCGGGAATACGAATATCACAATTGTCACCCGTCCAACCTGCGTCACACGTGCAGTTATAGCCGTTCCACGATGGCACGCACACACTGTGCGAAGGGCAGGGATTGGGCGAACAAGTTGAGTTTCCATCACAACCTATTGTTACATGATTCAAGTTCACCTCAAGACCCTCTTGAGAGCTGGGTGAAAGGTAGTGAACTCTGCGCGAGTTAAATTTGATGTCCTTAAGACAGCCCTTGAAGTGTTTGCGACTTGTTACTCCTGTCGAAAAAGAAAATAGTAATTATAATCAGCTCATGAGTTTTGTGATGGAATCGAAAACGAGCAAAACGTTAGCATTCAGTCTTACTACTTCATTGTTAGTAACGCATCGACTGAGCATTTTATGTGTGACAAAAGGACGTTAAAACCTTTATAATTTGGATATATTTCTCTATATAGATCAGTATACATACAGTGGAACCTCGATATAACGTAGAACCAAGGGACTCACTGGGAAAATATGTTCTTTTGAACTAGGTTTCGTTATATGGAGGTTATTTTCCATATATTTTACTATTACTGGGGTAAAGAAAATCATTCGTTATACCAAGGACTTCGTTATATAGAGGTTCGTTATATCAAGGTTCCACTGTAAAAGGCCTTGAGAAATGGCTGACCGACCAACTGTCCTGACGAGCAAGTTTACAACTTAAGAGAATTTACCCCACATCCATCTCACCCCAAAACAAATAACTTGTGTTAACGTCTCCTTTCTGAGTTTTTATGGGTGTTAAAGTAATCAAAAAACAATAAGGGACAAACACAAGGATGGTAATACTGACGACAATTTATGCAAATCATTTATGCGTTTCTGTTGAATCATGTTCGTAAATTTTAAAATGTGTTGTCTTTGAAGTTACTCAACTCTCCTCGGCTATCATACACTTCATAATACCTGTAACCCTGGTTACTCCAGTAGGAAACCCTCCAATATCCACATAAATCACAGGTCCCTGTGCAGTATTAAAAACTGATTCGGCCCCAGCAACGTCTGCCTGTACAGTAAAGGTTCCGTCTAAGGTCAGTGTAATGCGTTTTAACCTTCGAGTCCAGAGCAAGTGATGCCAGTCACCATCAGATACGAGTTGGTTGATGAACACCCCATTTGATCCTGAAATTAAGTCGAATGCATGCCAAACGATAAATAACTGAAATTGTATCAAAGAGCTGTTTCAAGGCTGGCCAGTTCATTTTGTTTATAAAGCCATTTACGAGTCGTTATTCGCTATGGAACTCGAGAAATTACTTGTGAATGACAGAGTCACAGCTTCATGTCAAACAAATTGGTCCCGTTCCCAAGTATGCTACGACGGTGACGACAACGAGAACGTCAAAAGAGCAATAGGTTGAATAGGCAAAGCAACACCTCTGCACGTGCAGCACGGCTTTTTTGTACATTTCTTTGCCGTCACTGCACGACTACGACGGGAAAATGCCTAATTTCACGTTTTATGGAGGACGCAAACAAACGACGTGAATGTGGTCCTTGGGAATTCGGCTCAAAAAGAGTTCGCTTGCATTTGACAAAGTAAATGAGTTGGAGCAATCGCGATAGAGATTGAAAGAACGCAAATTCACTTTTTAAGTGACGTTTTCGTGGCCGTCGCCGTCGTGGTATCTTAAACTCCCAATTGTATCAAACCTTGCAGAAAACAAAAATAACCTTCGGGAAACTGCGAGGCCAACAAGTTTTCAAAAACCACAATTGCAATCCGTTTCAATCTTTTTTAAATTTCATCCGCTTCCGTACCTCCTTTTGTAATTGCAGGGTTACTTGAACGTTTTCAGCGGTTATTGTTATATGCTTCACTCAATTTGATGTCAGTTCCCACCATCTGAATTTTCGGTTAAAACAACGTTTGACAACAATAGTAGAAACAATACCTGAACCAAGGTCAGCGGTAAATCTAGCTTTACCGGAAGTGATATCAAGAAGAAGGAACTCGACATTCCCTTCACCAGGCTTTCTCCCAGTATACATTAACAGACCATCCGTTTCTCTCGTCCGAAACCAAAGTGATCCGCTCTGACCGAAACTCCAGTGAGAGGCGTTGAGAGATATTTCTACGTAGCTGTCATTCATCAATAACGACGTTGTAGTAACTGCAAGTGGAAACGAAATGCTTATTAGAAGATGAACGGTGAACACTCTCTGCAAGAATATTTTTTCATACATGTGCCGGCGTAAGCTTAACAGACGCACAATTATTTTGAGAAGTAAACTATTATTGGTTAATGGTGAGCACGACGGCGAGATAGCAATGAGAGGAGTTATTTTCAGAACTAAGGGGACAGGGCGATGGATTGACTCTAGAAGGGTCCCGCAAGTCCGTGTTCTGAATACCCGCAAACTATTTATTTACTCCAAGTATTCCTGACTAACAACAATAGATCGTTTTCACTCACGTGGTCAGCAGCTATACAAGTTTCTAGGCACAAAAGTAAAGTTTTTACATCCGACAAGAGTTCAAGCCACAAAGGAATTTTTTGGTACACCAACATGGCCGCCGTTTCATTGTTTTGTACACCAATATGGCCGCCGTGACGTCATATGAAAAAGATCTACGTTCAAGTTCGTTCTGTCAGAGTTCTGAACGATACAAAGACGTAGAAGAATTCCACCTATAACTAGCACAATTTTACTTACCATTTTCACATTGTCTGCCAACAAAATCCTTTAAACAATGACACTCATACCCAGTCCACGTTGCATCGCAAGATCCTTCATTTGCGCAAGAACTCGGTCCACAGTTCTCGTCCTTCTTGCAGCTCGGCAGAGGTAGACTAAAGCCCCCATTTTTCTGTGCTGTCTCAAACGTTATTAAATGACCGTTAATGAAAACCGTTCTTGAGCACCCACTGAATGTTAGAAATTCGCTATTTAAAGCTATCCCCAGATCATTAAACTGAAGAGATCCCATGTGCAATGTTTTCCCCAGATGCGTGATGGTCTGGAATCCACTCGGCGGTACAAGCGTAGTTCGAAACGAGCCCACGGCAATTGACAAATTGCCGGAAGTGACGTTTACATCCAGCCTATGCCATCTGCCATCTGCCAGATTCTGGCCAATGACCGCACTAGTTCTGTCGAAGAAAGACTTCACGTATGCAGCGTGAAGACGACCGTTCAGCAAGGCCAAACCAAAGAAAGACTGAAAATTAAAAAAAAAGTCTTTTAAATTCGCTTTACTTTATTTCGTAATTATAGTAAGAATTGATTATAGGAAGAATTGATTAATCAGTGTAAAAAAGATCTTTATTAGTATACAAAAGGAAACAAGGGTGGTGCAGTGATGACAGCAATCGCCTCCAACCAATGTGGCCTGCGTTTGAATCCCGGAGGCGATGCCATAATAGGCTGATTTAACAACAGAACGGAAACGTCAGTTGACGAAGGCGCGCGCAAATCAAACAACTGGCTTGACCAATAGCAGAGCGGCAAATTGTGCACCGGAAGTAGCGTTTAGTCCTTTTCGCGCGCTTTCCCGTCTTCAACTGACGTTCCCGTTCTGTTGCTAAATCAGCCTAATATGTGGGTTAAGTTTTGTTGTTGGTTCGTACCCGTGCAGACTGGGCTCCGTGAAGTCTCCTTTTTTCTTCACTTCCACTGAAAGGAGTGCACGCACGTTTCGCTCGACGGACTCAAAAAGAGGGAATGCTCGAAGCCTATGGCTGAGAGAGATTCTTCTCTGGCCGTCCCATTTTCCCACCCTCGCGAGAACATTTCGAAATTCCAATTTGATCCACAGTGGTTGACGAGGAATCACTAAGCGGATGTGTAACGCTTAACTTTAAAGGTACTGGTGAAGGTTAAAGTCCTTAGTTTTACGTCACTCGGTAACTCGTAACAGTACAGGGGCACCCAACGTCAATCTTCGGAAAATATCTGTTCGGAAGACGATTTGAGATCTAGAATTTTCGGAACATTTGTTGTAAAATTTCTTGCTTGCATGCATCTCCTAGGATTTTCGAACATCTAAAAAATGGTATAATTGCCCATTTTTAACGGATTTTTACCGTAAAAAGGTCAGCTAGAATTTTCGGGAGCCTTTTTTCTGGCTGAAATTTTCGAAAAGGTAAGTTTTGATCCCTATGATTTTCGGATCACTAGACTTTCAGCTAGGAAATCCGAACAGATGAAAAATTTTTAGGGGATAAAAATATGCCTATATCTACCGTTTAAATACTAAAATACGTTTAACAATGCTATGTTTAAGTGGTTTTGAACCACATTTTCGTTGGGTGCCCCTGACAGTACATATAACACAGACAAGCCTGAGGCTGACGGTTCGCTCATTCTGCCCGCTCTACATTAAAGCTCAGTTGTACGGGTATCAAAGACATTTAAAAGCTACACGGAAAGGAAAGAAGTCGAAGGAAGGATTTACGCACCTAGAAATCAACCTCGGGTCCTCCCGCACAAACCTACTACGCTAATCTTTGATCCTTGTTGTTTACTTCAGTATTTAATATGTCATTTACTAAGCAAAATTGAATAAACCTGCAACTTGGGATTCAGGTAACATTTTGTCAAGTTCACAGAAACGGAGGCGTAAGAAAACTTCTCGTTTCTGGGCTTCTGTTAACATAACTTACCCCTGTGAATGCCAGCACCCCTCTAGTCACTGAGGGATCAGTCGAAAACTCAAGAGAAAACGAGGTTATATTAGCAACAGATGTGAACATCAAACCAGAACTATCATCCCTGTCAAATGTCGCTGTGATTTGGCGCTCACAAAATGAGCCCACAAAGCCCGAAGGACAGCGACAACTATAGCGGTTCCATTCATCTACGCATGAGCTACCGTGCTTGCATCCGTGGTTACTGCACACCTCTTGCCTTCGACAACCAGGAGACACTAGGTACGACTGGGCTAAAACGTCTTGCAGTCCACTGTCTATATTGTTGAACAAAAAGTCCTGGAGAATGACAGAATAAAAAAAAGTCCAAGAATTAAGGCATAACAGATAAGCCAGGAATGGAAACATGTTTCGCGCCATCACTGCAGAGTGAAACATGAGAGATTTATTGATGGACGTATTGGTGTTAGTTCTTTGTCCTAAGGCTCTTTCTGCGATGAAAATCGTGAGGACGACTTGTGCAATGTCTATACACAGCTATTTTGAGAAAGGAAAAAGTGCACGCGACAATATCGAAAGGTATTAAAGGAATGGCACGAGAGGCCACGGACGCATGTTTGCGAAGGCTAAAGGAAAGCAACAACAGTAGGGACAGCTACAGTACGTCAGGAACAGTGTATTGATCATATTACCTTACCATGAACTTTATAACATGAACTTTATTTATCCTCGAATTTCAGAGTAGCCTGAAAGGCTAATATCTTTCGGGATTGTCGCGAGAAAAGCGAGCAAGAGAAAATCCCATGTAACTTTTTTCCTTCTTCCCGATCCCCCATCCCTTTCGACGCCTTCCATGAAGGCTACTTATTCCACTGTACTGTTTTTGTTATTGCAAAACTGCCCACCTACCCCTCCCCTAACCCAACGTTAACACTTACTTCTCACTTAGAGCAAAATGTTGGGTTAGTTGAGTGGTAGGTGGGTAGTTTGCCAGAGACGCGAATTAATCCCAAATACCTTGATGCAGCCAACAAACGTGCCATCGCTTATCAGTTCCTGAGTTATGCGAGGCACCAGCTTGTTAACACCCCCGAGGTAAGGTAAACCAGAAAACTCCGTGTTACTGTCACTGTTTGTATTGACTGTCTTTGAACAGTCACTTCCAGTGCACGTATCTATGTCAACAGATATAGTGGCCTGGGAACTAGTTATCCTGACGGTAATTAGATGCCAGGTCCCGTCGTTGAGTCCTTGCCCTAGGGTGGCTTTTGCAGTGTCCACACCAGTGTTGAATGACAAACGGACCGAACCATTGGTCAGCTCTACGATCACATGATCAGTGTGTTCCTTTGTGAAGTCCTGGAAAAGGAGAATTGTACCTGATTTAAATGGACAAAATAAAGGGCTAATCCAAGTTCTAGAACAATCACGGATTGAAAGCTGACTTATAAGGTGTCTAAATGTAATTTAGGTGAAGTTAATCCCTGGACAATACTGGCCAGTGGTTTCTGTAGCCCACGCTCAACTATGGTTTGGGGTGACCTGATAAGTAGCAGGACTTCAAGGCTTTACAGTGCATATGCCTTGGACTCACACCCAAACTTATCTACTGTTGACTGGTCTTAAGGCATTAAAATCATTTTGGGTAGGATTATTCCAATAAATCTGAGTGCACTGCTCTCATCCGAAAACTACTTTAAATGTAACTACTCTAGCTTCCTAGCGTAAGCAAAACTCGCTATCCATGCCAATGAACTCAAGTCTCGAAAGTGATCATGATCACTCGCAGGTCGTGGTACCACGGGAAGCCAATAGAGACCTTTAGATTCTAAGACCAGGAGGACTACGAGTATGAACAAAATTTTGTCAACATCAAGTAGTGCTAGCCGAGTTTTAGCGAGAATGTCGTATTGGCGGAAACGAGCTATCAAATGTTTTATCGTTCTGCGATCTGGAGAGGGCTTAACCTCCTTTAATTAACTATAAGATAACAGTGATAACTTTTCTAGAAAAAAATAGTAAAATGAAGCTTTCTGGGGAGTATATTTTTAGGATACGCGAAAAAACATTAAGTCAAATGACGCAATCAAAATCGTTCTCGCTCTCGAATCGAAAGGTCTCTAATACTTTTGGAGCGAGTACGAGAAGAGATTTTAATTGCACGTTGGGATGCATGATCACTTAATCACTTACTGCCCCCTGGTAGAACAGCAATCCATCTGGAAGAGTTGTCCTAAATTTAAACGAAAACAGTTCTGATGGGAAAAGTCTGAAGTTCAAGGCAGGTATGTACGCTCCTTGCTGGAAGCTCACGGCAAAAAGAACTTCACAAGTCCTTCCTCGAAAACCATCAGCACATTGACAAACGAAACCATTCACGTTATCTACACAGGTACTGCCAAATTTACACGGATTAGATGAACACTCGTCAATGTTGGTGTCACAAGTCAATCCGGTATAACCCGGTTTACACAAGCAGTTAAATCCACTTCCTCCAAGCTGACACGTTCCTCCGTTTTTACACGGCTGTGCAGAGCAGTCATTTAGGGGAACCTCGCAATTTTTGCCCGTGAAACTCGCGGTGCACGTGCACCGGTATCCATTTACCAAATCCTCGCACGTGCCCTGGTTCTGACAAGGCTGATCAAGACATTCGTCCACGTGTTTATCACAGTGTTGCCCTGTAAACCCAGATAAGCACGTGCAGTTATATCCCCCAGGCGTGTTGTGACACGTGCCTAGATTTCCACAGGGAGAAGCGTGGCATTCATCGACATCAGCGCTGCAGTAGGGACCTGTCCAGAGGGTTGTGCAGGTGCAGTTTGCTCTGTTACCATGTAGTGTGCACGTGCCATTGTGTTGGCAAGGATTAGGTTGACAAGAGGAACTGCTATACTCACAGTGGACTCCTGTGAAGGGAAAAAAAACATACATATTATAAATGCAATTCGAGCATTTCAGAATTCGAGGATTGACGGAAAAATTATATGAAAGATTTCTTGGGTCAAAAAACTCATACTAAATGAGTTTCATGATGGTTAAATACCTGCGGCCCTCGTTTTAAAATGTTTCGCTTCCCATCGCCCTCCCTCTCGTTGGGGTGGGTCGGTCAGTGGGGCAAAAAAAAAAAACGAAAAAAAAAAACACAAGAATGAACACCTGATTGCATATTAAATCTCACGTTTAGTCTACAAGATATAATCAGATGGTAAAAGATGTATATTAACAGGACTATCAAATGTCTAAAAATGCTACAAAAACGAAGTATCGATGATAATTTAAGACAACTGGTGTTAATAAGACAAGATCGTGTGCTTGTAGATTAAAGTACTTGCTTCTTTACAAGTGATCCTGGAATTTTTTTTTTTTACTTTTCCAAAAAAAATGGGTCGGTCGGGCGATGGGAAAGGAAGCATTAAACTGGGATGGGCTTAGGTTCACACTACGGGATAGCGTCGGCAGCACGAAAACCATATCGGAAAGACTACGGGATAGCTCTTGCGTCGGCAGCACGAAAACCATATCGGAAAGACTACGGGATAGCTCTTGCGTCGGCAGCACGAAAACCATATCGGAAAGGGCTTCCGTTCACACAAAAGAACAGTGATTTCGGTGTGACTTCTGTAACGGAGCGAAGAGTCACATACAGATAGGTGTTTATACTGTAAAGTATAGTCAGGGGCACCCAACGACAATTTTCGGAAAATATCTGTTCGGAAGACGATTTGAGATCTAGAATTTTCGGAACATTTGTCGTAATTTTTTTTGCTTGCCTGCCTCTCCTAGGATTTTCGAACATCTAAAAACTACTATCATTGCCCATTTTTAACGGATTTTTACCCTGAAAAGGTCACCTAGAATTTTCGGGAGCCTTTTCTCTGGCTAAAACTTTCGAAAAGGTAAGTTTTGATCCCTATAATTTTCGGATCACTAGACTTTCAGCTAGGAAATCCGAACAGATGAAAAATCTTTAGGGGATAAAAATATGCCTATATCTACCGTTTAAATACTAAAATACGTTTAACAATGCTATGTTTAAGTGGTTTTGAACGAAAGTCTCGTTGGGTGCCCCTGTATAGTGTGAACATGAGCCTGAGTAATGATGAATTTTTAAGTTCGTTTATGGACAGTTAGATTCAACTAGTTTATTTCAACGAGATTGCCCTTAGTAAGACATCTTAAGATTCAAAACTTAACCTTGAAATCCTGTTTGACATCTACAAGTGTATCCCGCTAATCCAACATTTTCAACGCAAGTGCCACCATTTTGACATGGATTAGACAGACACTCAATAATGTTTGCCTCACACTGACGACCAATAAACCCAACCGGACAACCACAAGTAAAGCTGTTCAGTTTGTCATGACATGTTCCACCATTAAAACAAGGCTGAGAAGCACATTCATCAGTGTCATTCTCACAATGCTGGCCTTCAAAGCCTGGGACACAAGTGCAGGAATAGTTACCTGGCAGAGCAAAATACGTAGAATGAAAATTTGTGAGTTTACACTAATAGAGTTCCGATGAGGAAAAAGGCAATGGAAAGGAAAATATTAGTTACAAAACAAAAAAAAGTATTTTGCTTTGTTTTGCATTCTTTAAAAATGTCCCATTTTCTTTGTTTTTGTGGGACTGAGTTGTCTAGGGTGTGACATTCGCTGGAAACGTTTTTACAGTTAACCTACAGTTAGCATTGACATAATTAAGAAAAAAACGAGAGTCGTTCCGTTCTCTATAAAACTTTGACCATTTAGAATTAGGTCACTTAACACAACCATGACAATGATAACAGTGAAAACTTCATCATACAAAAGTGAGTTTGCATTTAAAACTTTCCAACTTACTCAATTTGTTATTAAACGTAGGTGAATTTTCCTGGTGCTAAATCGTTAGAAACACGTGCAAGTTAAGCAGCAAGAATAATTCCAATGGGAGCCAATGTCTACGTTTTGCTTTATCTGCATATTTGTGAAGAAAAGGATTGAAGTCATTATGTGGTCATGCTAACGAAGAACTTCTCTCTCACCTTGACTGTTGCTACATGTTGCTCCATTTAAACATGGCTGGCTGGAACAATAATCAATATCAACACTGCATCGCTGACCTGTTTTTCCAACAGGGCAGACACATTGATGACTATTGATGCCGTCAACACACTGCTCATACTGTTGACAAGAATTTGGCTGACAGTCATCAATATTCTCTTCACAGTTGAAACCAGTAAAACCAGCTGCACATGTACAATTGTACCTGAGGAAAAAATTCAAATATTTCATGGTTTGCGCTAATTATTGCTAAAGAGAGTAATATATTACTATTGAATCCCTACTATCTGGAAACTCTCTTTGGGAACCAGTTACAAGAGTCCTACCTTAAATCACTGAACAAAGAAAAAGAAAAAAGAAAAAAAAAACAACAGTAACAAACACAGAACCAACCAAAAAAAAAACAAACAAACAAAAAAGTGAGTTCTTATAAAGACTGTCAACATGAAAGGAAAGGAAAATTTGCAGTCTGATAACAATGTTATTGGCCATTACATCCTTCCTTGACCATTTTAAGGGGAAGTAAAAGAACCAAATTAATGGACTCTTGCACTTTGAAAAATGAAGGGTTAATGTAAATGCTCCACTACAGTATTATCATTTGACTTAATCCTGTTTTTTTTTGTAACATTTTAGTCTCTCAATGGTTTCTAACCCCGAAAGATTTTCCACGCAAGTTGCTCCATTCTGACATGGCTGACCACTGCAGCTGGTGACCGTCACATTACAGTATGGTCCTGAGAAACTTGGAAGACACTGACACCTGTAGCCATTAACACCATCAACACATGTGCCCCCATTATAGCAAGGTAATGCAGTCTGGTTACACTCATTTATGTTGACCTCACAATGGACTCCTAGAAGATATATTTAATAACAAACAATGAATTTTGCAGCCCAGTCTCATAATGTTTCTGAATAATGGGTTCAACAAGCTAAGGAGACTACTAATGGGTGTAAACAACACTGTGCCTGACTGCTGTGTGGTGCGAGTACACAACGAGGTCCAGAGACATGCCCCCTGAGAAAAATGTTATCATATTACAAATTGTACTAACTATCACTCTTCCCATTGGATAAGAGCATAAAGTTAAATTTGCAAATCAGCATAACCTACAGATTAGGTAGATTATCTACTAGCAGATATCTAACTAATCTGTGGGTTGTGTACAAATGCATGATTTCCAAAAGCAATGTCAAATTGTATTATGTACGATTGTGTTTCTTGTTATCTTCTTCAAAGCATTATTATGTACAATAAAAGATCAATAAAACAATTAGATTTGGTTTTATTGATATCCAGAATGACCATGGTCTCAAGAAGGTTGAGGCTGATAACACTCACCTTGACCTTGATTAATCCTGTTATTACAAAAACCTAATCCAATAATTTATTGTTTAACATTTGCATCCTAGTAGGTATGGTTTGGTGCATTATTCAGTATGGGATTAAAGCAGAAAATCTTGATGTTATTTTTCACAAAGTTAGTATAATATTCCCACTGTATACCTATTGTCCCTACATGGGGAACTAAGTTATGGTAGGAAACTGCGACTGCCAGGACAATAGGAATGCCGAATAATAAAAGGTATGCAAATGTCAACTGCCACCAGGGGAGGTGGGAGGGGCGAAACTTTGAATCTCACTTCCTCTAAACTCCATTGAACTGGCCAAGAAGCAGGCAAAACCTGAGAAATTCTAAGCAAGGGCAGCAGTGCGCCATGCTATCATGCCACCAGTGTGCAGGCCTACAGAATTTAAAGGAGTTACCGGGGAGTTACTGGTACTCATTTCTCATGTCAAGGGCCAATTATGTATGCAGTGAGAATAGTACAGCACATTGAAGTTATCAGCATATGTTACTAAAGCGTATTTTTGATATATTCAGTCATGACAACAATAATAGGAAGGAAAATTTAGTTTACTGGTAAAATGTCATAACTTGGGAGTTATCTCACTAGCAGCTGGAAACATCTCATGTATCACTTCATTCAACACTAACCAGTAAATCCCCTCTGACAAATACACTGATACCCTCCAGACTGAAATCTCTGACAAATAGCATTGTTCTGACACAGGTTAAAATGGCACATGTTAATCACTGCTTCACATCTTTTACCTATCATAGAATGAGAAAAATAATGCAAAAAAATATGAGAAATGCAGTATTTATGCAGGTTACCTGGTAAGCTCAAAGCTACTATTTAAAACTTAGGAGTCAGCATAAACACCTATATGTGATGGTGGAAGAATCTTTGCTAACTAGGTGGGAAAATGAAAAGATTTGTCAGAAATTCGCATCAATATCTATTTGAATAATTGAAATAAATACCATGTGTCCAAATGAACATTATATGTAACCACACTATAAACCATACCATTGACTCTACCTAAATCTAATTAAGTAGCCAGGGCTCACACTTGTAATATAGCCGGGAGGGACCCCAAGCCCTCAACTAAGAGACATTTTTTCATGACCCTGATTCATTTCCTTTCACACACAGAACTAACTGTTTTTTTTTTTTAACTGACACCATTGAATTAGATAATTAAAAAAAAATGATGATACTTCACATGTAGACTGCACACTATAAACAAAGATTACACCCTGAGCAAGGCTTTGGGTCCAGAAACACACCCTGTTTAAGAACTGTATTCTATGTTCAAGAATTAAAAAAACCACAACTGAAAACCACAACATGTTAAAAATTGACCATACCATGTTCAGCGGCACATAACCACTAAGGCCAAATAAGGGAGTGCCTTTTAGGTCACCGACCCTAAAAGACAGCTGGTCATAATGGTCTTTTTCCACTGGCAGTGTCAGACCTTGAGGCAAGTGAGGACTGGCTCTGGCTTCAACAGAGTATCTATATATGGATCTTGGTTTTGGTGCAAAGTAAGGAGGGACCTAGACCTCTTGGACCCCTCCCTGACAACTGCTTCCCTTTTCCAGACCAGCTCACAAGTTAGGCTGCATTGCAGATGTAATTTAAACCTGGTTATAAGTAACGTCTGCAAAACAGCGCTGATATTCTAGTTCTGGGCCGCCGACGGACTCAACGAATTACCTAAAATGCGTTTCGAATTTCCTCTTAATCTAATTGCCAAATTGACAATGGCTTTTTTAACAGGACAATCATGGCGTGTACTCAAATCCCGGTACACAGGTGGGGGCCTAAAATAAGGATTTCAGTGCTGTTTCGCAGACGGACTTAACTAGAAGTTTAGTTTCGTCTGTGGTGCAGGCTACTCACAAGTGTGATTAGGTTACAGTATATCAATGAAGAGAAACATCTATGAGATTTCTTACCTGTGAATCCTAATGGGCATTGACAAGAGTAGTTACTGCTGCCAATATCAGTACATGTTCCATTAAAGTGACATGGATTAGAAACACACTGTTGCCCCTCTACAGAAAATAAACCTGTCAAGAAAACACTGTACATTCATTCCCATATGGTTAACTTTTGGGAGTGAAACATTTAACCTTTATAAAAAACATTTACTTGAATATGAACAATCAAGTTACCACTGCTCATAGAGGTATATGGCCAATGCATGGTTATGATCTTTCACAACTGCCTTACTGGGATCTGTTTTGACTATGTCACAAACATAATTTACCCCTATTGTTATGGTTAACACTGTCCGCAATGTCGTCATTCAGGCTCCAGGGAGATAACATGCAGGAACTGAGTTAATTAATGGCAACTCCCACCCTTCACAGGAAAAAATAACAGATTCCCAATATTGGATATTTTAGGGTATTTAAAGAATACCCACAAAAATCCCAAATTTGGCAAAGTGAGACAAGTCCCAACCAGGTAATTCCCAACCAATCACTTATTTACTTACATTATTTTAATTGCCGCAAGATGTTCCAGGAAAGAAAACAATAAAGCCCCAAAAGATGATTGTATCAAATTACTGACTAACGGCCAATATAATAAAAACGTACCATAAGTGAAAACAAACAGCCACAGAGACCACAAGTGGGACGTCGAAACAGCGTCCGTAAACATATCGCCATAGAGTCTAAATTCCAAAACAGTCAAGAACTATTCAAACTTCCTTGTTCCGGCTGGTCACTTTCACGGTGTGGACCCTCCACCGATTTTGTTGAAAACCTAGGGAACATACATCGAAATAATTCCCATAAATTATTATTCCATTGAGATAAATTTCACGAAAGTGATCTGGTGATAGATTTAGAACAGAACTTTGCCGCAGGTTTATTAAATTTGCGAAGTAGATCGAAAGATCATATAAGCGTTACTTTATCCGCGTGTTATATTCGACATGTTCTGTAATGCTCACTCGATCAGTTTTGTTGTCTCTGTACGAAAGCTTTGCTCCTATCTCATGAAACAATCTAATGTAATACTTAGAACTGAGGTCTCTTCTAACTCCTAAATGCAACTAAAAACGTTCAAGAGCAATATATCTGTTTGCTGTGCAACAAACAACTTGAGTTAATTATAAAGCTGTCAAATGCAGAATGCACGAGAATTCTCGGACTCATATAGAAACCTGTTAACACTGCTAAAATTCTAGAGCTTCGCTTTAAATATCGTTGAAAAGTCAAAGACTAAACCGTGAATTTAAATCAAATATGCCATCGTTTCACACTCACCGTGTTAAAACAAACGACCAGGTTGAATGGACGGCCATCCATACCAAAGGGAACAGCGACAAAGATTGACGATTTTTAAAGTTTACATTCAAATTTTTCCTTTCTAATATCTTAGAACAGCTGGTTTCAAAGTTTTCAAACGAAGATATTTCACGGTAAATCAATTTGTATGCAAAGCTATCCAGTTTCTATGCCAGCGCAAGGCTCATCGTTATTTATGGCTTTCAAAGAACCAATCAAAAGCCGGCATGACGGCCCCGCTTCCGTTTGTATCGTAACGCGGTTTTTAAAGAGAAACCATCAGGAAATTCAGGGGACACCCCCCTCACCGGGTGGACAACAACCTTGTATCAGAATAATTTAAAGCATATTGCATTCTTTTCTTCATTTTTCTAGGGCTAAAGATGTAAGTAGTCATCTGCAATAACACCAAAGAAAATTTCTTATGGGAGCCCAAGAAAATGATAGTCAAATTTCACAAAATTACATCTTTCACATGAAGTTTTCAGAATTTTACCTGTGTTTTCATAATTCCTGTGAAATTTGACATTTATTTTCTCGGACTCCCACGAAAAATTCTCTTTGGTGTTATTACAGATAGTTAATTACCTCTTTAGGCCTTGAAAAATGTAAAGAAGAATGCAATAATCTTAAATTATTCTGATACAAGGTTTTTGTCCACTGAGAATTAAAATTACTCAATTTCTCGATGGATTCTGTCTTAAAGACTTTCGTTACGATTTGAAAGTTTTGTTTTTTAACGAAAGGGGAAAACCGGAGTACCAGGAGAAAAACCTCTCGGAGCAAGCGAGAGAACCAACGACAATATTAGTATGCGTAGCCACAGGCAGCCCAAGCTCAATATGAGAGTACTGCGGCTGCGTAATTTTCAAAATGGCAATCATAAAAAGGATTTGTGTGGGAATTCAGGTAATAAATACTCGCATGAATTTTCAAGAAAATACGCTTTACCTTGTTTACTTGTGTCTTCTTGCTTCCTGTGTGGTTATTATCCCGATCCGTTGCGATTTTAGCGATTTCCTTTTATCCCGAAATCGCTACGGATCGGGAAATAACGACAAAAACAAACACAAAAACATCATCCAATAAAGGTTTCTCTTATACTTTGCATTTGGACATGATTGGTTCAAACTGCCGCACTAAAACCAACAACGAAACTGCAGTAGAAAGCCAGATAACCCGAGAACTTGGACAACTCGAACTCGAATAACTAATTCCCCGCTAACTCGAACTAAAATTTGCTTCCCTTGATCAAAAAGTCACTGAAATTTACCACGATAACTCGAATTCTGGTTCTTTTTAACTCTACTCAGATGCCATCCCATTGGCTGTTCTTGTTTTGACTCTCTTCCCAATAAACGTCTCCACCATTCATCGCACTTCTTTGGTTCTCATTAGATAACTGATTTTTCACACAGTGAAATACAATAGAAAAAGGGAACCACATTTTTACTCATTACGAGCATTATATACATTGCTTTAATTTTCAATTTTAAGTCTTTTACAATATCATGTGAAATTACCACATTCTCTCAGTATTTAAATTTGAGCTTGGAAAAAAAAATATTTTCAACCGCTATACTTACTCTAAAATAACCCAATATATGTTAAATAAACCAGAAGAAATTAACAAAACATACCAATGACCTTAAAAAGATTCCTTGCCTACATCATAACGTACAGAATATTCAGCAAAGTACAATATTTGATGCAGAGACATGGTACGTTTTACAAAACAGAAACCAAAAAAGACACTAACAAAAACGTATTCAAGTTAAGGTAACAGCAAGATCATGAAATACTTTTTTCACAAGGCTAGCTCAATTAAAAGATACAAACGAAAAAAATGAGGCCAATTTTCAGCCATCTTGACCGAAAAAGTTTAGTCTTTTCTTGCCAGACCAAGAGGGCGATCCCGAGCGCAAAGGATAAGTCCACCTTGCTCGCTTGGGTAGCCAATCAGAACACAGGATTTGCTGTTACTACAATTGATCATGATAACTGCTCATTATTACCACGGTTAAAACAGCTGAAGTTTCTTTAGATATGGATCCGACCATCACTGGCTGATTAAAGATCAGGTACATTTAACTCAAGAGTGTAACCGGCAATTTTCGCTATAGACTACGAGCAGTCTCTCTTTTTCTGTAGTACGTAGAGAAAAACGCGAGACACACGAATGGCCACGAGCGTGTCGCAGTCTATTTTTGCTACCTCAGGATGTAAGTTTGTGTCCAGGCTTGGTGCATGGTAACTATTACCACACATGGGAGCTATTCTCATCAGTTCTTGTTGATTCCCAAGCAAATTTTGGGAAATGGTCCCGCAAATGCGAACTGCCAACCCACACAGGGCATAAAACTGTGTTTGGGCACCACTGTAGTCTTTCCTTTCTCTTTGTCAACACTAAGCCAATGTGGTGGAAACAAAATCGACCATACATGGAGGAACAAACAGATGCACAGAGGAAAACTGGTACTAGAGGAGGTCGTCCGGAGGTCATCAAAAAACTAAACATCTTTATGAACCTCTGTCAAAATGAAAAAACTCAGAGGTGGGTAGACTAAACCCAAGGCACAATTTAATACTTACATTTAATTTAAATGCCAAAACCTCCTATATGCTCAGAGCTCTGAGTACAGAGTGTCAAATTTTGGGGGCGTTTCTTCAATTCCTCATTTCAGTGTCAAAGCATGGATCCCCAGCATATGGGTAACAAGTCGATCTGGACACAGCCCGAAATAATATTTTCCCTCAACTATGTGACTACAACATTTACTGTCGCATAAACCTGTAAACACTGCTAGATTATAACTGGGTAACACAACTAAACATTTACTTCCCAGAGTCTTTAACCAAACTAATTCTCTTGAACCAAGATTTGCTTTCCCCAGCAGCAGCCACAATGGCTGCCAGCCTGTGCTCTAACTCCTGTGATCGACATTCGGCTTCTACGAGAGACAACTTAGTCTGCGCAAGCTCCAGTTCCAGTTCCCTCAGTCGCTGCTCAGCATCCACGACCTTGACGCTTGTTTTGAATGAGACAGTACTGTCTCCTTCCAGTGACACGTGTCCTTCGTCTGAAAAGAGAGTTGCGCAGTTTTCACATGATCCAACTCGTCTCTGAGGAGAGAAGACAGTATACTAGTGACATATTTATTCGACAAGCAAGAAAGATGACTGTTTAAGGAGTCAGAAAAGGGGCTCAGCCATACTATTCTTCAACAGGAGGACTGATTTTGGGTAGTGAGGTTGGGCTGAAATTGAGTTACTCAAAAGCAGGTGTGAATGGAGAACTTTGAACTCTATGTGTTATTGGACAGGAGAAGGACTTATGGCGATGATGATGGTGGTGATGATTGAAATGCTGAGACAGAGCCCCTTTAACTTTTTGAACATTGAAAAGTTGATGATGAAAAAAAAAGATGTGGCAAACAATATTTTTTCCCTTCCCAAATGAACTTTTTTAAAGCTGCACCACTGGTATGAAAAGCACAGGTATGTTTCGCTCAGAACCTGTTACGTTACTCACTAAAGTAGTGCTGGGAAAGGTATCAAGTTGTTTGGCTAGTGCCTTTCTATTTACAGACAAACACCCGGGAGATCTGGGTACAATATTACTCATACCGTCAGTTGCTAAGCAGCACCTTGTATACAGCTGTTTCGAGAAAGGTTGTCGGAAAAAGTGCACGTGCCAATCCCGAAAGGTATTGTGGGTGGTTTTGAGTTCACTATTCTTCAAAGAAATTTGAAAGAATGGCACGAGAGGCCATGGACGTATGTTTGCGAGTTTTAAAGTAGAGCAACAAAAGTAGGTTCGACAGCTACAGTCTCAGAAACAGTGTATTGATCATGTCCCATATTACCTTTTCGGGATTGTCGCGTGCACATTTTTTTCCGACAACCTTTCTCGAAATAGCCGTATGTTAATATAGGTCAACTCTTGTTCTTAAGGCCTTTCAACGCGACAAGAAAGAAGCAACCAAAAATAATTACTTGTTGCAAAATGACCTACGTATATGTATTATGGGTGGGTACAAAATTTTTTTTTAAAGCTAAAATGTACCTTCACTTCTAACAGTTCTTGATGCAAATCTTCCTTCAGCTTCTCACTTCTTTCATCCATTTGAGAACAGATCTACAAGAAAGTAGAGTTTATAGTCAATAGTTGCTCTTGAGGGGAACTCAAACTAAATCAAACTTGTCTGTACCTTTTTGTACTCCTCTATGATGGCAGTATGTCGCTTTCTCTCCTCTTCTGCCTGTTCAATGTTCTGTCTCCACATCTCTTTAACCTACAAACAACAATAACATGATTGTACAATGAACAGTGACTAAATTTATGTGATTACAGAAGTAACAACTACTCAGACTCCCGTTTGAAATGTATGAACATCCACACTTAACCCTTTAAGTCCCAATAGTGACTAACATCAATTTTCTCCTAACAATATCCATACAATGTCAAGAGATTAGGTTATGAGAATTAATAAAATGATGACCTAAGAGAAAATGCTTTGATCTTTTACCAAATTCTCTCAACTCATTCTTTAAAGAAATGTATAGAGATCAGTTTGGAGAATTTGCTTGTGGATATTGGGGCTTAAAGGGCTAAAAGTTTTCTTTACAGGTCACGCATTGAAAAAGAGATGTTAAGAAACTCACCTGAGCTCCCTCAACTTTGAACTTTTCGAGTTGATCCTCTGCTTCAGCCAGTGATATGGTTGTATTATCTAATGCCTTGGACAGTTCCTCTACCTTCTCATCTGACTACATAAATAAAAATAAATACAACAAATTGTACAAACAAATAAAGCCACACAGCTGAAGCCACAGGCGATACACAAAGGTTGAAGATCAAACAGTGGATGGCTGATTGTTTCAAGGGTTCAATGCTGTGTGAAGAAAATCCTAGACATCCTATCTGAGAAACGGCGGCAGAGGCAGCTTCCCTCCTCCTGAGTGTTAGAACAAACAATCAACAATAATCATACCTCCGCTAACTTGCTGTGTAGCTCGACTTTTGTGGTGACCAACTCGTGTGCAAGGTTATCATTTTCTTGTTCAAGTCGCATGTTTGCTTCAAAGAGTCTCTTGTTTTCACGCTGAAGGAAAAAAGAAAAAGACAAAAATCTTAAAGGCCACTATAACTTACATAATACATATGTAGTTTAGTCTAGGATTTAAAAAAAAACAACAAACCAATCCAATGTCTTCCCCAGATAGCAAACTGTTGTATAAAAAGGAATAAGTGTATAATGTTTATTTTGTCTTGTACGGGAAACTTCATCATCAAAACATTACTTGCAACAAACTTTTTTTTCTTTTCGTGCCACTGAGGTATTAGCTATCTGTACACCTACAAAGAGAAACTGGTGAGAGGTATGTAAGTTGTCATATCACCTGAAGTCTTTCTACTGGATCTTCAAGTTGTGCCTCTTGTTCTTTCTTCAACATATATTCCTTTTCGTATTTCTTCATCTTTTTATTAGTTACCTGAAATTAAAACAAATGGTGTTACCCTACAGACTTAATTCAGATAACGGATGCTATGGTTAAACCCCTTCATATATACCCTCAGTATCATCAAAAGAGATATGTCACAGAGTCTTGTTAAAGTCAGTAAAATGAACTGGCCAGTGATGGCCAGCAATATCGCAGGAAGTGACCACTCAAAAAATCACCCTCCTTGAAAGTAATTATTTTCAAGGCAGCATTTGCTTGTGATCATTTCACACCACACAATTGACATGTTACTTGAATTGTGACTTTGGCGACGTTAGGAGTAAAAAAGCTAAGCACTTGGTAGAACATCTTTCAACAAGAACACCTGCTTTACAAAGGTAAGGTCCACAAGGCCAGAAAATTAATCCAGTTTCAACAGCATAAAGCATCGAAGAACGCTACCCCCTTCCCCCCTAGTTGGGATGCCAATCTATTGCAGGAAACAACATGATGGCAAGGCTTCAACCCAGGCATACAGATCTAAAGATTTGGTGTTAACCACTCCTCCATCTCATCTCCAAGGACTTCACAAGGAACAACAATATTATTTTAAGCATATGTGAAAGTATAAACATTAAGTAGACTGCAAAAGTTAACTTTCACGTATGAACAGTTCTTTTTCATCTTATTTTTAGCAACAAAGCAGTTATTTTTTGTCATTAGCAAATATAATAAAAAAAATTAACTACCGGTAATAAATTATTCATTAGTTATTTTTTATGGGCAAGAGACGTCCCCCTTCTCCACTGCTGCCTTCTCCTATGAAAATAGTACTGCAAAAATCAATTGAAAAACAAAGAACCAAAAAATAATACCATGGAGCTCACTAAGTCACTGAGGTAAGAGAAGTCTTCCATCTGAATGCTCACACTCACACGTACACACAGTAAAATACAACATCACTGAGGTGACTGAACACAGTTTGGCAGTTTGTGAGTGTATGTCATTTGCCAAATCATGGCAAGAGGAAGGTTGCAACTCGCAAGCTCAAACTTGGTAAGTGAAAAATGTAGTGATGAAAGATTTTGATTGACAGGTAAAATTTGACACTCGTAGTTTCCATGGAAACATGAACGGTTGAATACAACCTTAACATTTCACTTTTGCGCGGTGTACATAAAATTCGCTTTTTAGATTTTCCTATAAACTTGCACACAGCTTCCTACAATTAATCATTACTATTTGAAACTTCTTTGACCAAATTTTAATGGGTTTTTAGATATTATAGATATTTTTTACATATTGTACTGTAATTATTAAATGTGTCACAAAAATTGTCTGTTTAACTTCATTTTAAAGTTCTCATTATTTAAAATATGATTAAAGTAAAAATTCTGCCAAATATCACAAAATTTTAATGCGCAGATTTTGAGAAAACTTCTTCTGTGTACCTTTGCTTTTTTCGCCACCATATTTGTTTGTCTAATTTAAAACATGTGCCGTCATGCAGTGACCACCGACTGCCCGCAAAACCGTGTTCAGCCACCTTAAACTAGAAAACCAAAGTAGGGTTAATAAAAATAACATCATCTGCACATACCCTAAATCCTAGAGCAGAGTTGACGAGCTTCTTGTATTCTTCTTCATCAAGATACTTTTTTGGCATCGATACTCTGAAATACTTTAGGATTGCTTCAAAATCCATTTGAATTAACTCCCTGCGAGAGGCCTGCAAGATGAGATAATGGTGAATAATGAAAGAATTTAATAGACAGTATCAGACACAGTAAAATGAAAACCATTATAGTATTGTTTAGCTGTGATGTACAAACAAATAAATCCAATATACCTTTAAGAGAGCCAAGGCAACTTGAAAAATGACACTCATTCCCTGTAAAAAGTATTGTAATAAAAATCAAGTGATCACCTTCAATACAAATAGTGAGGGTTTGGGTTGTATATTTTGTTGTATGCATATGCTCCCCCTACCCCTACCCCTATCCCCCCCCTTCTCTCCCACTGCAATTTGTGCAACCTGACCAAGTGATTTACTGATATGTCATCAGGACAGGTCATTGAGTGATCCACAATCATTAAGTGACACTGGCAGATAGCCATGGATGATGCAATACCACACAACTAAACAATATTAATACAATATAATAAAAAGCGTTTGCACAAAATACAGAACCATTGAGCACAACAGAATATTCCTTAATACATGTATGTAAGTCCAAGACCTAAATGATACAGGACAAAAATGGACATGATAGCTGACAAAGTGAAGAAACTGTATATGACTATGCATTAACCCTCTCTTGGTTCCTCAACTAAGTACCGGCTGGGCCACTTACATGACACAGGAAGAGATCCATGATACGGTAAACCATTGATAGAGGAAACTTGGCAGTAAACAGAGTAAGGAACCACTGTGATGCATACATGTGGGTCTCAATCTCATTGTATTGGAAATGGCTGAAGAGATCTGGCATTGAATCCTGAAAAATAAAAATTTGAATAAAATTAAAAACATAACACAGACAGATTCCTACAGTACTAATAATACTTGTATGCATAAGTTTCATCTATTAAACACCAAGGATAGTGGACCCCGGCTAGTAATGTTTGTGAAGCAGCACAGAGATCCTTGTTCTGGGCTCCCAATGGATTCAACAAATTACCGAAAATGTGTTTTTGCATGTCCCTTCAGTCTGATTGGCAAATCAGCAATGCCCTTTTTAACAGGCCAGTCATGGTGCGTACTCAAATCCTGATACACAGGTGGGGACCCAGAAAAAGATTTAACAAAAAAAAATTTAGTTCCGTCTTTTGGGTGCAGACTTATTCAATGTGCTGCAGAAATATTGATAGATGCATGACTAACCTCAATCATCCTTTCAAGCTGGAAAAACTTAAGGTGCAGCTGCTCAAAATCGTGTTTGAAGATGTCTCTCAGCCCGTAATCATTCATGATCTTCACCAACAATGCAAAGGCTTGCTCCTCTGGAAGCTAAACACAATTAGATAAAAGGTGAAAAACATTACAGCAGTTAAATTTACCAGAACGATTAGTGGGAAAGGCAATGAAATAAAAGTATGAAAGATAAAAAAAGTATGAATAAGAAACTTTCATTTGTTTTACTTACATGTAACAGTAAGACAGCAGACAAGAAAGACAGTCCTTGGCAATAACCCACTTCCTCATCATACACAGAGTATGCCTAAAAACAAGTACATAAGGAAAAAGAAACAACAAACCAATTACTGTTACTGCCTGGAGTCAATTTATTTCATGCCTAAATGCATTTTTCTCATGACACACTACCTCATCAACGATTCTGGGATTACTGGTTTTTGTATTCTGAAAGATGAGGCAGTAATTAACTAACAAATGCAACTTCAAAGTACTAACTGAACTTATGAGCATACTTTGCTAATTTTGTACAACATCTCTTGACCTTCCCCTCCACTGCTCTTAAAATACTCGTGAGCTGGAAAGGTACGATGAATGTCCCACATGATCACTTGTTCTGTTGGAGATTCCTGCCAACATAAACAAGAATGTTAGATATTGACGCAGATTTTTTCAAAGTCTAACACTATAAAAATTAATGAACATTGTCGCTGAGTTCCACAGGAACAAAATCTACTTTTCCACCATCAAGGGTCAGTCTGTCTGAACAAACCACGGCACACTTACCATGTCACACAAGCGATCATAAAAAAAAAATTGAAATGAGACGACACTCTCATTATTTTTAGACAGTGATATTTGCAATCAATATCATGGTGAATTTACACCTCTCAGAACAGTATCACATGACCATATTTTGCTTGGGTGAAGGAGCCATATGCATAATGGTATTTGCTGTATTTATTCAAATAAGCGCCCAACCTCGAATTAGCACCCACCTCAAATAAGCACCCATCCTAAAGGTAGAAAAAGTTAATAAGCGCCCAGCTTCAAATAAGCACCCACCCCCACCCCCTCCCACTCAAATTCAAATAAGAGATAACAAGATACCCTCCCAAAGACGGAGTTTTTTTTGAGAGTATTTTACACAAACCTTGCTTTGTTAAATCTTTGTGTTTTGTTTAATTACTACCTTTTATTGCTTTGTAACAAAATAAACATACAACACTTGCTGAACATGGTGAAAATTTAATAAGCACCCAGCCTCGAAGAAGCGCCACCTTAGATTAGTGCCCACTCGCAAGGTCCAAAATTTAATAAGCGCCCAGGGCGGTTAATCAAATAAATATGGTAATATATATATAGCTTTTTTATTAGATTGGACATTCAAGATTAAAACTTTTGTGTGAGAGGTATTTCAGTTAAAAGTTGTTGATCGTTTCATGTAAATGACTAGAATAATTATTGGAGCTCGGCATGGATTAATTTATAGATTGTTTTACCTTTTTAATAAAATGTTTGTAGCCTTCAAGAAGTTCATCATTTTCCTTCAGACCAGCCATCATTTGCCAGATCTGTCCTCTGAGAGGTTCCGGTATGCCCTTTGTATCATACAAGGGAAACTATCACAAAATTCGCTACTGACCATTTTAAACCAGGGGTTTAGAGAAAATATGAACTAATTTGAAAAATCAAGCCTTATATTAGCCTGACTGTGTAGCTGGTGGGATTTTTTTTAAGTATAAAGTTTTGGCAGAGGAGGTGAAGCCACCTGGAGAATGGGGACTAGGGAGATGCTTTGAATTTCCCCATGCCTTTGGCACTCTCTTCTCACCTTGAAGCAAAATCAATTTTCTCCCTTTGCAGGCTAGCCTTACATTGAGAGCTGGTCTGTCATATTCATGCTGACCCAAATGATTAACCTGACTATCCTCACTACGTTTTATGGTATTACTTTTCCCCCTCCAGAAACCATTATCCCAAAATGAGTACTAATGAGTTATTGAAAGTAAGCTACTGTAAAAATAGTGAAAATAAGCCCCTCTGAATATATGCTTCTTAAAAAGGTCTTTGACAAATAAGAGCCCCAAGGTATAATGAAATCAATTCTACAAGCATTATTGGGGACTTAGCGATTAAAAGTTGTGAAATATTGATTTATGACCTTTCTGACAAGCCCAGGAAGCTGCTTTGGTCGAAGGGTGACATCTTTCCATTTGCTTAGCAGGTCTGCCCAGCTGCCTAACTCCTCTTCAGTCCATTCTTTTTGCACCGCACCTGATCCAGACAGCAAAGGCTCATCATCTTCATCATCATCTGCAAATCCAGACACAGTGCATTAAAGTTGTGATTTTAAGGAATTGGTGAGTGATTGGCTGAGTAGCAGTAACAAGTTCTTGACTAGCAGAAAATGGCAGATGTGACCAATGAGTTGATCATTTTTGTATGCCTGCTGTTTGCTTAAAAGGCTATTTAAGCAAACAGCAGGGGAGAAAAGGATGGTGCAGTACTAGTGCAAGAACATGTCTCCAGCCACTGTGGCCCAGGTTCAAATCCACGCGTTGACACCACACATGGGTTGAGTTTGTTGTTGGTTCTCTCCCATGCTTCGAGAGGCTTTTCTCTGGGTACTCTGGTTTTTGTCTCACCTCAAAAGGTAACATTTCTAAATTCCAATTTGACCAGGAATCAGTTACTAGACCAAGTGGATGTGCTACCTCTAAATTGTTATTTAATTTAATTATATTTACTTTTACATGTAAACCTTTACAAAAATAATGTCTGGTTGATGACGGACAAGAGTAAGATCTATCTCTTCATCATTAGGAATCAACTACTGCTTGCAAACAGCTCACCACAAGCAGTTGCTCACAGTAAATATGTAATACTTAGGCACCGTTCTGTTTTTCTGATAACTGTCCTAATTCTAAGCTTGCTCATACAGGGAATTTGCTAACCAAATGATAACGTAATGTAAACCTTGCACTTCTTAGGTCGTTTCTAGAGATTTGTAAAAAAAAAGGAAAATTACACCTCTTTCACAATACCTGTAAAGGGTTTCTGACTAATTATTTTTAGAATCAGGGTTTAATTTTTTAATTTTTTGAATTTTGACTTTTGGTACCCTTGCAGGCAAAGGTTTTACAGAAAATTATCATAAATACAATTGAGTGGATTCCAAAGTAATTGGTAATGATATCAGGATTTTACTCATGAGTACCGGTATGATTACAGACAGTTCTGGTACCAATTAAAGGATAATCATTCAAAGCAAATGCTAGAAATCAGGATAAATGAGGGCACTTCTAACAACTAGTCAGATTCTTATAAGTTTGCCTGACACTAACCATCAGAGGGGGTTTTGTCCCCACCAGAAAGCTGCCGGTTTGGGAAGGGTCGAGTTTTATTCGAGTTCTTGGAAGCTTCTATACTGCTCTCAGTTTTGAGGCTCTTCACTTCAAAGCCTTTTTCACCTGTGTCTGTATCAGTGACCTGCAATTTAAGACTTCAACATCAAATGCCAAGCAAATTTATCATCATGTTAGAGAAAGAAAAGAAAGGAACAAAGACGATGGGAAGAAAATGGAAGAAAATATGTCTAAGAGGCAATGAAGATCAATGCTATTAATTTTTGTTTAAGAAACAACATGATTGGCGCATCCACTTACCATTCAAAAATTAATAGTAAAGCTTTTCAAGCAAGGGTACCTTATTAGGGAATTACTCTGTTTCTGAACAATAAAGCTGTGTGCAACCAGGAGTTATATCACAAGTTTGTTTTAAATTTGTTTCATGGTACAGATGACCCAAAAGCAAGTTTAACCATCACGCACACAAAACAGTTACTTATGTGGTATGGACAAATCAGTTTGATGTGGGTAATTTAGGGAAGTCTAGGACACTGACGTTAGGATGTTCTTACCTCTTTGAGCTCCATGATGTATATTTCACGGAATTTTGCTCTACTAGGGGTCCAAAAGAACTTCTCTCCACTTGGAAAAATTTTAGCTTTGGTCTCCACGATAAACCTGACTGGTTCTATTACTCCAGTAACAACCAAATCTACAGCTATTGTTACAAACAGTCGAGTGTCTGATGAAAAAATAAACAGTGAGTTGTATATAATTTTATCTAAACAGCATGGTATCTTGCCCTTGAAGGTCTTGGCAAACTAAATTAAAGGAAAAAGGGTCAAACCTTCAAAAAAAGTGTACTTAAGACATTTAACTGGAAATAATCATAAAATACAACATTATGAGGTACATTCATGACCAAGTAGTACCTTTCGGTGTTTCTGTGTTCAAAACTAACAGGTCACGAATCGCTGGATCCCATAAACCAGTTATGTAATATGTCTTCCCTCCATCTCCAACATTCATTGTTACCTACAAAAAAGTTAAATGGCCCAAACAGACTACGTTATCACTGCCACTTCACGCATAGTAGAATATCATTTTTTTGTTCAGAGTTGGAAAAGCATAAATATTAATTTTGGTTGTACTGAAAAGTAGAAAAATACCAAACTGATTTTTGCAACACTGAAGTGTTAAAGTGATCTTAGCCCATCAGCAATTATTATATTTCATGCTAAAATTCTAAAATGAAACTGATATACCTTTTTAAAGTCTGTAGCAAATCTCTACAAAACTTTTTGGGTCAGTTATTTAAACGAAGTCCAACTTAGGCTGCGGATAAGCAAATCTTTGGACCTCCAGATACCTTCCTTAGAGGGTTATTTGAAAAAGATAAATGCTTTTCTAGTCTGTGCCATAATATGCTTTCATGAAACTGTTCACAATAAATGATGTTAAGATAAAAGCGTTGGGCAAAGTGAAAATGGCTTGGAACAAGGTTTTGTTAAACAGTGGCTAAACTCTGTTTAAATAACTGGCCTTTTGTTTTTCTTAACTGTAGTTTTTAAATGTTGAATTGAAAAGTATTCAACGGTACAGTTTTTCTTGTTATTCTGTGTTTTAAGTGTCATACTGACCAAAAAAAAGTTAATAATGTACTTTGCTGTTGGTTACTCTGGAAAAGAGAAAATCAGAGTATGTACCTGCACCAGTTGTTCAAATATTAGATCGCGCTATTCACTGGATAAATCACTATCCAGCAGATAATTATCAGGGACACCAATAGTGGTTATCCAGTGGATAGCATTATCTGCCTTTTAACACATGGGGCTTATATAAACAGGGATAAAAACCAATAGAAAAGTTAATCCATATACAACAATAATGCCTCATTAATTATCTAAATATAGTCTGACATATCATTAAAGATTCACAATAAGCTGGATGTCATCATACTGTAATCAGTAGTAATTGTTTATTGACCAAGTTGTTTTACGTCTATTAACTAACCTCACTCAGTAGGTGCATATCAGAATACCGCACATTCTTTCCTGGACAAATGAGGAGTCCAAAACACCTAAAAAGATGAAAAAGTTACACTCACATTAACGATTGTTTCATGACAAGGTGCCTATGGCGCAGGTTAATTATTTTGTGCCCAGGTTAATTATTTTGTTCCCAGTTCAAATTTGCCTTTAAAGTGAAGAGATCTTTCAAAATACCAGAATGAAGGAATTGAAAATGGCAAAAAACCATGTAACATTGACCTGAAAATCTCCATGAAAATCTTGTTCCAGTAATCCTAAGATCCTAAAAAGCTTTCCCAAAAACTATTCCCACCAAAAAGATTCAACCACAAGAGAAAAAAAAAATGAGGCAAGAAAACAAATTAATTTAAACTTTTAAACACAAAAAACGAAATTTTGTTTTTAAACAATGTAATCATCTGGAAGAAAATAATTTATTATTGGATATTAAGAAATGACCAGGAGTTTTTTCGGCAAAAACCAGATGGGAAATTTGAATATCAGTGTGAAGTAATTAGAAAGCCCAAATTAATTTAAAGATATAACAAAAACTTGTATTTAAACAATGTAATAACAATAAATAATTTATTATTGGATATTAAGAAATGGGAGCCACCAGATCGGGTTTTCAGTACAACAATGTAAGCCCCTTAGGCTAAATTAAAAGGGATTTTGAGCAAGGTATTCTGTTGTTATGGTAACTGTTCACATAAAACATGACAATAACTTGTTGACAAAATATTAGGCATTTAACTAACAATAGTTGTGGTATTGGCACAAAGAAGAGGAAAAGCTGAAAAATGCTGGGAATTATTGCGAGCCACCATAACCCATTCATCCCTGGAAAACTTCTTTTGAAGTTACAAGAGCTGTTTTTGGTCTCTACATGGACAAAAGAACTAAAAGTACCCAAAACACTGTTTGTAAGATGAGCAATCTGCTGCCTTGTGCAGAAGGCAAAATTTCAAGACAATTAAAGTAAAAGAGCATGAAGTAAAAGAGCGCTAAAAAATAAGAAGAAAGAGGGGGAGAGGGAGAGAGGGAACACCTGTGAGATAAGTTTTCAAAAGGTCATTCCACCCACTTTATTGGCTAGTAATTCAATGTTAGTTTCTGGTGTTAAAAGTTGTCAATCAAGCAACGGGTGACTGACCCGCACCATTTACTGAATTACTTTCAAATGTATTGAGACAAAAACCTTTTATATATTTTTTTGCAACACTCGCCAGGTCCACTTTCTCTGCTGGTGATTTTCACTCATATCATAGACTAACTAGCTGCTGTCAGCTTATTTTTATTTTATTGAAATGCTCTTTGAATTTGCTTGTTGGTAAAAGATTCCGTGCGTAGCTTTGGGGGAAGTGTGTTCAGTGAATAGAGATCTGAAAATTTCCAATTACAGAGCATGTCCCGAGACTAACCTACTTCAAACCTTTTCACAAAGTCGGCTCTTAAAATATCCAGGTGAATGTTTTCAGCAATTTCAGTTGAATTTTCTTCTCTTCTGAATTGACAGCTGATTTGACCACACTTTCCCTACTGTTGTAGTGACTTCAACCCTGATAAACTGTTGTACTTGAGTAGCCGCATACATACTGTTAAAAGTCCAACAGACTCATATCGCATCAATAGAAGGTGCAGGTGCATATTTAATATTCCTTTGTGGTATTCCTGAAGAGAAGCTTGTTTAAAAGCCAACACCTGCTAAAATTTTGAAGCCATATACTTTCCATTGACGGGATCCTGCCTGAAAACAATTCTTTCTCGTTCGTCAAGGATGATATTCCACATTAACAGTGTTGTTTATTTCTAATCACTTCATCACACTTTCAAGATCAACTGATGTGAAATCGATCTCACTGCTAGCGCATCACATTTCCAATTACGGTTATGAACCTCTGAGTGTTGACAAGAGCTGTCAAAATAGACCAATCATAGGGTATACCATTCTGGTATACTGGGGTATACCATTCTGGTATACTGGGATGAGCTTTTGTTAAAAAGTACTACAGGCATTCCCCCACTCTCACCCCTACCCCTACCCCCTCGCCATTATTAATTTTTTCAGCTCACATCCCTTTGGGCGGTCCCCATGATCCGAATGCCTGGAACAGGCTGGGTATGCTTTGAAGATGTGATGTGTTATGATGCCACAAGTGGTAAAAGGGATGGAAATCTGTGTGGGTGACAATGGGTTCAACAAATAATACAAACCTTTCCACAATAAGGTGTTTGTTTGTCAGCTGCTGAACAGTTATGCTAACTTGCTTGCGCAAGTCCTGACGAAGTTTGAAGCAGTTTTTGTCTCGAGCAGCAGATGAGAACCCTTTGTTGTCTTCCTCAAGAATATCAAGAGTCACATCAAATTTGAATAACAGGTTACTGACGCCAGCTATAGTCATGGCGGAAGTGTCCGTAGACGATTCTAAAGCCTGCTGCTTTCGCTTTTAAAGTAAAAAAAAACAGAAAATTACTATGGAAGATGAATTTAAGAGACTTTAAAATAGCATGGAGGGGCACTCGCATGACTCCTAATATGCCTTTAGCCCTAAGATTGTAAATTCACACTTTATGCATACATATAATAACAGATTATTTACTGTATTTCCTTTAACTGTTAAACTCATAAAACTGTGAACACTAAAAAATAAAATTTCTAGAATATTATAATTTGGTTGAATGGAAAAAGCCAATCGGGTGTGAGAAAACAACAGTAATTTTGGTTTGTGCTTTTCTGCCTTGCTCTAGTGTCCTGATCTTTGTTGTGATTGTTCATAACACAATAAGAACTCTCAAAATATTTCAGGTGTTCACAGTTTTCTGAGTCTGACAGAAACTTTTTAAAATTCTTCCTTCTGCAATGAACAGATGCTTCAGTTTGCCAGATAAGAGCTCTGTAAGTGCATAGGGACAGAGAGAACTGAAAGGATCATGATCGACTTAATGAAGAAGAAACTGCTCTTCCTTTTTGACACTAGATGGGATGAATGATACCTAGAAAATCATGGTCCTCAGAAAATTTTGATCCAACCTTAAAATCTGAGAAATGTCTGTAATAATTAATTAGTCTTGCAGTTTTGCTTTAGTGTGTTTCTTTGCATCTGGAGTCTTGAACTTTTTGCTCTAAGTCGTATTCTTGAAATAATCATGGTCTCACAGCATCCTGGCAAGTTTAGGATTTTATTATCCAACTTCCCTGATGCTGGCACATTAGTCAAGGTCAAAAAAGATCAGAATAGAAGGAGGATCTCATTGTGGTATTCTTACTATATTGCAGAGTGAGTGGGAAAGAGGGATCGGAGCACTTATTTTATGGAAGGCACTTTCCCAACACAATAATTATTAGAGAGCAACTTCTCTTGTGTTTTTGAGCTACTCCTGATAATAGGCAGTATTTCTATGCTGTTGGATCAACCTTTCACTATCTATGCACTAATCTATTTTTAAAGTTTGATATACTAACAAAATGTCTGTAACAAGATGCTAGGTTGGTAAAATAGACACAGAGTGATAAGAAACACTCACTGAAGAATATTTGTCCTCCAAAGAGATTTAGCATGTTGAAAAGAGAACAAAAAGAAAAAATATCTAAGAACAAATAACTAATGTTTTCATTTTTGTTCCAATTCCCTCCAATGAGTGGAAATTAGTGAAAGAATAACAGTGTAAAAATACGCTTATTTCATAATGACTTGATTCACTTAGTGATAGACTTCTTAAACAAGTTCAGTATTACCATGTAACTTGATTAAGCAATGGTCCAGATAAGAAGGAAAGGACCAAAACGCAGTGAACACGTCGGAATGCGAAAAGGTGTTAACTTTACCATTGTCTCTACTATGGTTCTGATTGGTTTAAACATCAAATTTTACAAAATCTTCGTAAAACAGCAAGTATATTAATCCCTTTTTTTCTGTCCCACTTCCTTATAACATGATTCTCGTCTGAGTCTAAGTAACACAGAAATCGTATGTGCGGATCATGTAAAATTGTGACCATTTCTTAGCCATTGTTTGCAACTCTTGTGATTGGTCGAAATGTTTTAACACAAAAATACACCCTTTAAAAGTGGAGTTTAAATACATTTTCTTTCATAAACTGCCTTTTTGTAGGTTTATCCATTCTCTGCGTAAAAATGAAAACATTTCTATGTGAGGAAAGCGTATTGCGCTATAACAAAACAAATTGCTTCCCTTCTTACCTGGATCATCACTTAAGTTCTGTCTTTTACGGTATAGTTTAACTTCTTTCACATGAGGCCTGTGATGTTTGGGTGTCTGCCCAATTGCTTGTAAACGAGTACAAATCAATGAATTTTATTATCTCCTCAACAATACACTACACTACAACACCAAGCTCTGCCATGTCTACTACATGTATATGCTGTTGCCAAGCTAGCTAAATCCAACAGGAACTTTACTTATTCATAAAAATAACCAGGAATATACTTACTAGACATATTATTATAATAATTTTTATTACCTTTCTGTTTCTTCGAAACGATATAGCAAACGTCCTCAAAATCTTCCCAGCCTGAGTATTGCAAAAGAATATTAAGATAATTATATGTTGAACTAGTAATGGACAAGGGTCCAAGCTGGTCATCTTTAATCAAAACTTAAATCACTGATGAGCAAGAAGTAGCCCCATGGCAAAAAAAGTGTGAGAGCTGCTTGAAATAAGGACAACCTGTGGAATTCAAGTCTTTTTGAAGCACTGACAATGTCTTAACTCTTTGGATGAAACATTTTCCTCAAAAATAAAATAGCTGTTGACCCTGAAGCCAACTGTTCATTTTTTGCTCTCGGCTAAGGACTTTATTCTCTAGTGTAGCAGCTGCTGAAAACCTGAAAACTTATGATACGGCATTATATTAAGTGGAATTGAAAGAAGAAGTGATCCTTATCTTTTTCATTCTTTAACCAAAGGCTCCTATTACATCCTTATCTCTACACAGTTCAGTTATTAGATCATGCTGTGCTGACAGAGGCTGTGGTGTTAAGGTTCAACTATAAATAACTTTTTCTAAGACAACATTCCAGGGGGGCGGGGGGGATGCTCCGGATTTCAAAAGATGGGGATGATCCAATGGGGGCAAAAATCAAAACCTTCAAAAATTCCTAGGACCTCCAACAACACCCAAAAAAATCCCATGCAAAATTTCGTCAGATGTTTTGAATACCCAAAGAAATTCCTACTTAAATCAAGCCACCCAAAAAATACCTACCCAAAAAACCCGGAATTGAAAATTTCAAACCCTAAAAAAATCCCTCGATCATCCCCATCACTTGAAAATAAAAATCTGGAGTACCCTCTCCTTCTGTGGACAACATAAACAGTAATAATTAATACATTTTTACCTTTTCTGGATCCATACATCTGAAGACATGACAGTGGAAGATATCAGAGTCTCCATGAATAGTGTTGAAGGCAAAACAGTCACTTTCATTTCCTTCAGCATCACCACGACCACAAAACAATATTCTCTGTATGTGATAAGTAGCAATATCAGCATGCGTCTCGGGATCCTTCAGTCTGATCATACCGTCTGATGTAGAACCCACGTAAAGCAAAACATCAATGGTGACTTCTGTTTGTTCCCTGAGAACTGCCATTGTTCGTTTCAGTTCAATTTCACTGACAGGCGCATTCACTGTTGAGGATCCTAGATACGTAATTCCATCAAATATTATAGCATTACCATCACTTCCTTTATCTGATTGACTTGGCTGTGTGCTTGAGCTGCCTTGAACTGCTTCTTCAGAAGATAACTGGGAAAGGCTTGTTACTTGAGGTGTTTCAGATTGACCATTTGATGAAGAGCCTTGTTTACTCAGCTCAACGTCTTCTGTTGTATTTAATAGCTGATGGCCTTCAACCACAAGTGAATTTCTTACATGCCTTTCTGTTGCTTTCCATGCATCAGAATTAACCTCCTCTACCGCAGCAGAGCTGTGCATAAAATCTTTCTTTGCGTCTTCCACCAGGTCTTGTACTTCCTTCTCCGTTGGTCCTTTCTCAAGGGTAGCCTCCATTTCAGGGATTATAACATCAGCAAAGCTACTCACACTACTCCCTAGAGATTTGCTTTTGTCGATTGAAGAGACAGACACTGCCGACCCAGAATCAGATTCAATATCAGGAGGAGCTAGCACAACATACTCATGATCACCATTGGTAGACTTGGCACCCGGACTGCGAGGTTCCTCTGGACTGTCTGAATTGCTTTGTTCTATGACACACTCTCCAATACCTGGTGCTTTTTCATCTGCCATAAATACTTCTAAGACGTTTGACAAAGGTCTTAAAAGTCAGCTGTTCAATTTTAATTTCAAGCCCACAAGAGCAACGAATTTCTTGGATTCCTGAGCTTTGAGGTCCACAAATTCAACTTCTCAAATTTTCCCGCTGTTCCCTTCTTTTGTTTCCGCTAAGATGAACTCAAAAGACGATTTTTCTAATGGTTTCTGTAGAATTGTAATATTCGATCGATAAGAACTGTTTAATATTTCATGTAATGTCAAAACTGTATCCGAAGAAGACCTCCTTAAAATTTAGTTGAAATAATTCCTGATCACGACGTCTCAGCGCGTCGTCGAAGTCGACGACGATGGAAAAATGGGGCTAAACGTTCTTGATCACAGCTACGAAGAAAGACTGGCTTCACAGCAAAGACCGTCAGGTGCTGGGCCTGTAAATGGAAAGTCCTCTCAGTAAGCTTTCAACAGCCACCATTCAAAACAGAGAAACGAATTCGACAAACATCAAATTCAATTCAAAGCGTGAACATTACGTTTACTGATAGATAATAACGATACCAATACAGAATAAAACTCAGACCTTTCTCGTTACTAAAGGCAATCAAGGAGGTCAGAAAAATTCATGGCAGCCCACTCATATCAAGCTTGAATCTTCGATCTTCGAATATCGAGACAAATCGATCTTTTCAGCTGTGACGTCAAGCAGAGGGAGGATACCACGTTATTTGTTTTATGTTAATGGACTATTGGCTGTGTCTTTTTCATTATCCCACTCACATGTACTGTGGATTTCCTAAAATAGACAAAAAATACTTCCTTTGATCCATAAGTACATGAACCTTGACAAAGATCAAAAACAAAGTTTTCCTATCCCTTGCTCACACTGCACCATGGGATTCTTGTCTTCATCTCAGTGCATTTTTCATGTCACCATTCATGAAGCAGATATTGAATAATTCAAATATGGCGGCTGCACGAGCAATTAGAGCTGCATGGAATATGTCATCTTTGCGAGGTACGAATCATCTCATCATCCAAAAATGTATCATTAAAGACGTTTTAAGTTGCTTCTTTCTTTTTTTTTTTAGGAAACAATCTCATCTCGTTGTCTTTGGGGTCAAGAGTGAGAGCTGCCAGTACCATCCATGCTTCTCAGATCTTGTCGGATTCCATCCCGACCGAAAGTAAAGTGATCAAACCAGGCGATATCGGTAAAGTAACATTTGAATGTTCTAATTGGTCATGAAGTTTTTGTTAGTTCTTAAAAGCACTTTAATAAACACATGGAAAATGCCCGCGTGCGTGTATGTTGGTGTTTAATATCAGGACGTTACAAATCGATCGATACTTTTCGATGCTCGATTAAAATCGATAGTAATCGATCGAAATCGATTATAATTAATCGAGTGATATCGAAAATCGATGGAAGTAGAACGGTCGAGTTTTTGTGATTATCGATTTTGATCGAAAAATATCGAAAACATAAAAATTTGTGATTATCGATTTGTATCGATTATTATATCTAATCAATCGACAAATATCGAGTGTTATCGGGTAATATTGATTAATCGATTACGTTTTTGATGATCGATTTTGATCAATTTGTAACGTCCTGTTAATGTGAGGAAGGGTTGTGATTATGAGCGATAGCATCTACATTGATATCATGTGTCTTATAGGGGTTTGATATATCGGCCGACATCTCGCTCAACTTTCGGTCAACATATCAGTTGCTATATTTGTCGAACATATGTTGAGTCTTGGTCAAATCTCAGACAAGTCTTGATCGAGTCTCAGACGAGTCTCGACCAAGACTCGGCTGTTACTTTGCTGACAGATCACTGACATATCACTGACACTTAGTCGATGTCATGGTCAAAAACTTGTTTAACTGTTGTTTGACACGTCGGTCAATATATCAACCCACTCTCAATTGATATGTTGAGTGACAGATGACCAAGATGTCTGCCAGTACATGGAAATAGCTGTGATTTGGTAACTGACCACTCTGGTATCAGCTGCAGCAATTGTGAGTAATAATCAATAGTGTCCACTGCGTGTCAGTTGAAAGGGAAGGCCTTGAGGATGAGATACACCACCGATACCTTACTGATACTTGACTCACAGCTGACCGATTCATTGCCAACACACTACTAATACCATAGTAACCGTAGCGACCGACTCTCAACCAATATATCGAACGACAGTTGAATGAGATATCAGTCGACACTCCCTATAAGGCAAATGATCACTACATTGTACGTACAGTGATTGTCCCTAGGGGGAGAGAGTAACTGCCTAAAACACTGGACTAAAACTCAACTTTTTGTCTAGAACCTGTTGACATACACACAACAAAAAACATTTTGGAGCATCCCGATTTCTTTGAAGTGCATAAACTTTTTACAGTGAAAGATCTCTTTGATGCTAAAGTACACCTTGGCCACCATGAAGGCTGTTGGCACCCCTTGATGAAGCGCTATCTCTATGGAACAAGGGAACATCATCATGTTATTGATCTCAACCATACAGTAGAACATCTGAGAGTAAGTAAATACTGTGCAATAGACAACAATATTGTTCCTTCTGCGACACTATTGACCTTTTGTGGGGATTTGTATATTAATCAGTTGATTGCCACCAGTGATGATCTCACACAGTGATTATGCAGGATGGAGGAAGGATCACTTTAGACAACATTTCATATGCTGTGCATTTTAGGGTTGCTTTTCTGTACTTTTTGGTTAGTTCAGGAATTAACGTGCTAGGATTCTAGGTCACTCTTGATGTCGTACAAACATTCTAACATGCTATCCTAAAACACTTACCGGTATGTACTGTAGACACACATAAACAAAAGAAACTCAACTAACATAATGGAAACGCATTGTCGAACTTTGTAGATTTATTACCACCTGCACCATAAGAGCGTACTTATGCACCAACGTACGAACAAGGTACATTTAGTACTACCACCATACAAGTGTACTAACATACCAACATGTAAGAAAAAGGTACAAAGTATTACCACCTTTTGACAAAATTGTGGTATTTTCAAACCTAAAACAGTCATGTACTAAAAAGTTTGAAAAGTTGTGGAACAATTTTGTGCAGTTTCAGTAGTTGAAGTGCTAAAGTACCTATTATCTCCGCCCGCCTCGACTAGCACCTGCTATTTGCGGGCGGAAATGGACTTTATGTAAATGTAGCTTGTTAATAATAATAATAAAGTGTGTGTAAAGTGTGAGCACCAAGCACCAGTTGCTTCTCTTGGGCTGCTGTTGCCTCTACTAAAAAAATAGGCCTGGACTATAACATGATCCAAGCCAATTTTAGAAGGATTTGTATGGAGTCACCAGAACAAACCATTGTTTATATCTCCTGACCAAGTTATTTACACTAACAGGCTGATTTTTGGCAAGGGGACTTTTTTCATCATGTCCTTTCTGATTATGCTAGCCAAGTCCATAATTTATCAAATTTGATATTTTATGTTTTTTTCTTTTTCCTTTAAAGTCTGACTCAACAGTTTGCATTTAGTGGATCCTTTTCCTGGAATCAATGAAACTTGTTTTATAAAAAGTGACACCTCATATCATGGGAAATTATCTAGTTTTGTGCTTTTCTTCCAGCTGGCCTTGAATGTCTTGTCTCACATTGCTTACAGAGGGGGAATAATTCTGTTTGTTTCTACCCATCCACAATTTGAAGAACTGACACAACGCACTGCTAGAGAGTGTGGCGAGTACTTCATCACTCGAAGATGGCGAGGAGGAACTCTGACTAACTCCATGATGCTTACAGGAATGACTAGAGTTGCAGATCTTATTATATTTTTACATTTACCTTCGTTGGGAAGAAATATGTTAGCAGCAAAAGAAGCGGCTCAAGCAAATGTTCCAAGTATTGGAATTGTGGACAGTGACTGTAATCCTAATCTTATAATGTACCCTATACCTGGAAACGACGATTCTCCTTCTGCTGTTGAACTGTACTGTAATTTGTTTAAGAAGGCAGTGTTAAGAGCAAAGGAGGTAAGAATGGAAAGGCGTTCAAGACGCAAGGAAGAAAAAATGGAGGAAGACTTGTCAAGTTTGCATCTGTATGAAGAGATTGAAGAAAATGAAAACAATGAATCTACCTTGTGATGAGATGTTCTGCAGGGTCTGAATGGAGTGAGGTTGTTGTTTAAGCACAGGAAGTCTTAGGGACACTCTTAGAGGGCATTTCTACTCAGGTTGCACTCAAGCATTTTTTGTCATAAACATAACTAACTCCAACAAATGAGGTGGTTCAATAGCTGATGCTCATTATACCAAGTCAATGTATGCACAATTGTGTCATTCTATTGTGTAAAGTTTATTGTGTATTGTGTAAGGGCTAGTGATCATTGTTGTGTTCTTTGCGATGCAACTCAAGACATGCTTTTCACTCGGCATATTGTGCACCAGCCCAGTCGTGACAAATAGACCTTTGTGCGGTTTTTCAAATTTTGACATGGACATGTACATTTAAGGGAAAATCTGTTAACACCACTGGGGAGAGCACCTTGCTTAAAATTAGTAAAATAGCGAAGTTTGAAAGTGATACATCTTAAACAAGCAAAGATATAGCTCCAAAAATTTGAAAAAATGTACAGATGTTTGTTTGGTGGGGGGCACAAACTCACTCTTGAACTTCAGCTTCTTTGACAAATCACTTTCAAACTTGGCAATCTTGCTAATAAAATGTGCTTTTTCCAGTAGAGTCGACGGATTTTCCCTAACTTGTCCACGTCAAAAAATGTTTAAAAAAAACTGCACACACTTTCTATGGCACCATCAGTGTCTGTATTAACGGGTTCTGACTGTACTAGTTATAGTAAAGGAACTCTCTACAAAACTCTTCTGACAAAAATTACAAAGCTGCTTTATTTCTGCTATTAACAAAAACATCACTTCTTGCTTGGCAATAGGGTCATTACAAAATAATCCTCCAAACTTCAAGAATTTTTAAAACTGTATTCATGATTTTTAAGTACCAGAACTGGCAATAAACATCTTATTTAAAATGTTATATTAAATACTAACAATAAAGAATAAAAAATTATTACACAATCTATGGTTGCTCCATTCTCCAAGGCCCAGTTGTTTGAAAAAAGGTTAGCACAATCTAACATTAGTCAACAAGACAGCTTGCACACCCTGTTTTCAATTGCAACACTTTTACCCTGTTTTCAATTCAAGTCAATTCAGTAAACGTGCCTTTTTCAAGAAAAGGCACGGTTTTTGTGCCAAAACGGGAAAAAAAAAAAAAATATTTTACAAGGGTAGCTATTGTTTACAGAGTTTCACAATGGAGGGGGCGGGCGAAGTACAAAAAAAAAATTCGCGCAAGGGAAAATTAAATGAAAAAAAATTCTTGCAAGCCAATTAACCCTAAAAAATATTCATGCTATGGCCTAAAAAAAATTCGTGCAAGGAATTTGATAACGAAAAAAAATTCCAGCGGCTCGAAAATTCCCCTCCCCCCCCCATAACTTTTCTAATGGTCCGTCCCTAAAAAAGTAGGATTTACACTGTAGTAAAATAATTCAAGCTGCTTGTTTGTTTTTGTTTTCTGGCTCTGTTAGCAAATTAAGCTTTGATCGTATAATAATCGATGAGACGTGCCATTTATTTCATCAAAACTCATCGGCGTGCAATCAATTTTTTCGTTTTCATTTTATAAGTCATATCACAAGTAAATTCTTTTTTTGAATGCAAATCTGCCCTCCTGAAAAAAACAAATATTTCGTTCCAACTAAACGCTCCATTAAGAAGGGGAGAAGAAACCTACTTGGAAATTTTTTAACATCGATGAAATTAGCATAATATCAACAATGTAATTGCATGCTGAGCACTTACTTTAAATACGCTAACCTGTTTAAGATTCCATTTTCCTGTTTGTCGGGGCTTTCCCTGCTGTCTCTAACCGTATTCTGAGTCATGTTATTTCTTATTAGGGGATAAAAAGGTCGTCAGACCGTGTTTCTAGACTTCGTAAACCTCAAAACTGACATAATTGCCGTGCGCCCTTTTCGTTCGCTATGGAGCTCGATAGGCTGGACACGATTTTCCGAGTGACTCAATATTCTGGCACAACTTGTGCACAGATTAGGCACAGTTTGGACACAACTTAGGTACGGCTTAGGCACGTTTTTCAAAACTAAAATGCACACTTTATGCACATCTTAGGCACATTCTAGGCACAAAATCTTTATGCCAAAGCACACTCTAGAATCCGATTTTCGGTCCAACGCACGGTTTACGAATTTTCACGTTAAAAAATGCTGTCTAACCTTACATATTTGATCTTAGCCAGTAAAATAATTTCTGCACTGGTGTGCACTACACTTGTTGAGTCGACCCTGTGATTTCTGCCAACTGGCTTCAAACAATTCAACCCAGGAATCTATGAAGTATTTGGTAGCAACAAAACTGCTATCCAGCAGCCCAGGGTTTGGGTCATAGTGACCCATTGCGCTGACATGCTTCATTACAACTTAGGGTACGCGCTTCGAAAGGAATTCATCATTAACTGACAAAATTTAAGCTCCTCAGAGCTCCCAGCCAGTTAACTGTATCAACACGCTGTCCTTTTTTAGTTTCCTAAATGTGGTTCTAATTTTAAAAGTAATAGCTAAAATGAAAGGTACTGAGAACCAAATCTTGGTTGTAAAGGCTGTCATGTTTAAACCATCCATCATCTTTAAAAATACACTCCTGTGCACATGGAGTGATCTGTAACTGCGACTTGTTGCTGAGAGTTGTCGCCTGGTGTGTACTAACCTTTAATTTAAGGCTTAAAGGTCAGTACACACTAGGCGACAAGTTGCAGCGACAGATCACTCCGTGTGTACAGGTCTGGTGACTAGTTGCAGCAACTTGTTGCAGCGACAATCACTTCAAGTGTACTGGAGAAATTTTGTGAAAATCTTTGTCTCTGCAACAGAATTTTGTCACCGCAACAAGTCACACAAATTCTGTCTGATTTGATTTTTTGCAACATGTTGCTGTGACAAAATGCTGTTGCAGAGACAAAGATTTTCACAAAATTCTCCAGTACATACAAAGTGTTTGTTGCTGTGACGAGTTGTCGTGGCATGTTGCTGCAACTTGTCACCTAGTGTGTACCAACCTTAAAAGTCTTTAAAGAAAAACCACTACTCTGCAAAAACACATCGGCAATTAAGGGTTGGAAGAAACATACAGCATAACCTAAATGATAATTGATAACTTCACACCCTCTGAAGAAAAATGGGAAATCCTGGCAATAAAAAGCACAAACAATAACAGTGAGGCTGTGGAGGTCCATTCTTAAAATGCCGAAGGTGAAATACCTGTGCATATGATATTTTGATAAAAAAATAAGAAAGAAAAAACCCTCTCTTGGCACCCAAGGTACGGTTCTGTGCCCTTGAATGGGCAATATAATTATTGTTACTTTCTCAAAAAACTGGCTATTTTCAACAGAAGTCAGTAATCCCCCCTAGATCTGCACCTGGCAAGCACAGCCAGTGTTCTCTCTAAATTTTAGCTTAGCAAGTAAGGGACCATTCATGGCCAGTAAGGCACACTAGCTGGGAAATTTAGGCGCTAAGTTCACTGAAATGTCATTCCCTCATTTAAAGACCTATTTTACACAAATCGGCCGCTGTTATTTTTAAACAACAATTTTTAAAAACGTTTGATTACAATAATTTTACGCTGTCTTCAATGTTTTCCTTTCAAAATGAGTGGCCCATAAAAAGGAGAGCTGTGTGTTTTGGTACTCTCCCATATATATTAATAATTCTTTTTTTTTTTAATTTTAGTAAACCTTCAAGTGGTGAGAAGTGTTGCTTCAGGTCGTAAATTTTACTGATTACCACCTAATAAGCAGAACGCTGACAGGCAATCAATAATCTCTAATTTGATCATGCTGTAAAGATTAACTAATACTCATTAGAAGGGGACTTAACACTAGTGATTGAGGACCCTAGGGACACATGCAAGATGTTGATTAAGGTATTCCTCCTTCTTGGTTTACTTTAAATTCAACTATTTTTAGCCTGCAAACGCAGACGTATTTCTGCTTGTTGAAAGTTTAATTATTACCATGGTTTTACAAAATTGATTCTAAAACATGATCGCATGAGCATTACTGCACCATGTTCCATAACTTACTGTTAGTTAAAGAATCATCAATCTATTATTATAAATAATTTATCTGAATTCTATTATTGATAAACAGAAAGGGCTCATGCATCTGTTGGTGAAACATGATCACTCAGTTGGTCAATGATAAAACCTTGATGTCACAGTAAAGAACATCCAATCAAGTGACATGCGATGAGTATTTCTTCGAGGCTAGTTCTGTTTCACATAATTATTATCTTACTGTTCAACGAATTCTCCACTTGCAGCACAATTAAGTACCCAGCTTCAGGGACTCCTCTCCCAAGTGTTCAACCAATGAATCTTATCTTGGTTTTCAAAGTTAGTCTCTTTGGCAAGTAATAACAATTAACGAACTCATGCTGTTATTCTTACAGCTTCTGTCAGCTTCCTTCTATCTTGTTGTGTTTGGAGAGAAACACCAACTCAGCCGCCGGTTGCATTGTACGGTTCTGTAACCTAGAAGCACCTGTTCTAAAGAATGCTGTGGCAAGGCCACTTTTCTGTGGAACACCTGTTGTGATTCATTTACAGAGATGTATGGTGCAAGTCTTCGATATCACTTTTGGGTACCATAATCTCAGGATCTGTTGAATTCTGCTCCTCATGCGCATTGCATGGGCGAATCAGGTAACTACAAGAAAAATAACACATTTTCAATGTATGATTCAAAAGAGGGAGCCCCTTTAAGTCTTGTTCTCCAATAATATTTGGTCGAACCTCCATGTGCAACCTGCATGTGCCAATTATAAGCAACCACCTCGCAAAAGTGACCTTATTTCCATACACCAACATTTTCCAAGTCAAATCCCAATAATCAGCACCTCTGGGTCAGTGTAATATATTAACTTATTTGTTTTCTTTGTTTAATGGTTTATTGTCAGGGTTAGGTTCATTGTTAAGGATGTTTTGTTTTCTTTGTTTTACATGAGCTGTGAGTAATAAATTATACTACCCCAGAGATGAGTTGCACCTCTTGTTAAAAGACCACCTCTCATAGGCGACTGCGACCACTTAATTGGCCTGATGGTTTTTTATTTTCCATTGTCTTTTCCCTCTCATAAGAGACCACTAAATTAATGACACATGATGGGGTCTCCCAACTTTCAGAGACAACACTGAACCATTATGAGTAACTTTGAGATTCAGGGTATGCAATAAATTATCTTCTATAATTAGATGTGTTGGGACTTCTTCTCAGATGAGACCCACTTTTTGATTACTCGACCACTAAATCTTATGATCTCAAATTGTCCCTTTGGAGATTAAGTTCAGCTGTATCTCTTCTTGCCCCTTGAAATTGGTCTCTGTACAGTCCAACAGGAGAGATAACTCCCTGAGATTTCTTTAATCATGTTCGTTCACTTCAGGCTGCAAAAAATCACCCCACCCCCATGCATTTAGTCTCCTTTGCAGCCGTTTTTAGGGTCATGATGCGACAAGCGTTGTGTGACAACCCTAACAACGGCTGTGAAGGAGACTACCATGCATTTTGATGAAGAAAACAAAACTCCTGAAGAATTAGTTTAGTTTTGGAAAAATTATGAGGTTGGATCAAGTGGCTCCAGTGAGACATAAAAAGTCACGCTACATTCAAACATGCCTTAATTGGTATAATGATGAGATTGCTAATTTGGAGATGAGATTTAGACAGAGGCTAAAGGGTAAGATAAATGGCATACTACTAGTCTCAAGAACGACAGATCACGCTACCTTCAACAATGTGGAATGATGAATGCATTGATTTATAGATGTAAACAGACCTATTACTTGTTATACAATGATGTGAAAGCTACACGTGTTGTGATTGGTGGTTGCCCATGATCTGATGTCATGGGAAACTTGTTCTCTTTGTTTTGTTCAACATGGTGCCTGGTTTTGAAAATGTTTGTGAGATAATTTTAGATTAAGAAAGTGAAAGCCTTGTAAAAAGCTTAGCAGGAACTATTCCAATACAAAGAAGAAAAATGGAGAAACGGAGACAAAAAGAGTTTTAACAACTTGAGAACGCCTAAACTGCAAGGAATCTTCACAACAGTTGCTATCGTGTGTCATCGCTACGACAGACTCGCTGCTTTGCAAAATGTTTTCGTCATTATTCTACATTGAGCAAGTAAAGACGATTAAAAACTTTTCGAAAAAACTGTACACAAGTAGGATGACGAAAAGAAGAAGCCGAGACGAAAAGTAGCATTTGGGACTTAAAAAATGCCTAAATTAGCACAAATCCTCAAACAGTCAAGCGGTATGATGCAGGTATGTGTATCCGTCTTTTTACTTTTCTAATCAGTGTACAAAACAAAACTAATAGATTCCATGTTGCTGTGGGTCTGTTCAGTAATAGATCACAGAAGACGTCAAAATATGGTAAAAGTGTCACTTCCTTGTTTTTACCACATTTTGACATCATCTGTGATCTATCACTGAACAGACACACGGCAATATGGAATCTATTTTTAATGCTCATTCAGGCCAGTGCACATGATCCATCCAAGATTCACTGTATACTAGCATATCCTAGCAGTGGAAAAAACATGATGCCTTTAAGGAAATAATATGGTGAGATTCCAGTCGCTTTTGTAATATTAGACAAGAGAAATCCAGTTGGTCCTCCATTAAGTGGCCCTGTATTTTTAAAAAAGTGGCCACCTCGATCTATAAGCCACCGCGTCATGGCCACTGTTTTGACCATCCAGCCAGTTCTCCTATCGTTTTAACCTCGACCTACTTACATGATATCGCCTGCCTTCAACTCAAATTCCGGTGGGGGGTTGACTATCACATATGAATTCCCTGGTCTCTGCTCCATGTCAGCTACAAAGAACCAAGCAAGAAAATACACGTAGCATACCCAGGAAATGACTCGTTTACTTCAGGTGTAAGGTTAGCTCTGTGTTTAGCACAGAAACATTGAAAAACACACAACAATTTGGGAAAAAATCTCTGCTGTTTGCTGAAAATTAAATTTTATATTTGATTGGCAGAGGTATTTCGCTCATAATTCCTTTGATAATGTGGCCCCGGTTGTTAAAACACTATCCAGCTGATACGTTTTGCATTCTTTTGGTGAGGACAAATTGTAGCAAATTTAATATTCGCTTTAAGGGAGCTGTTCCTTGGAATAATATTGAAGAATCTCTTAAGTGTCTTACTCTTTGCAATACTGTAAACAGTCGTTGAAGAAGGCTATTTTCATTTCATATTAAGTTCTTTCTCTTCCAATATTTTCTCCAGTTCCTCAATTCTTCAGTGGTTCATCTGTGCGTGTGTTTCTTTTCTCTTTTCCTTTCTTTGTTTGTTGGGGTTTTTTTTACATTGTTTTATACTTGTGCCTCCTAGCTAGGTTAGCTTTTGAGCTATTTTCAAAGTGGCTTGTACCTTACATAATTAGCATTACCTTTCTTTAACGTCTTTTTGTTGGTGTGTGGTATAAATAAATTTCTTGCCTTAAGGCGCTTTCCATTTGTCAGAACTGACCGGCCAGACCATTCCCGTCATAATGACAATTTCACTTTTAATCAAAGCTATCCAGCCACATTAGTCAAATCCTAAATAGTGTGCATGAAGGCGGTGGCTTTTCAACAAAAACTCTTGGAAAAAGCTATACTGCTTTGTCAATATGACAGGTCCGGCCGGCCTGTTCTGACTTCTGGAAAGCACCCTAAGTATTACGGAAACCATATCCACTGGATAGAGATTTATTTGTCTACTAGACAGCGTTATCTGCCATTTAACAACTGGGCCCTGCCTTATATCACATCCCAGTTCCCTTTATCTGCTGGTTTGGGTTAAACTCCAATTGTGGAGTAACTTACGTTCAATTTCAAGGATATTTAGAGTCTTCATTCTGTTTTTAATGATGTCCTTGATGTCTCCAACCTCCTTCTTTCTACGCTTTGGGCAAGCATCTACACAGTCCACCTGGGATTAAAAAATGTCGAAAGAGACCGCAATTAAATCAACAGAGTTAAGTTAACTGATTCCCTTAACTCTATCACTTGAAATAAATGTGCAGGCACACTCATGAAGCCTGTCAAACAAAGCTCCATCAGGTGTACATTTTAGTACATTTACCAATGAAAGGATTGCATACACTATAAATACCACTCACTTTCTAATACGATAAAATAATTAACAATTACTGGACGAAGTTGAGCAAAATATCATGATTTGTCGGTGGCGAGATCAATTATTTGTGGAAGCCAAAGGCTGAGGCAAATAATTGATTTTCCAGACACAGACAAATCACAATATTTTGCGATAACCGAGTTCAATAAGTGTTTTATCATTTGGTCACCGTATTTCTTTTTTAATGAGTATCTGCCATTTTCATGCAAGAGAGATAGCAAGAAGGAGAAAAGCGTGGTTTCATTTACGAATGAGCAGAATATTATTTGCAGCCAAACAAAGTTGAACAACACTGCACATGAGCAGACCATTATTTGTGGGCATTTATTGACAAGTCACATGGGAGGCTCTTGGCCAATGAAAGAGAAGAAAAATTTGCATTGAATGATAATATGTATTACCTGTTGTTTACGTTGTTGAAAAAAGGCAAAATTAGGCAACGTCGTAGTAAGGCAGTGATGGCATAGAAATGTAACAAAAAAGTGAGTAGCCTGAATTTCAGATGATTACTTCGAGTTGTTTCCTCCTCTCAGCATCGTCTGAATCAACTGGCCGTTAGTGTCGTCCAGTGACATCACTACCTTAAAACCGGGTAGTGATTTTGATTGTTTGATTATCCAATCATTCGCATAATTATGAGAAATTTTAGCGGGATTGCAGTTTGATATTCAGCTGATCGCATGCCTGGCATCCTTGCATGGAGTTAAAAAATTTCGACAATCTTTATTAAACAGCAAAATTGCCCTTGTCTTTGAAACTATGAATTGTTAAATTGAACTACGAATGAAGAATCATTGTGGAGAGTCTGTAGGTTTTTCATTTAGAGCCACTTTGTAGTTATGGCGGTGACTTTGTTTGTGCGAAGTTTCCTGGGATTCAAGTTATAATTCTACCTTCTTGTCGTGAAATGATTTTGTTAGCTTTTCTTTCATGTTTTCTTTCTTCTTCGTTAATGACCAAATAGCTTCTTAATTTTCAGTTAAAGCAAATTGTTGTGTTTTTTTTAAGTGTTCCTTGTGTGTATTTAAGCTTAATTCATTGCATGATTTCTATCTGGTTTGATTATTGAATTACAAGAGATTCATTCAGAGTACTGCATGCAGTTGACAGTTAATTTACACGTTAAACATGAATTACAATAATAAAGAGTAAAGTGATTCTTTATCATATAGACTTTGTTTGCCAATTGAAAATCGTATTTTACTTTTTGCATGAATTAAAGCAACGGAGTAGTGACGTCACTGGACGGCATTAATGACTGGTCGATTCAGACGTTACCGAGGGAAAAAAAGACTTGAAGTAATCATCTCAAATTCTGGCTAAAAAGTGAGCTCCACATGCATAGTTGTTGTTTTGATGGACTACAATATCTTGGAATGGACACGTTTTAAGTCCAACGATCCTCTATAAGATTGTGAGAACAAGGTCAAATGGAGGGAAGCATTTGCCAGGTAATCGGTGGTGTCCCAACTGTCATCACTGACTATGGGATAGGTGGCTGGCAGGTTTAATAAATATCAAAGTTTTAAAAAACAATTATATGATGACAAACCCATTTACAGGCAAAACTAATAGTTTCTTGTCCAGATGAGGTAGGCACCATCTTTATTCTTTATTCTTAACTTAAGGTCCATCCACAGATACTTCTTTGTCTCAATGCAAGGCAGGAAATATCCTGTTCTTACCTCAGGAATACGAGTCCGGTAAAGACCAATAGGAATTGCACAGGTTGTTGAACAAAGTCGCTGGAACAGTCTTCCATAGGTTTCTATCCAGATATGATCTTCTCTCACTTTGAGCTGACATGAAGGAAATATAATGTGAAAACAACTCTGAGAATGGGCTTAATATTGATGATAATCTCTCTTGAAAGGCCCACATACCTGACATCTAAAAAAACATCTCCTCAAGCACTGGTGTGCTTAAGCGAGTCAGGCCATTTGTTTCCATGCTCACTGCAGTTAAAATACACAAAAATCCTTAGCTTGCAGGGCTCAAAGTTTAAATTTGAGTTTCAGAGCACTTGTGCTACCAGATGTAAATTTTTAGGCGCACTGCCGAAATTTTAGGCGTACAGCTGAAAATTTTAGGAGCACAGCTTATAATGTTAGGAGCATCTATTTCAAAAGAAAAAGTAAAAAGCTTAACAGTACCACGTTTATTTGTCATCTTCAGTTTGTTACTTTTACTTCAGTCCTGTGATTGATAAAACACAGCCGATTTGCTACGCAGTAGTACCGTTGTGATTTCTAATACTAATTTCTCTTTTTGACAGCACAGTTGTGACTAAAGAAAACTTACACTTGAAAAACAATTCAAAACTGACAACAATGAGTGTGTCGAACGAGAATGAAAATTAATCTTTAATGAATGTGTTAAATGCGCAATGACTTACATGTAACTGAAATACGACTTTAAAAACTTTCTTACCTGGAAAAAAAGGCTCTTAATCCACACTGTTTTTGTTTTGATTGACGTTAAAACTGAACATTCGACATGATTGTCCATTGCGCAAAAAGTACGTGTTTCGTAGCATATATTTGCATGTGTCAGCAGTGTTTAATACAAAACAGAAGAATCTGGGATGGAGTAAAACATCGAAACGAAAAAGAACATTCGAGTTCGTAGAATCCATTAGGAGAAAAGACCAATTAAACATACACCGTCTTTCTAGTTTGAGTTCGTAAGTATAGTCGGAAGTAAGTCAGTCGCACTGTGCTTTTGGTTTAACAGCGCACAGGTGCGATTACACATGAATTCGCATATGCGACCAGTTAGTCGCTAACTTTGAGCCCTGGCTTGTTTCATTTCACCCCATTAGCCAAGCAATCCGGCCACTGCGACCAACGCTAAGCGGCAGTTTGTTTTCAAAAATCCAAGCAAAAGGACGACAAAGAACCGAGTACAAGTTCATCATGACACAAGACCGTTGAAAACTCGCTTGTGTAACCCTGTCTCGTCTACAAACAACTCAAGGGGAGCCGGGTTCGAAACAAAAATTGTCGATGACATCATTGTCTCAAACGATGACAAGTGACAGTGTGGTAACCTCGTGAGCTTAGATTCGGTGTTGGATTTGAGGCTGCTTGTACATTTTAAGCTAAGGATTTTTCGCCTCTCACATCGGGCATCCCGAACTGGAATGTATAGCCTTGTCCTTTCTCTTAAAGTGGAAACTCGGGGTTAAAGGAAATTGCTTACATCGCAATGGATTGGGAAAATAACCACACAGCGGGCAAAAACAAGTAAACTAAATAAGGTAAGGTGGATATTTCTTTTAAAATCCTAGCGAGTATTTATCTTCTTATGTTCACGGCCATTTTAAGGATTACACATTAATATGAAACCACATGTATTAAAGATTAGACTCTCACACTGAGCTTGGGCTACCTGTGGTCGCAACAGTTAAAAAATCACTACAAAATTGCGGTGTTAAAGCAAGGTTTTAGCCAGCTGCCTCAAGCTACCTCAAGCGTACCTTTAGTTACAGTGGTGCTCACTTATGGAACAACCTTCCCGAGGATGTACTTTAAGAGAAACATTCACTCTAGGTTTGCTAATCAGTACTCCCACACAGCAAATATGTGAAACAGTTTATAGAGAATTTAAATTATTTGCTATTATTATACTGATATTTTAACTGTGTATAAATAAACTTTATCATCTTCATCATCAACTCAAAAGGGTAATATGGAGAAGAAATATTGTGACAATGGAAAATTGAAATCATGTTCAGAAAAAAAAGTAAATTACAAATAGTGATAAGAAAGAACCTCTGATTTGCATAATTTTCACTTTTCAATGCTATTAGTGTCAAAATTCCACACCACAAGGGCACACATTTGCCTGTTCCTCTTTAGAAATCATGTCCTTCTTGAAAGAAAAAAAGCACCCCATCTGAGGGGAGAAAGTGAGATTGCCGCATGTCCACATGGCAAGATTTGCTTTTACCTCTCTATGATAATTCTTGTAAGTAAATCAACAGTTGATTAAGAGAGAGTAACACATGATTAAATAATGAGCTTTCCAACTCTGTTCTATGTTACACTTTACTGTCTCTTTGATCAGTTTTCTCTGTAACATAACTACAGAATTGTGTTCCTTACCGAAGACAAGTATCCTGAACCCGGAGCCTGTTCACAGCCTAACATCAGTCTAACCAATTTGATCATGTATGTCTTCACAAATGCCTGCAAAGCAAAACAGCAAATCTGAATTTCCAGATACAATCAGACTTCCAAATCATTTCTGATCACATGTAGCATAGTTCAAAAGGATTCAAGCATACCAGAACTGTCTGGGGAGCAAGGATGGCTGGCCCAGTGGTGAGAGCAATCACCTCCCACCAATGTGGCCCCGGTTCAAATCCCAGCACTGACGCCATATGTTAGTTGAGTTTGTTGTTGGTTTATTAGTTTGCTCCGAGAGGTTTTTATCCGGGCACTCTGGTTTTCCCCTCTCCTCAAGAACCAACACTTCCAAATTCCAATTCGATCTGGAACGCATAAGAACTCCTACGTGCTTCGTGGGTAAACAAATTACACTTTTTTTTTACAAAGCAGGAATTGGTTGACTCCTCGTAAGAGCGACCATTGCACTTGCCAGTCAAATTGTGGAACTGATGACCGGCTTGTGTGAATTGATTTTGAAAAAATACAATAGCCGAGCATGCACTAATTTACAGCCCAGTTAAATGGAGGTATTTTTAATAGTGGAATGTAAGTTGTGCTGATGTGAACTGAAACCAAGCTAGACACAACAGCAAGGACTATAAAATTTTCAGACATGCATTTCATGGCATAATAATAAGACCAGGCTCCTTTATTAGTCCTAAGAAAATAAGTACCTGGTAGAGAAGAGTGTCAAGCATGCTCATACTAAACACATGTCCAGCAGCAAATGGCTCTCGGAACATGTAGTTGAGATGGTCCTTCTGCTTAACTCGCCTCTATAATAAAATATATATCAATTGTGTGAACAACAAAATACACTTTTCGCAGCACTTTTCACAATGATCACATTGTCAGCACACTCGGTTAGTTTTAAAATTGCACCTTCATACTCTCTCTGAAGCTTCGTGTCTTGAAGTTGCTCATGGATTCACTCTTCATTTCCGGTGTAAGTGACAAGTCTGCATTGAACTTCATGAAACGCATGTTAGATGCATGTGTTAGCTCAACAATCAGGGTTGCTCTCGGAAAGCATCTGGAGAAAAATTCAGAGAGTACATCTGTCTGCATGCATGCACGCTTCACTCATGAGGGAACAAGTTTATAATCATTTTCTAATCATCGTTTAGTCATCTCCAGTTACTTTTGGTTCAGCAACGCAGCAGTAAAAAGGTTCAATTCTATTAGTAACAATATCACTGAAACGCAGATTTTTTAAACATATCAAGCAGAGCAGCTGGTATATGAGAGCAACTGCCTCTGTGAGGCACCTCCACATTTAAGTGAGATAAAGAGTTTTGACTTCCAAACCTCTGTCTGAGCAGAAAGCAAACTGTGGACTTAGGGAATGAAAGAGCCAAAGAAGCTGGGGCTAATGTATGTTTGTTACAAGACGTTTTGTCCAAAAGGCCACATTTTTCCTTTCATGTAAAATCTCGTTCCAAACGCCAAATTAATCTAGGTCAGACTCTTTTACTTCAAAATCATAGGGATTTGCCAAAGAGGGGAACATCAGTGAGACTAACAGCACTCTTGTGTGCTGTGGCTCACGAATGGGCCTGTCATAATGGGTTACTGGGAATACTAAGTGTACCTGTAAATGCTTTGTACATCTACTATAGTAGTGGCATCTGCCATGTGATCTTCATCATAGATCTGACCATGGGACCGATAGCCTACCACGACTATGCTGTCAGCATGAAGACAACCCGCTTTAAGAAGGTCGTCCAAACTACAAAGAAATAACATTGATTGTTTTTTAAATGGGATATTCTTGAAGTGAGAGTATATATAGCCTGCGAGAAAGCCCTTCATTTGGGGGAGTCGTGAGAAGTCACGCGACAGCAGCGCCCAAAAGGAGGCCCGAGTGCCAGAGGCAGGGAAAAAGGGAAAGCTTGCAACGATCGCTCATAAATTTCCATTTCCACCCCGGAAACCACAGGAAACTGCAAAAGCTGTCACAAGAAATGTGTCAGCCGTCTGTCAGTTACCCGCATCAGGCCAAGCCAAACACGCCAGTTATGCTAGCGTTCCCGAGCAAAATATTACACAATTTTGACAAAACTAAAAGAAGACTATATTGGTCTGGACCTTCTGGTCTGGATTGTAGCCTACAAGCTGAGTCGGACCAACAGTATGCATTGAATTCAGCGGATAGGTGTTGCAAAGCTGCTGCATTCTGTTTAAATTTCAGCGTCATCAAAGATTGCGTTTGTTACTTTCCACTGTGTCAGAAGAAAAATGTTTATCCACCACTGCATTGGTTTTCGTTTTCTTGAGGAGATCTATCTTAAACATATGCACTTGGATTTGAAATCAGCTGATTTCGTTGGGGGAAAACGTTTGAACACAACAAACACAATGAGATTAGGTATCGTAATGCTTTCCTGGCAACCCCGTCTTGGCCTTCTGATTTGCTGCTTTATATATTCCATGGAGTTGAAATCCAAACAGCACGGTGAAATATTCAGCTGCACAGTCCTAAGAAAATCCGCGTTCACCAATCACAGAGGGAAAGAACGATCTTGTTCTTTGCCGGAGAAAGCAGCGATCATAATATTCCCAATTTCCATAAGCATCATGTTTCTAAATGTACGGTAATGACAACCTCGTTCCCAGGGTTCTCTCCTACCCGTAGGGCGGGTAGTAGGGAACCCTGGGAACGAGGTTGCGGTAATGATTTTGGCGAGGAATGACATCAATCAAAATTAATTGATGGTGCCTCATTTTTCAGCCAGTCGTATTTTGCTTTGTCTAAGCGAAGCAGAAGTGAAAATTTGTAAGAGATTGTTGCAAGCTCTCCTGTCCTCCGCCCCATGCGGCGTCGCCACTCACTTGTGCATTCTTTCACGGCTAGCCTCACTTGCCATAAATAGAGAGCTTGCTAGCTGTCTATATGTCATATTAAAATATCACCAGTTTAATTGCTCTTGTCAAAGGCATCCATTAAGAACTATTAATCTCTTACCTGTTTATAGTTCCTACCATATAATAGAGCATAGGGAAATGACGAACTGCCATTAAGAAATCTTCATTTGGTCTGCAACGAAACATGATATTGCTAGTAGAATGTGCACTGGCCTAATAAATTCCAGAGAGATACAGTGTAGTTCTAACAATCCCATCATTAGATACGCGTGACGAACCCCTAAGAACGTCTGCGTGGGAGGCTAAAGAGCTGCAGGATACACTTGATACATTGGTGGGTGGTTAGGTGGATGGATCACGCTACAAGGGTTAAAATTTTGAGCTTGGGTAAGGAATATTAAAGACAGCAATTTTCCAAACTTGTCAGGGTGCAAAGGAAGTCGTGTCCGATAGCCCGGGGCTAGTGGATTTTGCTATCGGGCTAGCGATTTTTGTTCTAAACTTGCCCGACGGGCAAGGACTGTTTTTTGGGGAAATTCAAATTATACAAGGATTATAATCAATCCTGCTAATCAAAAAGGGTTTTGGGGCTAGTTGAAATGACTTGCGGGCTAGTACATGCTAGCTAGAGCTTGCCCGAATGGCAGGCTGTAAAACTGACTTTCCTTGCACCCTGCTTGTCGTGTAGCTTGTAGGACAAATCTTGTTTAAATGTTGTTGTATCATGGGAAGAAATATCATGGTTCACCAGTGCGTCAGCGTATCATTACAGCCCTAACTGTTGCATAAAAACTCCTCCATGGAAATGTCTTAGTTACTATTCTGTTTTCGGAATGAATGAATGAATCATGCAACAAGGGCTAAATTTTAAGACGGCAATTTTCCAAACTTTTCAATGTAGCTTGTAGGACAAATGTTGTTGTATGACATCGGAAGAAATATCATGGTTCACCAATGCGTCAGTGTACCATTGCAGCACTACCAGTTGCATACAAACTCCATGGAAATGTCTCAATTACTATTCTGTTTTCTTTTCTTTTTCTTTCCATTAATGTGTAGATTTATAATAGCCTTCGTCCTATATAAACAACATGCTACTCACTCTTCTTTAAGAAGAAGTACTATAGGTTTAAGGGTACACTTGGGACGTTGGTATGCTCTCAAAGGAAGAATGAAGTTGTAAAGACCAGCTTCAGCTACAGGAGATGCAACAATGATTGCCCCATGCTGTCTCTGATGTAAGTGGGCACTGTCATTGAGATCCCTGTCTAAACATGCCTTAAACAAGAAAGGCAAATAGTACATTAGCTCTATTTCCAACAGTAAAGTAAGGGAAAATGTTTATTAATCTCTGGATGAAACAGGGTGTGACCATTCAAATACAAAATGTCTTCAGCAATAATATATTGATTTATGGTTTCAGAAAGAAGGTGTTTCATTAGACACTGATCCACCCTTTCAATTTGAATTTAACATATTACTTCAAATTTGAGTTTCTACATTAAATACAAAATAAACTTACTCTGGTTTTGCATGTCATTACAATAGGGAGAGAATTAACACTTATAACCCAAATAACAAAAAGCCTATTCAAGAACAGAATGCACCTCCTCCTTTTCCTTCTATCTCAGCTCTTAAGAAACTGACCTCATTTCTAAGTCCCAAACAGCAAGCTTTCTTAGGATTCTTAAGAAGATGGCATTTGATAGGTGTGTGACCTATGTAAAGAGAGCAGGGTGGAGCACCAGCCATATAACTGTAGAAACAAACAAAGAACAATCACAGTTTCACTCTTCCACTAAATATTAAATATTCCAAATTTTGGAACAGGTTAAGGGACAGTAGGACAATCACGTGACTTTTGGAGGGCATACAGTTTATTTGTGGCCTGAGTAGCATCATTGCGAGGGTGCAAATGATGTTACAAGGGATTGACACAAATAAACTATATTCCCGGCAAAAGTCATGTGATTATCATTATTATCAATATACAAGGTCAAATCGTACAAATTTATTTCATGAGGAAAGATTGTTTATCATGAAATCACGTTGCAGGCTGCAATTTCATTTAAAGCCCGCACTTTACCATTTGGCCAAAGAAAAGGAGCGTTTTAGAGAGGGCAGTTTGTCATTCGGCCACGTGTAGTGATAATAATGTGGATTCCGCTATATCTATATATATTTTTTGGCCATTGCTTACTTCTCCTTAGAATTAGAAAATGTACAGAATAGTGTGGGTTTAACTAATGACTCAGTAAGGTGTATAACACTAGGATCACACAACAACTGGAAAGTGCTTCTTGCTCCTGGGTGTTTCTTGGAGTTGCAGATCGATACCTTCGTTGATTAGCTAATGTGTTGTGGTTTGGGTGTTAAGTACCGTTCAACTGTTTTCATATCAATCAGTGATCACACCCTGCACAAACACAAAGAAAAACTACCAAGCTCCTGACTGATGTCACTTCAACATTGAGCCACTCAGAGACCCCCAAAAAAAAAACCTCTTAAGGGTATCCCACTGACAAAGATCATAAGAGCTGTAGTAAATAGGAAAGGAGACATGACAACCATGCTCAGTTTTAGCTCACTGACCTTTTGAAGGGGAAGGGAAGGAAGCCAAGGCCTGCATACTTGATGCTGTGAACTATCTCTCAAGGGACACTTAGAGTTGGTCCCTGCCTCACTTTATTTTGTTTATTTGACTCTCTTATCAGGTGAACATCACTCTAGGGCACTTAATACATCTCCAAAAGGCGTCTATTTTAGAGAGAGTTGCCTGTATCCTAATATTTATAAGTACCTTGGTATTCTACTTGTATCATCAAGCAAATCCATTTCCTGTTGTGAAGACTCTTCATCATCTTCTAAATCAGATTCACTTGGTACATATGAATTTGATGACCTTCTGGAGTCTCCTATATCAAACATAACTTCCTTAGTAACTCCTTTTTTCCCAGGAGATCTCTCACTTTGCTCTGGTTTGAGTCTTGAGGAGGAGGGAGCAATTTGATCATTGGAGTTACCATGATCAACACCATTGGCAGGAGCTTCATCCAGGTATTTCAGGCTCACTATAATGAAAAACACTAAGTCTATCAGAATTAATAACGTAGAAAGTGTTTCATTATCATGGTTTTAAGCCTCCTTGAGCCATACATGCTTTACCAATTTTATTCAGATTGTTGTAACACTCAAATATAGGAAGGATATGGAGGAAATAATCATTGAATATTATTATTGCCTATTATTATTAAAGGAGTGAACAAAGTGACCATCAAATGTTCACTTTTTTGACAAGAACATACAACACAAGGGACATGTAAGGTCAAAGTTAAGTAGTTTATTTGGAGACAGGCACCCCATTAATTAAAAGAGTATTTGTACCTTCATTCAGAAAAAGTTTTTAACTTTTATGTGACTTAGGAAACAGTATCATGAAGGATGGCAAGAAGATAACTTGTAACTATTTTAGACTTCCTTCATAGCATACAAATAACGTTTTCCCTCTTCTCCCTTTTTTTTTCTTTTTCTTTTTATGTGTGCATTTGTGCTTCAGTTTTCTTGCTGACCTGTAATTTTATTTTATTTAACGCTGATGTCAACTGGCTGCCTGGCTCCGCTAGCCCCCATGGTTATTCAAGGCAGCCAGTGCTCTAATTTTACTTTTAATATTTTCATGGTCGAATTTATTTTTGAGCAAGAGTGAGTACAAATAAAGATTGTTGTTGTTGTTGTTGTAAAATGAGCTTGCAAACTAAGTGTGGTTCTCAAAATTTATGTTTTTTCCTGACTAATAATAATAATAATAATAAGTAGTATACCGTAAACTGCCGCTTATAAGCCCTGGGCTTATACAAGTTCGTAAGGGGTTTTGGGTGGGCTTATAAACGGGGGGCTTACATCCGGATGGGCTTATAAGCGGACGAAAAAAACGTTTCGAAATGAGCAACAGCACTGTTGATCGACGTATGATTTAAATTTATTACTCTTACAATTGAAGCCTTAAAAAGGCAGCAATAAATCGAATTCAGTTAAATTTCAAAACAAAACTAAAACTGTAACACAAGAAAAACTGGAGGGGGGCTTATATCCGGATGGGCTTATAATCGGATGTATTTTTTTGTTTGCATGTAGGTGGGCCTATAACTGGGGGCGGCTTATAAGTGGATGGGCTTATAAGCGGAAGTTTACGGTATTGGGCTTGTAATCTATAAGTATTATGACACACCTTTACCTAAAAAGAAGCAGCTTGTGAACTAGAAACAAAAATTCACCTGGCTCAACTGCATCCGTACGCAGTTCAAGTGCTACAGAACTTGCAGTTAGAACTGAATCATTTCTGTAGCGTACGCTGTTTTTAAAGAGGCCCACTGAGGACTGCTTGGGTTCTTTATATGCTTTGATGTAAGAGTCTTCTTCACTTGAGATAGCAATGTAGTAACACCGATCATCATAATCCATTATATGGGTGGGGCCAGGGTTTAATAAAATCCTTCGGCTTTTCTTAGCAGCACAAACTGCAAAAAGGGTCACTCCATACCTGACAGGAAAGAAGCGCGTATTACATATGATCAGATATCTTGTAATGTTGAATGAACCAAATTCAAATTCACAATTCAACAAATGATCATAAAATTTTCTCAAACTGCCTCAGGAAACAGTACGTTTCATAAAATTCTCCTGATCAAACTACTGACGAAAAAGCAACAGGAAAAATATGGCCTTTTTGGGGAGTGTTTTCAGTCCTATTGACAGTCAAACCATTATTCATCATCACTTCCTCACTAGTCAACATCCTTCTATGTGATGTTGGGCCACCAAGATAAACTTAATGAATACCCTGAACTAACACTTACAGCAGTTACCAATAACCGAGTCCTTAAACCATGGAAACAGTTGATTGGCATCTACGAAAACTCAGGTTTCTGGTAACCACTAAAAAAGTAATTAAATTAATGCATCCACCTACTTGTTATGAACATGAAAGGCGGTATGTGTAAATGTCTTGCCACAGTAAGGTCTAAACATCTTGCTGGCACCCAAGCGAATGTCGTATATTTCATTTCCTGCGCACTTGCCAAACATCTCATGCCAATCCTCTGAACCACGCCTTAAATGCAACAAGTGGTATTGAATACAGCACAAAAGTTTGAGTTGATAGAGTAAATTGCCTACTACAGAGACATAAAAAGGCTCAATGGATTGAGAGCAGTCTAAAAATACTGGGCCCAGTTGTTTGAACACCGGTTAGCGCTAACCAGGGTTTCTTTTTCTTTTTATCAAAAGCACTCTCTAGGATAGTTTTCACTATTCTTTTTATAGTATCCAATCATCCACTTGTAGGCAAAGAGAATTAAACTGAATTTGCTTTTTAAGCTCTCATATCTGAGTTCAAATTTCGCACTAACCCTGGGTTATTTAACCCAGCTTTGAACAACCAGGCCCTGTAGTCCTTCTCTAGTCTAACTGTATGTAGACACATATGGTAACCAGAGTTCTCTGCCATAGCAATGGCATTCTCTGAATCTTCAAAATGTAGTCAGTGCAGTCACATAATATAAATTATTAATAGTACATACAGTTGAAACTTCCCATCTCTCTTAATTAAAGGTGATCCTCAATGAGCCCTGCACTGATTTTAGTCACCTCAGCAACTACTGGGGATGGATTCAGAGAATATCAACAGAGGACAAATTATTCTACTCTTTTACTTGGAAAATGCACAAATGGACAATATTAATTGTTCTTTGATTGAAACATAATGTTCATGACAAAGATGTTTTTTGGCAAACTGTGACACAGGTGGCTTAGAAGAAAAAATCAGTTTCCCAACAGGCCCTGGTTGTTCAAATGATGGATAGTGCTATCCACCAGTAAAATCTATGTCCAGTAGATAAGTATAAGGGAATTCAACTACACTATCCTCTGGATAGAGATTTATCCAATGGATAGCACTATCCACCTTTCAAAAAACTGAGGCCTGGTTTCTAGTCCAGATGCTTTACTACTGAGCTGCAACAAAAGAAACAAACAATACTATGGTACAACCAATAATTATTGAAATCAGTCAAAACACTGACCATTGAAGGCTACTTACTGTTCATGAAGTGTATGAAGAAGGAGAGTGAAAAAGGTGGAGATTCCCGGACAGACGCAGTTACTAGCCAACAATGCATGTTTAATCTCATCCTCACAAACCAAATGCTCTGAAAAAAACAACATTGGAACCACAGTGTTCTGAATAACTTATCTACCACCTTCTTTCTTTCTGCTAACACCAGCAACAGTAAAAAACAGCAGGTAACCAACATGCCTTATTAGTCGAGTCGGGCATATAATCTCAGGCGTTCCTAGTGGAGACTGTGGAAACTGGGGATAGGAATCGTCACGACTTTCACTGTATGCAAATGAGTCTCGTGATGAGCATGTAGTTTATTTCAGCGATGACTGAAATGACATGCCATATTTTGCCATACGTGCTGTAAAGCGTAACCTTCGGAGCTGAAGGGAATGTGTTCGATACCTGCTACCTCCCATTCTTTGTTTTATAAAGCGTTTTTACGACAAGAAGGAATTTGATACTGATTTTGTTACATAGTACGTTTTCCACAGATAACACATGGCAAACATATTGGCAATAAAAAAAAAGGTGTTGAGAAAACAAGGTACACTGAGTGATACAAACTATTAAATAATTTAAATTTTCTCTCTGGAAAATAATTGTCCTTGTAGCACACGACATTAAACGTTTATGCTTCGCACCACAGGTTCCCGTCACTGCCTGTTTCTTCATACAGATTATTCATTGCCAGTAAGCTTATGTCCTCACGGAGGACTACTTTTTCTCTCTCGCAATGATGTAATTTCTCTCGATTTTCATTTATTTATACACGACTCAATCATCGTCAAGGAAGTGAAAAACTTTTAACAAGGGAATCCTGTTTCATGTAGAAGAGATAGCCACCTTTCTTCTTATCTATCTCCAAGCAAGCAAGACTTTAACCCGTTAAACCCCAATATCCACATACAAATTCTCCAAGCTGGTCTCTATACATTTCCTTAAAGAAAGTGTTGAGAGAATTTGATAAAAGATCAAAGCATTTTCTCTTAAGTGATCAATTTATTTATTCTTATAACCTAATCTCTGGACGATCCATGGATATGGTTAGGAGAAAATTGATGTTGGTCACCATTGGGACTTAAAGGGTTAATGCTTTTAAAGCATTCTTGTAAAGTTATTTGTTGAAATGCTTTACAGCTGTTAAATGACTATAATGCCTTTAGACTGTCCTAAAACAAACACAAATAGCACTTACCAGCAAAGCTAACATGGAATTTGTTTTCTGGCTTTAGGATCTGCACAAACAGACGTGTTGATGGGGCAAAGTCCTGGATAGCCCATGTTCTTAAAATGGTATGTTTGTCCTATATGAAGTAAACAATTGAGAGTAACAAAATCTTCCTATTGTAGTTTTAATTTACAACAAACCAAGTACTTAACATGACAACAATAATATATAGATTTAGCTAGGGCTAAAAGCCAAGCTCTTGCTAATATTTATCGTTTGCTCAAACAAAATATAAAATCGTGTAATTCTAAAGGTGATGTTACAAGAAACAATTCGCAGCAACGATTTTTAGCACAACACAGGGTTCAAATGTTGGAACAATATTGCAACCTTCGAAACAATGATACAACAATGTTGTAACACTGTGTAATGTGCTAAAAATCGTTGTTGCGAACATTGTCCAGTGTAACATCACCTTAAGTGGTGAAGGCAAAGAGAAGGGTGAAAAAACAACAATAGGTCTAATTAGCCAAAAAGCAATTCTGCATGTGCAGCACACTTTTTTGGTACATTTCTTTGCCATTGTTTTGCACAAGTACAACCTGAAACTTCCAGAAACTTCCTAGTTACACGTTTTAGGGAGGAAATGTTATACGCATTCTTGTTCACTTTTTTTTTCACTGCCGCTCATTGTCACCTTGGTGGCCACAAGCATCTCTCATTTTCTCACCGCCGCTACAAAATTTCTTCCAACAAAAAATGTCTCCTTTGTTTTTATCTCTCACTCTAGCTCTCTGCTGCTCTATTTCTCGTTAAGCTTTGCTGACCTGATGCCTACTTTCTCTTTCTCTACATTCCAAATTTGTGGACACAACAAGTTTAATCTAAGTTTAATACTTTAGACAACACGGATATAGAAACAGTTTTCGCATTCTCTTTTGTTTTCATCTTTATTGACTCTTTAGTTTTCTCTGCTTCACAACATGTGGGTGGCTATACAATTCCTCGCCAAAATAACCTTCAGTCAGTTGCATTTGGTATGCCTGTGGTATGGACGGACAGACGCTCAGTTGGTTGCTCGGTCTGGTGGTGTACAGTCACGTGATTTCCAAATTTTCTAGGACGGATAGATTTTCTTAGCTGTGGGGCTACGCTCTCACCGACCTCACATGTGCCTGGAGCTCCGCTATAATAATTTAGTCATTGATAACAGAGCATGCTAAGACTTGCATTTCAGCCCTTGGCTCTCAATAGGATTTGAAGTAGGCATCTGCCCAACCTTAAGTAGGTGGCTGTGACAAACAGGGAGACTGTAAACTCAGAGGGGAGGGGTTGGAGGCATGTTCACAAAGACAATTTTTAAATATGGAAGCTCTGAAAATTATGCAATTTCGAGGCCATTTTGGTTTAGACTTCAACTATTACAGAATTACTACACAACCCATTCGGTCAATTTGTTTTTTAAAACTTTTATCAAAGGAGCAAACTTCAGGCTTCTTGGTATTGTCTTCAGATTGACTGAAACCAAAAAACTTAGTACTTTCTACCACTTGGCCGCCATTATTATTGCCAACTGTGTAGGACTGGAATTGACTAAGTCATTACCATGTTTCACAATGAACAGCTGGGCGAGAGTGAATGTCACTTACACGGATGTTTACATGGTAGAAAATATGGCAGCTGTCAAGTACAGAAGAACCAGAAAGTTTACTTGTTTGGTCTTGAATGTTTTGATTATTTTGTACAATATTATATATGACAAGGAAAACTCAAAATTGGATGAAAGGAATAGGTAGAAAAGACTTGAGCATTAACTAAGAGAAAACCAGCAAATAGGATGCCGGGTGCCAGCTTCTATTGACAACCCTGTGTGCCTAGAGTATAAATTTATTACAAAACAAGTATGACACATTTCATTCTGAAGTGCAAGGTCGCAAGACACTTACAGCAGCTTCTCTGTTGTCTGCATATCTATCAGTCAGGATAAAGCATCCCCCTGCATCCTCAACTCTGCAAAGACAAAACAGGACAATAATGAAAGTAAACAATTTACCAAAACAATTAATACCTGATGATTCTATGTCCACATCACATTTTTAAACACAAACTGTGGATAAAAAAAATTCCTGTGGTGAGAAGACAGCTGGCAAGACTGCATTGAAGCCGGCTACAGTCCACCAGTTTGTGTCTTGGCAGGTAACAGCTCAAAATTCAAAGGTAAATAGTATACAGTATTAACAAATAACCAAAAAATGAAACAAATTTCTAACTCCAAAGAAAGATTCTTGAAATGGACTGGTGAGGGGGGCGTAAGGGGGGTACGAATACCGCAATACCGCACGTGGTAGCGCGAGAATACCGCAATACCGCATCAAAATTTAGCCAAATACCGAAACCGCAGTTACAAATGGGAAAAAGTTGACGTTGTCAATACTACAAATCCTCGTTTCAAATAGAAATAATACTTTTATGTCAGCGTTTCCAAATCAAGGTGCGTCGATGTCAAGTGTACGATAAACATAAGATCATCGCACTCGTTTAGCTTTGTCTATTACATGTATACGTTTACTAAATGATACAACAGGAGTTTTCTAGTATCACTTTATATATTACTGACCTGGATCATAAACGGATGGAATACAGTTGACTCTTATAAGGTTGTTTCAGATTCACAATTAACTAGGTTCTGTGTTGAGGGTTTCAAAACGACGACCGGGCTGCCTTTTTTGGATTCGAAGGGCACACAGTACACACTAGCCTCGTAGCATGGCGGATTTGGTTAGGCGCTAAATAATAAGTCGAAATAAGGTGGGCGTGGGCGAGGAGATTGGGGCGGGGCTGCCGCGCCGCTCACAGTGGTGCTGCCGACAAAACCATGTAAAACTGCCATGCCGGGGTGGGGGCGTGCTTTGGGTTAATATTTGGTTGGTATGTGCCGCTGGCCTCTCAGAGCCCCTACCCCATTACAGTCTATTCTGTGGCCAAATATAGACCCCATCTTAGTCATTTGAACAAATATTTAATTTTCTCGATCCCAATTCCGTCACTTTCTATTTTTATGAATTGACCTTGTTTTAGATTGAATGAAGAACACTTTACTTTTCATCTACAATACAAACATTCTGGTATATTTGCTAACCGTAAATATGAAGAACTGTCTTACCCCAAAAAAGCAGAAAATGTGCGACCCCATTCTAAAAAACTCTCTGAAAATGCGACCCCATTATAGTCAATCCAGTCGTGAAAATGCGACCCCATCCAGCGGCACATCCTCATTAGCCTCTTATCAGGAGGTTCCCCCCCTCACCACCACCACCCCGGGCTACAATGCTACGTGGGGTAAGCACACACGGATACTAGTACATTCTATATTCCTGCATTCTAACGAGAAGGACAAGTAGTAATTTTTAGACCACACCATCTTTATAGATTATCTTTCGACACCACGCAATTTATAACGATCTCACTGACCTCACTATTTGCTGGAATATCTGACTGATCACTTAGTTGACCCTCTGGATCGCTCTCTATTGTTTGGCGACTGGCACGAAAGTGGTGGTAACATTGGTATAAAGGAGGTTAACCAAGCTGACTATACCCACAAGGTCCATGAAGTCATAAATAATGCGACATGTTTACGTATCATTGGATGAAAAAGTTAATGTCGTTAATAATATCAAGTATTAACTGAAATTAGAAGCCATACGATTTGTCTGCATTGTTTGCGCAATAGAATCCCCGACTGTGCACACAGGTCACGCAGGCTAGCCAGGGAGACCTTTTAGGATTTGTATCCTCTTGTCATGAAAAAGAAGCAGATCACCGCGACACAACGATTTTTTCACCGACTACCGCGGCGCAAAATTTAAACTTACCGCAAACCGCTTGGACTCTGAAAACCGCAATACCGTACTTTAAAATAAAAATTACCGCAACACCGCACCAAAAATGACCCAATACCGCAATACCGCAAACCCTTACGCCCCCCTCACTGGTTAAATGTGCGTTTTTTTTAATTTAACTTTTACATGCAGTAGTGCAACACTAACCTAGCTCTTATAAGATCCTCATCAATGAGGGCAGACCCCTTTAAATATGTGACCCGTTGAGACCAGACAGGAACCTGCAAAAGGAGTCTTAATGTGCTGTCCAGTTCAGATGGACAGAGAAGAACTACATGGTGATCCTACAACAAAGTAGAGAAACTAGTGTTAACATTACAGCAATGCAGTGTATGAAGAATTGGCACATAGGATGCCACAGGGCCTCCACTGTGACCAGCCAGGCCCCTCAACAATGAACTGCTCCGATGGCTGGCAAAAAATTTTTGCAATGGGCACATTTTCATTTTGTCTATACATGTACTCTTGCACTCTATGCAACATGCAACTTTTGCAGTTGCGAGAACAAAGCCTGGAAAAAAATTCAGGCTTATATGGGATTCAAACCTTTGACCTCGGCGATACTGGTGCAGTGCTCCGCCACTATTAGGCTAACAAGCCAACTGGAAGCAGGTCATTGAACTGGTTTGTTATAAACCCGTGAAAAGATGATGATGATGAAGTTATGAATGTGTGAAATCATATATGTGAACTGCGGAGTGAAGAACTATTATGAAGGAGGATCATCGCAGTTATATACGCAACTTTTGCAGTTGTGTTCTTTTCACAACTGCAAAAGTTGCATATATAACTGGGATCACCTTCCTTCATAAAGTTAAATAAATCTATGTTATCCACATTTTTAAAGATATCAACAATTTCTCCCCTATTGAAATAACACAAAAAACAAACCTGCAATTTGACATCAGCATAGAACTCATTCAAAAAGTCAATCAAAGTGGTTGGTCTCAGGTTTGTAGCACATAAAACAACATGTTTCTCAGAACCAGCAAGCATGCGGTTAAATGTCCCTCCTTCCTTCTGCCGTGTGACCAGAAGGAAAGCCAGCTGCTCCAGCTATCACAGAAATTAAAAAGAATTTTTGGTTGTCACTATTTTCATGGCACGGCTGAATCTCCATTAATTTTTGAACAGCTCATACTTGACGAAAGCTGAGAAAAAAGAAATCAAGGGGACCACTGTAAAGATAAATGTAGAAGATGTAAATAAAAATTGTAGATGGGTGTTGTACAGAGGTCACCATTGTGGGAGTAGGGGAGTAGGGGTATAATGTGACAACAATCTTTTTGTTAAATTGCAAGACATTTTAGTTTTATAACCAATAATTGATTATTTAACCTAGTCACTGCCAAAGGTGGTACAAAATTCTAAAATTTCATTTTGTCAATAACCACTACAGCATTAAATTGCTAGACACGAGACATTAAATGGACATAGTGCAGTAGGAAACTAAATTGTTTGTGTCTGAAAATGACTGGTCAACATGACCAGCAAGACAAAATCATTAAAGACACATCTTTTTAGTGAGGTTTTTCATTCTTAGTTAGGTTTACTTAATACCTAACACAACCATGTCATTTTCATTTATTTTTTAGCAAAAACGCTTACAGCAAGGAGCCCAAAAGTGTTACCGCTTTGAATTTATTCACATTCTTTCATATACAGGGTTCGTACCCTTTTTAGAACAAAAAATTCAAGGAATTTTCAAGGACTTTCAAGGACTCATTTCCCATTTTTCAAGGACTCCATTTAGTGCAAAAAAGAGCCTTGAGTCTGTCTTTTTTGGTTCTTCCACAACATGAGCAATTTTACCCTGATAGGTCTTTCTGTGTTTGCTCCTTTTAGAACCTTGAGAATCTGTATTGGATAAAGTTAGCACCGAAATTCAAGGACTTTACAGCACCGACTGCAATTTTCAAGGACTTTCAAGGCCTTGAATTTTTATTTTGAAACTCAAGGACTTTCAAGGACTTTCAAGGTGCGTGCGAACCCTGCATGTAGATTTAATCCAATCAGAAGCCAGCTGGACACTGTCCTCGACTTCTGATTGGTTAATGTCTGCATGAAAGAATGTGAATTAATTAAAGGAGCTCGCACTTTTGGGCTCCTTGCTGTGAAGATGTACCTTTTAGTAAGGCTTTTTATTCTTAGTTACGTTTTTTTAATGTTCTTCACAAGACATGATGTAATTTTATTCATCATTTAGTTATTTTCATTCTATGTATAGTTGTTAATTAAATGCACAGTTGATCATCTCGTCATAAAAACATATAAATTCTAAATTATTATTATTATTATTAAGTTTGACCAGTTATTAAAAGTAGGCTGGACAATGTCCACTGACTGTCCTTTATTTTCCCCCTTAGTTGCAGAGAGATTCCTTTGGCAGATGCCATGCACTTTAGTGGTTGCTACAGTAGTGGAGTAGTGGCCATTGAAGAAATGTGAATATTGACTGTCAGCTGTCAAAATAGTGGTTGTTAGTAGAGGTATATTACAACAAAAAAACCTAATGTTGATAACCACAACTTACCTCAACAGGCAGCAGAATAAGTGCACAGGCAATCATGATTATCACAAATGTCTGTCCTGGCCAGTCACCTGGTCTGAAATCCCCATAACCAACTGTACTGAACGTCACTACTATAAACCAAATGCATTCAAAAAAATTCCATGGATCGGGAACTGCTCTCTCAAGGTGATGAATGCCGCATATTCTGTGCATAGACAACACATAATGTTCAGAGATATATTTTATGCTTAATCTACAAGGTTTCGTATATCTTATTCACTAAAGTGGTTTAAAGTTAACATTCAAATGCCCCACGCCCCACACATAGCATTTGATGGAAACAGTGTTATAAAAGCTGAGCACATTATAGAGCTACTGTGGATGTAAAAGAGAGCTACTAACCGAATAAACTTTTAAAAACCCAAGTAAGACCTCTAAAAATATTGCATCTAAATCAAAATTATTCATTGCATCTAAAAAAACAATTAGGAAGAAAAGTTTTGATTCATTTGATTCTTAATGGAAATAGATGCATTTTTTATACAAAGCTTAATCTGTTAAAAGATAGCCTTACCCAGTAAATAAAATGCAACAGACAGTTCCAAAGACAATAAGAACCTTCTGTGATAGTGCAGATTGCTGACGAAGAACTAATCTGTGAAGATCATTCTGCCAATAAAATATACAGTAACAGTGAGTTACATGCATTTGTTGTTGTTATTGACAGAAGCTACCAGTTCACCTCTTATTAGAACAGTCCATGCCTTCTAATAACCTAAGCAGCTAGGGTTTTAAAAAGGTTGCGCTCTAATATATTTTTGCCAAGAATTATTTTGTATGGAGCAAAAACCACTGAACCAAAGAAATCAAGGATAAGCGGTAAAATCATGTTAAATTTTGCCAAAAAAAGTATAAGACAGAATCCATCACGAAATTGAGTAATTTCAATTTTCAGTGGGCTCTGATAAGAAATTTTCTTCGGTATTATTGCAGATAACTAACTACATCTATAGCCCATGGAAAACGTAATTAAAGGAACGTAATATTGTTTAACTTATTCTGGTGCATGGTTTTTGTCCACTGAAAATTAAAATTACTCAATTTGCGGATGGATTCCGTCATAATTTCATTGGTATCTGAAGTACTGATATGTGTTAAAGTGTACCAGGGGGGCAAAGTTTAGCCTGCAAACGGCAGACGTTTCTCCTCGCTCATCGCCACTGAGGGACGTTTCACGAGGAGGAACGTCTGCGACTCAGCGACAGAAATTCCATACTGATGATGCAAAATGTGTCCGGAATCCAGTCAGAAGCACTAATTGGTTGACGGAGCAGTTTCATTGTTTTAGCTATTGTTTACAAATGACAGACAAAAGACAAAAGGCCGCAAAGGTCAATTGTAAATGTGATGACTCTCTAACAAAACAGCCAATATTTGTGGAATATAGTCTTCTCTTGAAGAAGCATTTAAGTTTTGCTGGAGCTCATTTGCAGATGAACACAACACTTTACCAAAATCGACCAGGGGAAACGTAAAATTAAACAAATTTGCATTTGGAACCCCATGACTACCAAATTTATTACGTAAACATTGATTTACGTCATCAGTATGGAATTTCTGTTACTGAGTCGCAGACGTTCCTCCTCATCAAACGTCCCTCAGCGGCGATGAGCGAGGAGAAACGTCTGCCATTCGCAGGCTAGGCAAAGTGGATATCCATATCAAGTCATACTCACAAGCATAGTGTCTAGTGCACTCTTAGCAAGCCAGCAATTTAGAAACAAAGGAACCCATAAATTGTGAAGCCTGTTATAAAAAATCTGCAAAAAAAAAATAATTTAATTGCCATAAGTAATAATATTATTTCAAAAGTAAGTACATTATTTTAAGGGTATATCTCGTCTTCAGAACTCATTTCATAAATTCGTCAATCGCCATGGTTTTATCGTCGAGAAGTACGGTGCAGCTCTTCGGGAGATGAAATTAGCAATCCAGGCTTAAATTGCACCATCGTATCCTTACATTGCTCATTAACTTTATTACTTGGATTTTTATTTCAGTTGTATAATGGTACATGTGCGCGTGCATTATTTATTTATTTATTTATTTATTTATTTAAGTTGCGTGTCCATTTAGTTTGTTTAATAACGTCTTAGTTTTGCTTTGCGTTATTTTCCTCACTTATATGTGTTGTCCGCGACTGTGCTCACACGGTGGGTGGCTCCTCCTAAAATGTTCTGCAATTAGTATAGGATTTAATGGAGCCGAAACCAATTGTGGAATTGCACGCATTTTAGGCATCCTAAAGATGAACAGTTGGGACACGTAGATATATTTTTAGCAACTACTATAATTTGCAGTCTGTCTACTTTGAATTGAATGATGAGACTTATTCTATTTGGTTGACACACTAAAATAAGATTTCAAAACTTTTACCTTAAACTGTTATTAGTAAATCTTTAAGGCCTTTTCTACTTACAGATACAACAAAAGGCAATCCTAGAAGAATCTCTGCAATGAGACGAGTATGTATAATTTGGTTCAGAACTGAACCACCCTGGGATGAAGAAAAAGTATTCAGGATTACATCATTTTATTACATGTACATGACAATTTTTAATCAGGACAAGAAAAGTCATTTTTAATGGAGAAGAGGGAACAGAGTTAAATGTTTATTCCAGATTTATCAAAAAACCATAGTAATAATATTAAAATATTTGCACGAAAAAGAAGAAATAAAATCTGTCTATTGGCAGAAAAACAAACAAAAGCAACAAGTTGCAGTTGGTTGATTTTAGTTCTGACAGATAACTTTGAAAAAACTGACACAAGACTTTTTGGTAAGGTTTCAGCTGGCATCAGTGTTCTCACCAGAATTTTGTAATTTGTGGCCCAATGACCCCCAGCCTTGACGTTTCTCCGGCCATTTGAAAGAAAGAATGCATGGGACTGAAGAGTTACATGTAACTCTGAGTTTGAAGTTTCTAACTGACATTTGTGTAATACTATAAACACTGGAATAAAATCAATTGTTTTCACTAAATGCTGTTGTATCTAGTTGCATTCTTGAAAACAACAATTGCTAATTCAAACAAACTTGTACAGTCGAACCTTGATTATCTGGACCTCGATTACCTGGATTTCTCGATTATCCGGACTTTTTCTCTGGTCCCAATTTGGTCATGAATATTTATTAGTCACGATCAAGATCCATAGCCATATCCTTTTTAAACTACAGCATTGAAAAGTGCAGTCAAATACGAGGTTTTTTCACTTTCAAACAGCAAAAGCAGTGCTCATAAGCATCGTAACTACTGAATTAATTTGTGACAATTCAAGATGGCGGACTTGCAAAACAGTGCCCTAGCCAGACCAAATGGCCAACCCAGGCAGGCAGGAGTTGCTAGGGGTTCCTGGGCATGCCCCCGAGAAATTTTGAACTTTAGTCTCTCAGAAATGCGATTTGCAGCGTTTTCTGGGCCTTTCGGTAACTTTTTTTGGAGTTAATTTAAGTGGAATTTAAAAACCAATAATCAGACACAAGCTAATCTGGGTGACCGTTAACCTCGCCAATGGTTTTGATCAGTATTTGTTCAAAAAAAATTTGAGTTAACGTACGTAGCCCCTTGAGATTGATGATATGGTAATTTTTTCATAGTATATTGACTGAATTGCTGAATTCTTTGTAATATCATGATGCGTTAAAAATATCCGATGATCGCTTATGTAAAATAAAAATGATTGGCGAAATTCGTCAAAATTTTACCGAGGCGAGTGCCTCGGTTGGCCTCATACTAGCTACGGCGCTGCGAAATGAGAGCACATGGTTACAGTAAACAGAAGACATTTCATCATTGGCTTGCAATGCATCTCACCATCTAATTGCAATGTGGATTTTATTCAGGCTGCTGTTTATTTACAACCAAAATTGACTTTTTTAACAGTTGCTGCAGTTCTGTGCCCTGAGGGCCCTTGAAGACTTTTTAAGTTTTAATTGCCATTTCACTAAATATTGCTTGAATCCCGCAATGGAGCAGTCTGGTGAGAACACTGCACCATTCAATGTTTTACTCCTTTCACGGGTTAAGATGAAGTCAAAAAACTAGCCTGCTCCAAATGTATGGGTCCATTAAATTACAGCTCAGGTGGTACTGCACTACACTTGCTAATGCAGAGGCCATGGATTTGAATTCTGTTGACGCCATTTTCTTTTGGCTTAATTTGCAATGCTTAAATTGCAATTACAACAGCCATGGTCAAATCTTCATTAACAAAACCAGACCTTAATAAAGTGAAACCTCTATTAAGCGGACACCTTCGGGACCTTCCCAAGTGTCCACTTATAATAATATTAATAGAGGGTGTTCGCCTAATAGAGGTTGTAAAAATTGCACAATGTTTGTTAACGATCAACATTCAGTGGTTACTCTGTACTATGATAAAGTTGCATATTGTTAAAGAAGCTATCCAGAGTTCAAGTTCATTGCCTTTCATTACCAACTTTAATTTGTTTGTAAATGCAAAAACATTAACTGACTTCAGTACGTATTTCAAGGACGTAATCCAATACTACTATTGTCAACTTAGTCCAGTGTCTGCTTAATAGAGGTTTTTAACAATAGAAATCAGCCAAATACAACTTATTTTAGTGTTCGTGTCCGTTTAATAGAGGTGTCCACTGAATAGGGGTTCATTATTAAGGGAAATATCAGACGTTCGTTTCGGGACCCAGCTTAGTGTCCACTTAAAAGAGGGTGTCCACTTCATTGGGGGTCCGCTTAATAGAGGTTTTACTGTATTGTAGAATGACATTCAACAGTTTTAATACCTTATAGGTTAAGTAACTAAGTAGGATTGCATCCAGCATGCTGTAAACTGCAATGACTGTCTGAAGAAAAAAATACAGTTACTGTTTACCAGACTATGGTTACATATATAGTATATGCCTGTTGCATAAAAAGAGACGTCATTGTTTACATCCCATTTTGTGGCACTGGGTTGTGGCGTGCTGCCAGAATTCCAAAAATATCTTATAATCCACATACTACAATTGACCCTCCATTAAGTGCATGGCCACCCTCAGGGTATCTCCAGTGACCACTCAATGGAGGTTACATTGACTGCTCAATAGAGGTTCATAACAAATTAGTATCATCTTTAATAGGGACATTACTTTATTTTTGAAACAAACACATAATGGGGGCACTATTACTGGATAGGGCTGCTTTCATGTGCAATTCTTTTCTGCAATTATTTCTGGACTTTAATAAAGGTCAAGTTTGGTCACCCAATAGGCAAATGCAATACAAAAGTCTCACTATTGAGAAGTACAGAGTAAAGATAAAAACTGGCCCAACTGGCAACCAAGTACTGGTATTATTTTTTAGGCCCCTTTACAGTAACAAATACCCACTGTACTCTAATATCTGACAGGGTCCCAAGGTTGTACACCAGTGTGGCTCTATAGGTTCTACAAACATTTTAATATTGACGAAATAGATATAAGACTTTTCTAGTGATACTTACCTGGACAACCCACAATGGAAAGGGTCTATGAACCCAGAGCAAAGACCATTCATGACTGTAAATAAGATAACAATTTGTGCTAATAGATACGGTTCCACCAAATATGTTACCGTATTTATTCGAATAAGCGCCCAACCTCGAATTAGCGCCCACCTCGAATAAGCGCCTATTCTAAAGGCAGAAAAAGTTAATTAGCGCCCAGCCTCGAATAAGCGCCCCCCCCCCACCCCACTCCCGCCCACAAAAACTCCAATGAGAGATAATAAGAGAACCTCCCGAAGACGGAGTTTTCTTCAGGGTATTGTACAGAAACCTTGCTTTGTTACACCTTCGCTTCTTGTTATTAGCATTTACTGTTTTGTTGCAAAATATACTACTACGGTTGGTGAGAATGGTGAAAATTTAATGAGCGCCCACCCTCGAATAAGCGCCCACCTCGAATAAGAGCCCACTCTCAAGGTCCAAAAATTAAGTTTGCCATTTCACTAAATATTGCTTGAATTCCGCAATGGAGCAGTCTGGTGAGAACACTGCACCATTCAATGTTTTACTCCCTTCATGGGTTAAGATGAAGTCAAAAAACTAGCCCGCTCCAAATGTATAGGTCTAAATTACAGCTCAGGTGGTACTGCACTACAGTGCTAATGCGCCAGAGGCCATGGATTTGAATTCTGTTGAAGCCATTTTCTTTTGGCTTAATTTGCAATGCTTAAATTGCAATTACAACAGCCAGGGTCAAATCTTCATTAACAAAACCAGACCTTAATAAAGTGAAACCTCTATTAAGCGGACACCTTCGGGACCTTCCCAAGTGTCCACTTATAATAATATTAATAGAGGGTGTTCGCCTAATAGAGGTTGAAAAAATTGCACAATGTTTGTTAACGATCAACATTCAGTGGTTACTCTGCACTGCACTCGAATTAGCGCCCACCTCGAATAAGAGCCCATTCTCAAGGTCCAAAAATTTTATAAGCGCCCAGGGCGGTTAATCGAATAAATAGGGTATTTCTCCAAAAATATAGCTTATTCATGGATGAAAACAACTGGAAACAATAATATGTAAGGACAACTGGTTATAGAAATGTTTTGCCCATACATATATTGGCAGGAAGGTTGAAGGTAAACTGTGTATGTGTTGAAGGTGAAAATAAAAACTTTCTTTAACTTTTTGAAAAACAAAATAATAACTCACTAATCTGATGCATTTTCCTCAAATTCAGGGCAAGACCATTCCGGATTAACAGTTCTGTTATCAGGACACCCATAACTGTTGAAACAACACTTAAGTTATTAATATCTATTCACACTGTATACATACCAAAAACTTTTCATAATTCCTTCACCTTAAAGAAATTAACAGCAGTTTTACAGCTTTCTTGTTTTAAAGAGATTATTAAGATAAATTGAGTTTTTTACTGTAAACCACACTTTCTGAGTATAGTCAACTGAATTACATGCCTGCTTTAAAATAATTATGATAACCAATACTTTATTAATAAGTATCAACATATGATATCAGAAAACATTAACATGGTGGATGATATTGAGGCACACATATATTAAAATAGCCAAATACATATCATAAAACAATTTACATGCTATAGCTAATAATAAAGGATTTTTTTTGCCTCACTGAACTTTCGATATCAGTATTTAAAAGGGCCTTAATGACCTCCCATAACCCAACACCCTTGATATCAAGAGATGAAACCAGGCATAAGAGTCCCCTGTACTGGAAATTGGATAAACTTCAAGCAATACAAACAGAGAGAGTTACAACAAATTGGAATGGAAACATAATAAAGAAAGAAATACCCCACCCCCTTACTTGTAAAACAGTGTGTCACTCTTCACCCAAGGTAACGTAGGTTAGGTAGCTTCCTTGGACCCTCAAAAGTATACCCATGTCCACTAAACAGGTTAAATTGCCAGAACTGCAGTTTGGTGTCATATACTGGAGGAGTCTGTTTAACTGTACTTACCCGCCTGCGAGATGTGGTTCCGTGTCTTGAACACTTCGAACAACATACAGTACACATGACAATATCTTCAGCATAAAGCGAAATATCTGCCATCTTATACCTATTAGGGTTTATAAAAATACTTTGAGTCGTGATAGTTTGCATATGAGAGAAGAATTGAGGGTATTTGCATGCAACAAATGTAAACAAATTTAGCTGCAATCATAAACAACACTATTACACCTTTCAGAAAAGTTTATTGGTTTGGGTAATTAATATTCTTAGAAATAGATATTAAGAACAACTAAGAAATGCTCAGAAAAAAATGTGAGCCCCCAGCACAAATCAAACCCATGACCTTCCAGATACTAGTAGGACACTCTAACCACTGAGCTATGGGCAACACACTTGGCAACCCACAGTATACTGAAGGAGTCTGTTTAGGTCACTAGTTAGAGCATCCTACCAGTATCTGGAAGGTCATGGGTTTGATTCCCGCTGGGGACTCGGATCTTTTTCCAAGCATTTCTTAGTTGTACTTAATATCTATTTCTGATCTCATCACACTTGGGTGGTTGGTTGGCGTTAAAGTGTACACGACACTTTCTTAAGGTGCTTGCATGATGCAAGTGAGTCAGTGTGTTGCTTTACTTTAGTCCAGTGTACTCCTCGAAGATGTGAAGTCCTGTGGCTACCCCAACACCTGCAACCTGCTCACCAAGTGAGTTGCCCATGACTCAGTCGTGGTTAGAGCGTCCTTCCGGTGTATGGAAGGTCATGGGTTTGATTCCCACTGGGGCCTCGGATTTTTTTCCAAGCATAATGTACTTTATAATATCTATTTCTAATTTCATCACAATATTCTGACTGCAAATATAAAAATTATTTTACCATAGATCCTATATGTGAAGATATTAGCATAACATTGAAAATGATAAGGCTTAGTAAAGATCATTTCCAAAAAAAATTATTCACATTTTCTTAATTAAACTATTGGCATTAAAAAGCTTAAATGTTTTCATGAATTTAGCCCTGATTAGTTACACTGACAAATCGTTTGAATACAATTATTTTTTTAAAAGTTATAACAAAGATTTATTATTTGAAAAGATACATGTCCTTGTTTAATATATGTTTTACAGTGTGTTGTTATGTTACTGTTAGAAAAAGACTACTCATTAATAGCAACTTACTAGATCTTTGATCAGTCACAAAATAGAATTTAAGTCTTTCTTTAAATGACTTGTCGCGAACGTAGTGTTCAACACGCACCCTGTGAAATTAAAATGTTATCTCAGAAACACTACAATAGAAAAACTGTCAATGTTAATGACACCTGAAGTCTCCTATGAAAATACAAGTGTGAAAAGTAAAACATTTTACAAGATAAAAAGGTTATACTTGCTGTTTGTGTTAAAGCCATAATCAGCACTTTTACAGTTTAATTTGGTATCAGTTAAAAGTAACTTAATTAAACTTTTTAGTATCAACTTTCACCAACTGAGGTTGCTTCTATTGATTGCAGATAGTATGACTGTATAACTGTTTTGGAAAAGAATTTAAAGTGATGTCAATAAATGTGTAAACATTGCTGGTCATAAACACTTTCCACACCTTATTATTACACACAGTTTGCTTTGTCCTTGAGGAAAGAAAGCCCTAGCTTATATTTTCTCTAAATTCAAACCGCTTAATACAGACTTTTTCCATTGCCCCGTCAGTGTCCAACGGGGATTGACCGTATGCAATATTGACCAAGGTCAAGATGGCTGGAATTTTTTTTCCCATAGATAGAGAAAAAATGAGTTCAATAAAAATGAAAAAAACACAAGGCTCACTATGGTAGCCACACAGAATGCAGCATTTGCTTCATCTTGCTCACTGGCAGAATAAACAAGGTTTTATTTTCTGGCCACCATCTGATGATAACAAAGCCGAATTATCCAAAACTGTATTGCATTGTCATCAACAACAAAAACTACAAAGCCCAATGTACTGTAACGCAAAAAAATAAATTGTGAAATTTTCCCACGTTACACCTTAGCAAGCAAAACTGTTAATTAGGGATAGAGATAGACTTAGTTCTTTATTCAGTTGAATATCACATTTTCAGCCCACAGACGTTTTAAATTGAATTAAGGCAGCGACTAAAAGTAAGAAGTCTTGACAACAGCTGGTGAAATATGCATATATTATCGCGCTAAAAAATTCCTTTTCTATTTTAGCCATTTTTTAAAATTAGTTGTTTTGAGGAATTCAGTTAGAATTATTAAAATGAACTTCTTTTTGCAGAAATAAAAGAAACGTTGGTCATAGAAAGTAACTAATATTTAAGCTTAGGCTTATGTCATCAGATACGATAATTTAGCACTCGATTTAACATTTCAAAACAAAAATATATTGTCCGATCTCTGCGGCGTATCCTCTCTCGATACTGTACTCATACCCTCATATTTAAGCATTACAAAAAATATAATGTCATGTAAATCACTTCAACCTAGAAGCTTTTAATATTAAATTTCTTAAAAACTGGCCAACTTTCCAATTTAAGCGCCGTAAGGGGGCGACAACCGAGCCGCTGATTATTTCCTACTTATTAGCTTGTATTAGTGCAGAATAAAGGCAAAACACACGCTATGTCGGTGTTTTTAAGTATATCAAATTATACCGCGGATTTAAGGACCCAAGCTTGAGTAGATAAGAGTTTGTTAGCAAACAAGAATCATCGCAACTGGTCGATAGCTTATTCAACCCCTGCGGCTAGGTAAGCTAAAAACATTACTAAGGTCCTTAAAGGCTTACCTTTCTTTATCCTCGTTTTTATCAGATGACAGCAAATCCCTCAAGCGATACCTAGGGCCAAAAGAATCAAAATCGGTTACGGTAACAGTAACTGGCGCCCGTTTACTGGAATTTATCGTAGTTTGTATCCGAACTTTCTTGTTTTCCAACGCAGCGGCCGACGTCGCCATACTCTACTCGGTTTTGAATTACTGCAGTCATGCGCAACACTTCTGTTGATGTTTTTTCGCGGGAAAATCCTACGCAACACAGTTGGATCGAAATTTTTATTCGATACGAGAAAATTATCCGAAAAACATTTGCGTCAAAAGACTTAAAACCATCCGCCTTCAGTATACATCATCTCCAGCTTTCGCTAAATGCTTCTGCACTTTCATAAATTATTTACTAGTCGATAGTATTGGATGTTTTATAGTGAAAGAATCCTGTGATTCAATTTTATCAAATTTTATAAAACTGTAATTATTGCAGAATCAAAATGAATGCTGTGTTTAATGCATATATGCACAATATGAGTTTTAAAAGGTGTCAACTGTCAATTGCAACTCAGGAAATTTAGCGGAAATGTACGCCAATGGCTAAATTTTATTTTAAAAGCCTCCTTCACTTGATGGGCAAAAAGATGGTTTTCACTCTGGTGTCTCCACAAATCAACAAACGAAAACCACTTATCGAGAATTGAAATGAAAAATGAATTCAAATTCGAGGTAAATTAAGGAAACCCTCCAAGACGCCTAAATAAAATGGAACGGCTGGTGCCGGGCCGGTATGTGGTAAAGCTGTCAACGTTTATACCTTTGATTCCAGGCTAATTCACTTATTATACACTAACTTTCATGACAAAAAGTTCAAGTCTTTACCAAAAGTGCAATGTTAACTTATAGAAATGTTCGAGTAAGTGTCTGTAAGTAAAATAGTTACCAGCCGACCGCAGATGGAATGACATCCTTTAAAAGAAAAAATCTATATATTTTTTCCAACACTTTTTTCACATGCTGCGAGTTGAGTTTTTTATGCTAACCCTAACCCTACCCTATCCCTAACCCTAACCCTAACCCTGATCTTTCACCACTGGATTCTTAGGCCTATGAATTCAAAATTAGTGGGAGGAGCCAATGCCCTTTTATAGAACGGCGTTCGTGTTTAAAACGAGGGTTTTTCGATGGCGTCAAATTTGTCATTGAATTACGAAGTACGCGAATGTTACTCGTTTTGGTTTCATGGCAACCAACCTCGTCCCCAGGGCGCTTTTTCCTGCCTTTGGAGGTGGGGCGGCCCACCTCCAAAGCTCCAAAGCCAGGGAAAAGCGCCCTGGGAACGAGGTTGAATGGCAACCTGACCCGGATATTAAACCCGGATATAACGTTCTTGTTTTGTCTGTTTTTTTTTTTCTGCTTCTGTTTCACTGCTGCTATTTAAATCGTCCAAATATGCCTTTGTTAGAAGGGTGTCAGTAAAACGCAGGGCAAGGGTTGGGGCCGAGACAGGGTCTATCCTCTTTTTAAGGCATGCTGTTTTAGGGTTGGGGTTAGTGTCAACCCTAACCTAATCTTAGCGCTAAAACATCCTTCTCTAAAAAAAAAGATGACCCTTTCCCCGCGTTTTACTGACACCCTTTTTAGAATAATTTCATTCTTTTTGCTCCATGTGGCCCTGTACAGAGCGAGTAAGAAAGAAAGCAAAAACTGCAGACCCTCACTAGATAGCCGACACAAAAATAGTAGAAGTTCGCAAAATTTTTTCGTCAGTGGAGCTAGATTTGGCACTTCACTCACCCCTCGTACAAAAAAGAAAACTTATCTTATTTTAGTACATACCACCTCTTTCCATTGTTTTTAACCTCCTGTAAGCGACCACTTAACGCATGGTGTGGTAATCTATGTTCCCTGTTTGTACTTAATACGCGCCTCAGAGTAAACAAAGATATTTCAGTGACAAAATGAAACACAGGGAACTACACGTATACGTAACTCAGAGATTACCGAAAAGTAAATGACTCAGGACCAATTCTCGGAAGAAGGAAGAGAATCCCTGTGGTTAAATTCTCGTAACCGACTACCGCCCGTTAGTGACCACTAAATCTTCGCATTCTGGGTGGTCGCTTAAGGAACGTTCGACTGTAACAACTAATAATAATAGTAATAATAATAATAATAATAACGAGAACGATAATGATAGTGATAATGAGAACGATAATAATATTATTAATCTATTTTTCCTACTGGTTGATGTACACAGGACTAACTAAAAACAGTACATGATAAACTCCAATCTGCCTTTGTAAACCCTAAGGACATTTAAAGAATCGCATGCCATTTGCATCTCGTAAAATAAAACTTGCGTTACACGTTGCCTTTTGACCATGGGAGTGGACTATTTTCAGCGTGACAATTGTTTCAAAGTATCTAGTGGCTCTTGCTAGCATCTAATGTCATATGCAGTGGGCGTGTTATAATTCCACTGAATAGAATCCATTTAAAGAGAGTTTAGAGATCGAATAAACATCTTATTACCCTCTTTTACTCGGTCCATACTGTGTATTCAGCACCCAGGGGAGCTACCTGGGCTAATTTTTGCTGGGTACGTGCCCCTGGCCTCTTAGAACCCCTACCCCATTATAGTCTATTTAAAGACCAGTTAAAGACCCCATCTTAATCACTTTTGGGCAAATGTAATTTAGCCACTTTCTCTTTATGCCTCTACCTTATAAAGCTTTTTAACTATCGGTAGGTCGGTCATCCTAAAATAAATTCCCCCTTTTTTTGACAAATTCCTAGATACATAAGCTTTCTTAAACCCAAAAATCCTAAAAATGTGCGACTCCATTCTAGTACGACCATTGAAAATGAAAAAGCGACTCCATCTAATATCACATCCTTATTAGCCTATTACTAGGAAGTACCCCCGGGATTCAGTACCCTCTACCCGTGGTTGTTTCATCTTTCTGACTCACTGTTTTATTTTATTTATGCTATATATAAATGATGATGCAGATCAACCGGCCACCTGTTCATGATTAAAATTGGCCGCGGCGATAGTTTACAACATTTCGATCAAGTTTAAATATTGCCGAGGTAATTTTTAAAAAGTAAAAATTTACAGGGGATTTGCCATTAATTCGACGCTAATTCTAGTTGTGGACACAAAATTCAACGATTATCGAATTTCGAAACCGTATGTAGCTTCCGCCCGCTTTAAATCTAAGTACGGATACAATCACTTTAAATATCAGTTTATTTCATCTGTTTTTCTCTCTTCGTTTTACCTAGCCTGTGTAGGGGTGGCCACAGGCTATGTTATACCTCGCTGGGGTAAATGTTACAGCTGAAACTAAGCCTGTTAAACAATATCAGGTGTTAACAAAGCAAACCTGAAATGACCAAAAACTTTTACACAATTGTTTGTTGATCTGGCCAGTAGAAACCGTGTATTAAAGCACTGAGTATTAAAGATGGTTCTGCGGATTACTACGTTCAGTATTTTTGTAACATTCGGTCGTCCTTGAAACACCAGATTATTATTCTAGCCATTTTATAGCCAACTTAAAATTCATTTTGTTTGATCGTATGGCTGTGAAATCTGTAAGGGACGTGGATTCTTCATGTCCTCTTCACAACATTAATTTTTCACAAAATATGTCTTCACTGGTTGGCTTTATCGACTTAATAACATTAAACTTTTATTTTTTGGCTGCGTTTCACCATGAAACACCAACTCATTGTTTATCAACGAAAATTGAACACATTATTGAGCAATATATGATCATGTTCTACATTCATTATTTACAACACACTTTGTCCTTTAAACACCTCAATTAATTCTTTCTTTGACTGTGACAGAAAATTCTCCCCTTTTTGATCAATAAACCGGTCACGTATTTTACAGGTTTCCTCCAGCTGAATATTGATTTGTTGGGGTAAACTCAAAACAGGCCATGATCTCTTGGGATCCATGGCATTCACAGGATAAACGGCGTGAAACCAGAGCTCGATTAACAATTGTTAGAATGGGAATGCCTTTAACAAAGTGAATATATGTACAAAGAATTGGCTTGAAAGAGTATATATTAGAAAAACAGTTATAAATAAAGAAAAGCAGGCGAACATTTACATCGGAAATATCCCGCATGGCTGAAAGTGTTGCTCTGGGAGACGTATCAACAAAATGGCCGAATGTGTTGTCCATGTGTTGAATGAGTCTAGCAAAAAATATCGATATCGAGATGATAGAATACTTTAAATCCCTCGAATATGGCGTCAATATTTATGAATAGGAAATCCCTGGTTTGTTCCCTTCTACTTAGAAACGTTTCGTTGTCAGGAAGAAGTCACTTGTGTTTCTAAAACATGGCCTCAATGTTCACGCGAGATAACGTAACGCTTCATAGAAAGTTAACAATTCACGTAGCGGGGTTCGACGCATTTTACATATTAAAAGTGCTGATTTCTTGCGTTTCATACCTCGGATGATTTGCCAAGCTTGGAGGAAGCGGGGGAAAGAGCATTGGAATACCGTCTGAAGTCTGTCTTTTGGTTGAGTTTCCGCTTGCCATCTTTCAAAGTTTTGTTAATATGCAGAATTAAGAACTGTGCGAATAGACATATATTATTCATCGCCAAAATATTGCACTTAAAGGTTTTCCAGCGATTGCATGGCCTCCTTTGTTCTTCGACCAATAAAAACGCGAGTTTTTCGTCAGACGAACAGGTGATTGTCCCTTTCTCCTCAATTGAAATGTCAAACATTATTAATGTTACTTGCAAATATGAAACTACATAGAGCAATTCTGCTTTCGTCGTCCTGTCAAAATTCCAAGAGGGAGGAACAAGATTCTTATCTCAACAGCTCCATTCAAAAACTCATGGGGTTATCATCTTTATCTGGTACAATCTTAAAACCAAAATTTTAAAATTTTGCTAAAAAAAGAAAAAAATAAGAACTAATTGCCTGTCTGTCTGTTTACATTTTATACCGAAGTAATAACTCTGAAGTTTGAATTATAAAGCTCGAGGAAAAAAATAAGAGAAAGAAAAAAATAGAGTTTCCGGAGTTGGTAGAACGAGATACATCTTATTAATTAAATCAGATAATAATAGGGATTTTCACAAAGCCGAAGCGTTGGGAATTGCTGAATTTGAACGTTCATACGAAAAAGAGGGATTAAGGAGAT